CTGCTCTTTCTCGTTTCTTTTTCTGTCTGTACAACTATATCCGTCCAGGGGCGTGCACATAGATGGTGCACTCTATCCGGATCGCTCTCTGTCATTCTATTTTCTCATTGGTCTGCCCTGCTCTTTCTATTCATTTTCACTTTTTTTGAGATCTTGTTCTCCTCAGTTGAGATCACTATTTTCACTTTTCACTCCGTGGGATGGGGTGTAGTGCTTTCTATACTTCAAGCAAGGGTAGTACGTATGCACGCCCACGCGCCAATTTATTTCAAGGTTGTAGTTATAACTTCTCGATGGTACTATTGACATGGGGTTCGGCTTCGAGGCCCTTCTTTTCTGTGACCCTGGCTTGAGTGTCACCTCCCCGATAGTAGCCTTTTCGGGGCATGTCCTGCAGCGAGCGGCGGGGTACTACGCATCCCGCCAAATAGGATTACGTTTATTTACGAACTGACTTAGGTTCATTGCACTCTTCAAGGGCTGTCAAACTAAGTAATTGATATGTGGTAGAAGAAGGAGAAGTGGTTCCGCTGAAGTCAGCTGCAGTTGATACAACAGCATGAGGCCTGGGCCAGTATAGAAACAACTTTTATTCGTGGTCTCAAACAATTACGGTGGCACTGCTTCTCCCCATTAGCTTTTATGAACAAGTTTTCGGTACAAGTCGCACCTATTCTAGTGAGCCAGGCGTTGGGGGGGCTCATTATATGCAGGATCCATAACCTAGCCGAAGAGTCGTCCTCTATAGTATGCCATGAATTTTCTTTTTCCTAATCTGATAATGCTCCTTCAGATCTACAACAACTACGGACTGGTCGTCTCGTCTGATTCACTACGGTCCGGACTAGCCTGTCATACCACGACACGTGGACAAACCTGGCATACCCAAAAATGGAGCCGCTTTCGACTGTTACCCAGGACAACATGTTGACGGACATCGAGAAGGGTATCGTGGACACGGGAAAGTCCAAGGAAGGCGCCGTGGATTGTTCCACCAGAACGCGTGATCTCGATGGGGAAGGGCGTCATGGGGATGGACAGGGGCGCGATATGAATGGTCAGGGGCACGATAATGATGGTCCGAAAACATCTGATGTGGATGGTACGAAAAGCCGCGATGTGGATGGTGCGAAAAGCCGCGATGTGGATGGTCCGAAAAACCGCGACGTGGTTGTGGGTGGCCAGGACTATTCTAGCCGTGATGCCGTGGGTGGCCGGGGCTACGTCGGGGCTGGACATGATCAAACTGTCATGGAGGTTCGCAAGTGTCATCATTTATCTTCATCTGCGCATGGGGAAGTATCATTCTCGTCTCCTTCGTACGGGACATTGGATATGGGTGGTTCAGTTGAGCAGACGAAGCATGTGCAAGGTGGGGCACCTACATCGTTTCTTGTCCTCGTGATGCGGTTTATCGTCATCGTGATTCCAGTTTTTTTGTTTGCACTCTTTTTCTCCTGGTCTATGGGGACTGTCTTTGACCGCACTGTGGCGTTTTCTGGTCTTTTTGGAGCACCTACGGGAACGGAAGGTAACTTTCGTGGTGGTATGGAAACTGTAGGAGGGGGCAACAGCGTGCTTCAAATGAAGCCAAAAGTATCGCGAGAAGCCCTGGAAGCGGGCGAGCCGTTAAAACTTATTACTCAACCTTTTATCGTTGAAGGTGGAGCTCCGTCTCCATTGTTGGCTAACGAAGGCGGCACACATTATTTGTGGCGCAAGGGTGTGACGAGGATGAAATCCTACACGAAGCTGGACTGGCAGTACCTGGCAGCAGAGGGCGGCAAGACTTTTCCGTGGAAGGGACTGCCGGACGATCTGGCAACGGAGCTGCCATTTGTGGTGGATCTTTTCGTGCGGATAGTCGCGAGCAAGCCTCTGAATTCTGTGGAGACTTTTGGGAGTCTCATGGGTCAGACCTGGATGAAAAACGTCGATTGGGGGGACGAAAATGCGAAATATCTCGTATCGCTGATGAGCAACATGGTGGTGGCGCCTGCTTGGAGCCTCACGGCGACAATGCAGCGGCTTAAAACCCTCGAGGGGCTCTCAAAGCAACAGTGTGATGTGCTGGTGGATTGCCAAACGGGGAAAGAGAAGTACAAGGACAGAGTGCAGAAACTGAGAGAAACCCTCGACAGCGCAGGAAAGGCGTTTGTAACTGCTTGCAATGAAAACGACGTTGTGGTTGGCGAGTCTGTCGCAAAGGCATTTTTTGCGCAGAACAACATGAATTTCGCCGGGTTGAAGCAAATCGCCGACCTCTTCGTCGAGCAAAATGATGGATTCTGCTCAGAGGAGTTTTGGCAGATGTGGTCGAAAGCGGCGGTGGACAGGATTGCAATGGAGGAAGTGCAAGAGATCGCGGAGAAGGACAAGAGAGTGCCAAGCAAAAGAGAGAAGGCGAACGGAAAGGAAATGGGAGCCCGCTTTCATCGAATTCGCACAGAATTGCTGCCTATCACTAGTAAGATCAAGCAGAACCCCGAAGCAGCACGGCGGGAGATTCTGGCTGGCTTGCTCGAGACAGCACAGCGTCAAGACTTCAACGAGCTCTCCGACGAGCTTGGAAACGATGGGGGGAAATATCTGGCATGGAAAAACATGGGGGAAGCAGACTGGCATTCGGTACAGCATGTGTTTCTCAGTGCAGTTAGAGTAAATCCCGGTATAATCACTTTCTTTCGAGGTGACGAGGATTCGGTCTTTCGGAAGTTTTTTGAGGCGAAAAAGTTTGACGAGTGCGAGCAGATCTCTCCGGAATTGGCGCCAAAAACTGACGATGAAAACGCACCAAAAACCGATGCTAATAACGTCGCAGCTTTCGAAAAGAAGTTCATCGACGACCATCGCAACTTTAGGAAGAAGGTTGCTAGGAGCCTCGCGCAGAACGCACCCCATCTCGTCGGCCCTATTGTGCATCTGCTCACCAATGAAGGGGGCGCGTTGGATGTCGAGTTCGTCACCAAGCTACTGCAGGAAGGGGACATGGCGTGGACGCTGTGGAGTAGCATACCTCCAAAATACTACACGAAGGATTTGGTGGAACGCATCATGTCCCACCTGGAAACTGATGCCTTTCGGTTCTTTTTTGATGTTAAAAGAGAGGGGAATGAAGCTGCAGGGCCTCGTGGTAGCTCACTACAGGACAAGAAGACAGGCGCAGGAGGGGGAAAGAAGAATAAGAGAAACGGTAAGAAGGACAGGGAAATTGTATCGGTATCACAATCTGACATCTCACGCCGTGTCAATTCCTTCGGAATCTACTTCCTGTTCCAAAAGGCTTTTATGGTTCGCGCTGCCCTTGTTGAGGCTAGCAATGAGAAAGAGAAGGAGCGGGCGCGGGCTGGAGATGGCTTCGTGAAGTCGCTCTTGGATAACTTGGGGGCGGCAGATGGCGTCATGAAGAAGGGCTCCGAAGGATGGGTTGACGCGAAGCCAGCGCCCTGGCACACAGACTTGCTTGACTGTATCGCGAATGGCGAAGCCGGGGGCCGCTCGTGGAATATCGAGAAACTGCGCCAGACTTTTGGAGAAAGTGTTGTTGGCTTAACGGAGTTCATGGAGCAACTCGGCGAGCACCAGTGATCTTTTGGCACCTATAAGGCTTAGTGCCGTCTTCAGATGAAAGAACCCAAACTGAGGGCTTCTTTGCTGTATCTTTGACTGGGAAGGGAAGTGGCACATCCATAGTTTTTTTGCGTTTCTTGTGTTGGTATCAATCTGGCTGCTTGGGCATGGGTTCAGCTGATTTCTGTGCCAAGCACAGTAGGCGGGTGATTGGTGTTGGCTTCTGTCTAAGCGTGTCCTCCGTTGGGTGCGTGACGGTGAGCTGGCTTATGACAATCTGGGAAATAGAGAAGGGCCCGTGCCCAATTATTAGTGCGTGATGGGTGAGGGCTTCTCTCTAAGCGTGTCCTCCGTTGGATGTGTGACGGTGTGTGAGCTGGCTTATGACAGTTTGGGAAAGAGGCATGTGCCCGTGCCTAATTGATTTAATGGGTCGGTCACGGCTGAGGGCTTTTCGCTAAGCGTGTCCCCCGTTGGATGCGTGGCAGTGAGCTGGCGTAGTTCTGACGATCTTCAAAATAGATAAAGGCCCGTGCCTAATTTAAAGGGTGATGGGTGCGCGCTTCTTTCTAAGCTTGTCCTCTGTTGGCTGCGTGATGGAAAGCTAGCCCTTGCCAGTCTAGAAAAGTGACGAAGGGCCGCGTCTAATTTGTTTCACAGGTGGTGGGTGCGCGCTCCTTTGTAAGCAGCTTGTCCTCTGTTGGATGCGTGACGGAAAGCTAGCCCTTGACAATGAATCTAGAAAACTGATGAAGGCCCGCGCCTAATTTATTTCACTGGTGGTGGGTGCGCGCTTCTTTCTAAGCTTGTCCTTCGTTGGATGCGTGACGGAAAGCTAGGCCTTGACAATCTAGAAATGTGACGAAAGACTGTGCCGAAGTAAGTGGGTGACGGTGACTGATGGGTACTGTCAACAACTTTGCGCGTGCATTCAATATGTGACGCCTGAAGGAGAGGCGCCAACATCCTCACCAAAAGCTCAGATCTTGTGTCTGATGAAATCAGATGGGCACAGAATACTTTACTTATGCCAGGTGTGTTCAATGCGTTTGCCTTCATTGTACTTATACGGAGAGTGGCTCTTTCTGTGAAAATGTCCGATCAATGCCAGGTGCCAGATAATAGGCTGCTTACCGGAGTGTCATATTGCGTGCTAGATGTGCTACCGCTTCGGCCCCTCAACAACTTGCGACACTGTCAATATTGGCTCTACCATTGTCGAAGTACTCATATATTTGTTGTCGTGCGTGAGTGAAGCGGGGCCCGTTGTTCTGTCGGGGGCGGGATGATAATGAGGAAAGATAGGGATTTGTCATCTGTTTTCTGTGGTGTCTTCCTTGGTGAGAGATACCGAAATGTGAGAGAAGCATGAGCAAGTGTATCTGTGGAAAAAAGTGGTAGTAAGTAGAACAGGAAAGTCAAAGTGGCGGGAACAGCTGATGATAACTCTGCTATTGCAGATATACTGAACACGTTTATAGAATTGCTCACCTGTAGTTGCCTGCGCCTCTCTAGTTGGTTGTATCACTATCATTATTAACGCCACGTGTGACAAGTACAACAAAGAATGAATGTAACTTACCGCATGGCCCTTATCAATGGAACAAAAGATGAAGTTCGTGGACTGGAAGATGCGTTCGCCTTCTCAGGGCCCCACTAACGGGGGTCCTCGCGACTAGCGAATACGGCTCTTATTGCGGGTAGCCTAGCTAGCAGGCAGCTAAGCAGCCTTTCTACGGTCTCGGCGTTCGTGAAGGGGGTCTCTTTCGATCACAAAAAAAGAAGGCAAAGAGGCTGCTCACGCACACCAGACCAAGGCACGAGGGCGGTGGACCTAATTACCGTGCTCGAGTCTTAGTCTAAAAGGAAAAGGAAAAGAGGTTCCAACCAAAAAGGAAAAGGAAAAGGACGTAGTCCATCAAAGACGAGGGAAGAAGAGGCCGCACCAATTTCTGAGATACCGGTCAGAACCAAGAGGTGGCAGCACGTGACATGATGACGTCGTCCATCAGCTCGCTAACGATCATGCTCGCTAACAAGGAACGACTTGTTGGGCTGAGGCTTTTGTGTCTCCTGGTCGCGGGGCTCGTCCATTGTGCGGAAGTTTCGGCGATTGCAATGAGTGCAGAGCATAAGCAACTACGACATCGAAGGCGTATTACTTATGTTGTTTCTAAACGGGGATCCCTACCGTAGATTGATACTACTTGTTACTTTTATCCAGGCACACCTGCTGTAGGTAAATAGACAACTGCTGATTAATATCACAATTCTTAGGCCTAGAAAAGAATAGTACTTCCTAGGCCTAGAAATATATGAGTGTACCTTTGCAGCCTTCTTCTTGACAATCCACAAACGATAGTCGCTTGTCACAACTACTTTCAAAATCGACTTTCGTTCAGGTGACGTCGCAGAACTATGGGGGTTGCCAAAATTAGTATGGGTCATTTTAGCGGACGTGGTGGCCATGATCCTCTTCATGGTTGCTATTCCAGTCGTTCTCAATTGCGTACTTATTATTGTTCTCTGATTTGTTTGTTATCTTTTAAAACTATTTTCACGTCTGCTGCATCGATCATGAACAAAACTCCAATTAGGCGAAACGACGACGGCCGATGTTTAGATAGCGAGCAAGGGAAGGAACGAAGAAAGAACGACAAAGAATCCTCTCGTCGATGATGAATCGATTTGTCGGATTGTCGTGAACTAAGAAATACACCCAGTGCATACATGATGGTGATAGATTGACATGATTGACAATCTTGCACAGGAGTAACTTTTTTATCCGAGATATCGATCCAACCATGTTTCATTCTTCCTCGTACTCGGACTTGATGACTTCGAAGAGATCGACGAAGTCGTGCCAGAGGGTTCGGAGGTTGACTCGAGTCCTATCCCTGGATGTCGAACGCTTTCTAGAGTTCTCGATGAATTCAAAATTTATTGTCAAAGTAGCGATCAGGATCAGAAACATGTAAAGGATGAAGGAGTAATATACAACAGCTAAAAATACCTGGTACGGCAATTACACATTTAGTACTAGAAAAAAGCATCAAGAACATGTCATCTCCCGTCGTTTCTTTCTTTGCAGAGAACCTGCACGGGCTTCTTCCTACAACAAGGTCGAGTGCAAGATCAGGATATCTTAGATTCGGAAAAAGCAGTTTTGTAGTATCGGTGGCAGATGGAGACGGGAATGAAGAGGACTCTGGGAACGGGGGTTCGGCTCCCTCAGCTAAGGTTGATGATCGTGATTGAGGCTCAAGTAAAGACAGTATCTATCTCTTTAATACGGTGTAATAAGGCAGCTGCTAGTAGCACCCTTGAAAATAATGTCTATCTCATTCACACCATTATTTTCATCTGCATCATCTGAAGATAAGATTAGGAACTTCGAAGGATCTCAAACCCCGAAGCTAGTTAGCACCACTGAAAATATTTACTTGACGGCTGTTCTAACTCCCACGTAGAGCAGTTACATTCCAGTGGCACAGCACAAGCAGACTTCGCGGCACCTGAGCACCTCGATGCAGTCGACTACGACTACTCATCCATATCGACGGGAAGCCACGAGCTCTTGCAGAATTTAAGGAAGAGTTGTTGTGGAGTTGGCTGACGTAGTACAAAGTCGAGTTGGCTGATGTAGTAATAGAAGTAGTCGTTGCAGATGCAGTACAACACGAACAACAACAGATGTTTCTAACTCGTCGTAATTGCATACTATCTACTTGTCTATGAATACTGTCTTTAGAATTTCACTTTTACAACTTTTAATAATTTAGGAACAACTTCAACTACCCCCGCATATGTCCAAGGCCAACTCTAAGATTTGATAATGTCCTAGGACCCGCACAAGGATCTGGCACATTCGCTGACGCATCTACACGCGTAAGTCGACTGCCAAGGTTACGCCAACAGGCTGCAGCGTCGGAGAAGATCTTGAGAGAAGGCGCGGTGGAACTTCAAGATCTTGTGAAAGATTCTCTGAGACAGGAGAAAATTAAGGCTCCCATTAATCCATTTCTATTCGAGTATAAATTCTTTTCAGGGGAACATCTTAGGCAGAACGCCGAGTAGATTAACGTCGTCCTCTTGTTTTCAGGGAAAAGGAAAACTAGGAGGATCCCCGACATCGGGGAAGGTGAGTTTATTTATCACGGAGTAAGATATTAACTAGGAGAATATTGATACAACTCCATAGGGATGAATTGAAAATACGAACAGCTCTAAGAAAATCATCAGAAGCTCTTTAGACGCAGCTGGAGCCTATGCACGTGGGGCCAGGATGAGTGCGAGAAAGCGAGATGCCTTGATGCAGTTCGAAAAGCGGCTACGAGCTGCAGAACTATCTGAAGAAAAAGAATTGCCACTGGAGACGCAAAATTCACTCCGATTATGGTGAAGGTGATCGAGGATTTAACCTGTGTTTCTATCTCATACCTTGAACATTCCAGAGCTTGTCGTCATCTTCTCTCTTCAGAAATGTCGGTACTTCTTGTGTGTGAGTAGAAATTACACTAGAATTTACAACTACTGCGCATTTCGTTTTCTTTCACAATATGCTCTCAAAGATGCACATGATTCCGTCATGAAAAGAGAACAAGTCTCAGTAGAATTTACAAGTACTAATACATTTTCTTTCAGCAAAGATCTCAGGTCTATATTTTTTTTCATATCTCTAATCTTGAATGCACTCGAAGTGCTGCGAGCAGTCCCGGATCCAGAGCCACCACCTTCGGAGCATAATATCCATTCCCGTACGGCAGATATCGAGGCTTTCTGGGAATGAGGTGGGTAGGAAGATGGAAGCGAATGCTGCTTGAAGAAAGACTTCCTACAAATCAAGAGTCTGGAAGTGTAGTAGAACAAGTAGTGATTGCATTTGCTAGTAGAACTAGTAGTCTTTTTTAGAGGTAGCTGCTAGGTAGTTAGTACTATCAGATAGTATCTAACATAGGTAGTACTTACCGACAACATGAGAATTTAACGGCGATGGTTGATGCTTGTGTTTTAGTCAAAATTGCACAGCTACCACTGATCTGCGGAAGAGCAGCAGAATATTAGTGGAGGTGTTGGCCTTTGGAAGGAAGGTCTCAGTAGAAAGATCAGCGTTGGTGTCTGTTGGAAGAACCGATCTGTTGAGCTTGATACACGATGCGCTCCATTCTTGTTGTGGTGCGGGAGAGAGCCATCGGTGTCAGAGTGTTAGCCGAGAGTGGAAAAAAGGGACGGCGGTCTTTCAAGGCATGAGAATGAACAAGTTCACCATTTAAAGTAAAGAGAGGGGACGAGTGGATGTCCCTCCATTTCCTTGCTCTACTGAGAAGAATAGCAGTTACAATGAAATAAAAGGAATATATAAAAACAATAAAGTTCGTAACCCCATACATGAGGGCGTTCGTAACCCTATTCGCAATATATAAGAACAATGAAGTGGTTTTCAGCCTAGAATAAGTAGTTGCCTCCTGGGCTTTGGGAAGATGCCCGAGCGTCTACTTTGCCTTTTGTCTTCCCTCGTCGTCGTGGCACTGACTTCTAGGAACGTTTACACCGTGAAGTTGCAACGTTTCGCTGACGAGAGCGACACAGACGCTGGCGTGAGAGAGGTGAGTACTATGCATGATAAGGACAAAGTACCTGTGCCGTAGTTCATTTTTTGTAGTTCCGCTGACTGTTGTTCTTCTTATTGATTACCACCACTTGTTCTAGTTTCAGATAGACTCCTCAAAAAATTATAATTCTGAAATTTTCGTCCAGATCCGTTCCTCAGAATACTATGGGAAAGTAACGCTGGGTGGCCAGGACTTCGCGATGGTTTTTGACACGGGTAGCGGTAACATCGTAGTGCCATCGGTTGAGTGCACCGATGAAGCCTGCCAGAGACACAGACGTTACATTACGAATGGAGAGATGGACGACGTTACTTGATTAGGAATGATTGGCCAGTAGAAAATAAAAAACTCTAGTAAACTCAGAAGTGATATAAGTAATTTTCATTTTGATTTAGCTATTTCTGCCGTACTACTAGAATGTCGAGTAGACGGCTAGTCATAGTTCTGGATGCCTGTACCTGTTTTCCTTAGTGGTGGATGTCATGGATGAACTCATAGCATCAAAGGAAGTAGACAACCATGTTTAGTACTGCTATTCATGATCTTGTCGGTCACTTGCTTCTAGCACATTTCTAAGCCAAATGCCAGTGAATCGGCCACCAGCAAGCAACTTGCCTTCGCTGAAGAGCCTGAAACGGAGGTCACACCAGGAAAAGAGCGAGATATTGTTACCATCAGCTACGGCACAGGACAGCTGAGTGGTGTTTTCGTTCGTGACAGGCTTTGTGTCGGAAACGATAGTGCCGCAGACGGTGCAGAAGAGGCAAAGCTTTGCGCTATGATAAATTTCGTGTATGGTACGAGGGTCTAAAAATTTGAATTTAAATCACACTCCTCACGTAAATTGAGACAAATCCAAAAAGTGATTTGATAAGATTCCTCAGCAAAATAGTAGTTACTAGCTTCTTGTTTTCGTAGGATCCCTAACCCAACCTCTCTTCTTGTGAGTTCTTCATTACCCAGCTGCCTCAGAGGAAACTACGGATCCCTTTGGGAAGGTCCAGTTCGACGGTATTTTCGGCCTTGGGTTGCCGGATATGAGCGAAGGACCGCACTTCAACGCCGTCGACCGAATGATAACCAGCAACTTTTTGCGCGATAGTGTCTTTTCGATATATCTGCGGAAAGACGAAGACAAGGGAGAGGAAGAGGAGGATGTTCATTCGCGGGTGACCCCGTGTCAAGATCCCAGTTTTGGTTGTGATAACAGCACATCGTTTGCTGGAGAAATCACTTTCGGAGGCTACCGCACACAAAGAATGTCCAGCGAAATCATCTGGGTCCCAGTCTCGCACCCATCATTTTGTTATAGCATTTTGTTTTTTGCATCCACATGATGTCCACTCAACAAGACACAGATCCTGATCTTTGTTTTCCTCAAATCCGGATCCGTGTCTTTGCCTCAGATTGACAAGATGTTTTCTCCGTATAAATACTTAAGTTACCCCTGCTGGGAGGTGCTCAACTTCATGATTCTAAGCTCCGCAAGTTGAGATGGATGATGTCGTATTGAATAACGTAGTCACTGGCTTATGCGATGGCGGTTGTCAGGCTGCCGTAGATACGGGGACGTCGCTCTTGGCGGGACCTTCCCATATTGTCCACGAATTGACGTTATGATCAGCTACTTTTATCCATCTCTCTTAGAAGAAGCATCCTCTCTTTGTTCCCACACATAGTTGGAAGGAAAAGTCCAAGGGAAACGTATAATCTTATACAAGGGAAAAGGTACGAGGACCAAGATGATTGATAGGAGGGCCACCGAGATGGATTTAGGCACATTCTAACGACGGAAAAACTGAACGTAGCGGCTGACTGTTCCAATTGGCCAAGCCTTCCAGACTTAGGCTTTTTGTTTGGAGATACAATTCTCAACCTGAAGCCGCAGGATTACGTAGAACGACATCCAGAAGAAGGTTGCTCACTCGCTCTGATGGCTCTGGACGTGCCTCCGCCTAAGGGGCCGCTGTTTGTTTTCGGCGAACCCTTTTTGAAGAAATACTACACCATCTTCGATCGCGCGCGACTCTTATGGTCTTGATGTTGGGACGGATACTTTTTCTTTCTTGGTTAGAAAAAGTAGAGCTTTTTGACTCAATTAAGCATGTAAAAAAAGTTTGTAGAGCAGGCGGGAGTCTACTCTCAATTATTTCTTTTTTGTAGTGTGTGTCATGATAGATACACCGGGACTAGCGCTCAGAATACACATCGAAAAGATCATTCTAAGACCACGTCTAGGGCTCGCTCTTGCCAATCACGACATTATTGCTGAAGAGACAACAACTATCACAGCAGACGGAAGTGTGACGGTTCAGGCACACGAGAATGTGACTATCATAACAGAAGGAGACCCACATCATGTCGCTCAACAGAGGAGCACTAAAAAAGTGGTAGTAGTAGACGCAGTGGAGCATTTGCGCGCAAGAGGCCACACAGCGAAGAGGAGACCTACACGGAGACTGAATGTCCATCGTAATCGGAAAACACCGATTGCAGGGCGATGATTCAGATAGGAGATGAACAACTACACCTTGTGACTTTTGCCACGCAACATGTTGAAAGTTGAACTTGAAATTGCCTTGTTGTAACTGTTACTAACACGACGGGAATGGCGTAGTTGGCTTGAGGGCTGTCACTGCTTGGTTGCTCTTCTACGTAGTTGTCCAACTAAAAAAAAAATTTGGGGATGATGAGCGGAGTGAGAGTACAGCCCTCAGTGGAGTAAATACGTAGACGAGTAGTTCTACGGCAAGCCGCAGAGAGAGTACGAGGGTCAGACTTCTATGTATTAAGCACCCTAGCGACCATTTCACAACAACAACAACAACAACATTCCTGTTATTACAAAAAACATCCCCTAGCGACCATTTCACAACAACGCACTCGACCAGGAATAGAGGGTAGAGCCAAAATGGCCACGGGCGCAGAGGATCCAGAGGAAGATGCTAGGCCTCGCGAGTTGGAGTACGGGAAGCCTTTTTCGGAAGCCGAAGGGTGGGACGCAAGAGCGGAACAGAACTACCGCTACTCATGGGACTTCTACTACGAGGAAAGCCAGGAAACATCAGCGCTTTTGCCGAAGCATGGAGGGTTAGGATGAGGTTGTGGGTTATGTTAAGGGTTACGGCATTGCATCCTTCACTACCATTCTTGACTTATTTTCCAATAGGAAAGAAGTCGAGGATGGTCTGGAGAATGTACTTAATTGCGCAACCCCTAATTATGAGGTTGTTGGTTCTTTTTCAATATCGTGGTGACTGTTGTGGTTTTTTGATCATGGCTCTTCCTGGAGGTTGTGGTAAATTGTGTGTCATGGTGAATCACTTATGTAGTAGCTGTAGTTGTACAAGGTGATATACTCCTCACTTCTTCGACTTCATCTTTGGTTTATTTGATGTTGGAAAATTTCCCGCTTTCATACTATGAACGAGCTGGAGGCGGCAACGACGAAGAGGTCTTTCGCAGCGTACGCACAGTCAAGATGTAAGGATGAGTGTTTGCTCAATTGTGCCGTAGATACTGGATAGTTTCAAGTACCATAAGAAGAAGAAAAGTGTTTTATTCACCTTGTTTCTTCTTCTGATGAGCACGAGTACAGGCTGGAACAGCTACTTGCATATACTCGTCACTCTTGTTCTTGTATTAAAAAGTAGCTGCAGGTTGTATCATTCAAGAACAGATGACGAGTAACTCTGCCTTTAGACTGAGTCAAAAATATTGATAAAAGCCGCAGGACGAGCCGCCGTTTTTTCCTTTCATACACCGAGTGTGCGACGAAAGATATGGCAGTTTCTGGAGACCGACCCGACTGTCAATGGCATCCTCCTCACGGTCATTCTGATTTCCACACTCGCTTTCTGCCTGGAGACGGTCCACACGTTTGAGCCTTACAAGCACGTTTTTCAAGTGCTGGTTATGACTGGAGTTGTAATAATTTGTTGTTTTAGTTCGAAGAAGATGCTGTGGAAAATGACGAATAGTATCATCTTTCATCGCTGTAATGATGGCACCTGGAGATTGATTCACATAGGGATAGGAGACAATTCATTGACAAGATGGAGCCTACATCTCTAAACTTAAGCTGATTGTTGTTCTATGCTTTACTTCCGAGCTGCTACTGCGCTACATCGCGGCCCCGATGAGCACGAAGAAATTCCTATCGAATACGATGAACTGGGTGGATATTCTTTTATGAGCAGGATCGATAGATTTGAATTTGTTGTATACAGGAGGAGGTGGACACGCTTACAGTCAGTACTAGATGAGAGTGAAGATGATGTAAACTTACACGGATAAGTTGCCTCTAATCCCTTCCGTCCTTCCCTATTTTATCGAGCAAGGAGCTGCCCTGTACGAGCACTTCTTCGTGACGAATGTGGAGGAACCCAAGTTGAATCTCACCATAGTCCGATGCTTGCGGCTAGCACGGCTGTTCAAGTTCGGACGCTACAGTTCCGAGATGTCACTCGTCGCGGGTGCCTTTTTGCGCTCTTCGGTTAGTTTCCTTTATGGTTGGAGACTAGAGTTGCTGTCGGGATGTCAACAGATGCTGATATTGCAAGTTTTAGTTCTAGTTAACTCTCTCGAAAAAATGAAACCGGGACAACTAAGTAGGACAACTTCAATTCATCTAAAAATATTGAGTTCTCCTTGCATGGCCTTCAAAGTTAAACCCCGCAGATAAACGTAAACCGCTCTCCTAGAATTGATGACTCCCTGCTCGGTCCTTCTCCTCTCTTCCAAGTGTCAACCGACAAGGTACTAGAGTAAGGGCGAATATCTAAATCTTACTTCAAAATGTCAACATCGAATCTAATCGATCCGTTTACTTCTTCCTCTAACTTCCGATGCTGTTCTTCATGCTCTCCATCGCCGTAGTGGTCTTCTCAACGTTGATGTACCTAGCGGAGCAAGGCGACTGGGATGCGGAAATGGGATGCCATACTCGTGCAGAACTAGGCGTCAGAGGAGACTTCTTGAAGTACTGAGTTACTTGATTTAGATTGCACTGAAAATTACGGTAGTAGGAAATATGAATCAATATGTATTCATTGTAGTCAGATCCCATGTCTCACTCTACCTCGCTTCTGGAGCAAGTCGCTTTCTCTCCAACCAATCTGCAGGTCTGAATGTTCCCCTTTCGAGTCCATACCCTTGACTTTCTGGTGGGCTATTACGACTATGACGACAGTCGGCTATGGCGACACCTTTCCAGTGACACCATTGGGCAAAGTAGTTGCAGGCTTTGCAATGGTCGTGGGAACCCTGTCCGTCGCATTGCCTACTACGGTTTTGGGTATTCAATTCGGTGACAGCTATGCGGAGATTCAAGAAGAAAGGGAGAGGGCTAAGGTATTCTTTGTTCTTTCTGTTCTTGGATCAGAATGTGTTGCTCGAAAAATCAAAATGAAAACATCATTAATAAATGAGGGCAAGCTAGTACTACTGCCTCTATCTTTCTCTTCATTATAAATGGATTACTTGTTACTAAGGATTTCCGATCAAAAAATTGAATGTCGAACTCTTATCGACTGCTCAGATCCAGCTCTTAATCCCTTCCGCGGAGCAGAGAAACGAAGAACTAGAGAAGAAAATCGCTGAGTATTCCGCGTTACGACAAAAAATAGTGACAATTCGAGCTAAGATCGATAAGACGGCAATAGAACTGGTGGAACCGGAACAGAGGGACAATTTTTCCTCGATGCTATCAGTCTTCAGCGAAGCGGTTGATCGATCGACGTTGATTAAGAGGAGGTTGTAGAAGACAGGTTGTTTGACAGAAGACCTGTGATCTGGTTAAAGGGTGATCGTTTTGATTAAATAGGGATTTTTCTTGTACTTTCTTACCAAGTATTTTTCCTGTAATAACCTCGACGCCCCTCTTCAAGGACTAAGATCAGGCGTTTTTAGCTGGCAGTGGGAGCACTTCTCACCATGCACCTTGTACTTTCTTAAGTAAGAGACGTATTACAGAAAAGGCACTCAAACAAATCTTTTTCTAATCTGAACATCGAGAATCAACTACTTCGCTCGGCCGCGAACACTCCTGGGCTTGCACTTGGGAAGGGTGGGGTATGAGGAGATCCGAGGTGCAACAACTTTAACTTTATACCCGTGCCGCTGTGCTCAGTCCTCTCCTGACGACTTCATCCCAATTGTTGAACCACGACATGCCTAGTAGCAGCATTCCTACTTGCGGAAAAGCAAGATCATCCAGCCTGTACAGTCGCGTCCTCTCATCAACCAGCACAAGAGGCGCATTTTTCTTTTCATTGTTTTTTCCGATTCATTTTGCAAGGTAGGGAACTTACTAGAAGATCATGAGTACATTATACATTTGTCATGTCATAGGATGTACCACAGTTTTGAATAGAGTTGTACAATTGCCTCAAGATGATCCGGACGTTCAGAAATGTTGTTCTGCTCTTCATAGCACTACTGCTAGTGCCTTACTACAGAAGTTTCGATTTCAATCATATTTGAGCATGCATCAAAATCATGTTGCTAGTAGCAATCCCTCTCACCGAAGCAGAAAGTGCTGGTGCTGGTTCGTTCTGGTGACACGTGTTCCTGAAATTTACAAATGAAATTGAATTTTACAGATTAAATTCATCTTGTAAGGTTCTCTTAAAAAAATTGAAATTGCAATCTGCTCTCCCGCAACGCGATGTTTCGTTCCGTACGACCAGTGAGGACTGGCAGTCTTCAGAATCCAAAGAAATTCAACAAATCTAGACACTTGATAATCTACGATCTCGGTCTTGAGTTCTGCATCCTGGGCTTCGATCTTGTCAAGAAGGCATGTACCGTTTATTTGAATTTGCACACATTCCATTTCCATTCGACACAGCACGAACTTCTTCACCTCTTTCTTGCAACAATTACTTGCGCAGGTTTCACCGCTAATAATTTTCGGGTTTTATTCATCGGTGTTTCTTAGTCTACGCACTATCACAGTGCAACCATTGCTAATATCACAATATTGCAACTACATCTGATATTAGAGATAGAGCATCACATTATATCATAAAACACACAGCACATAATTATCTATCATTTCAATTTATTCAGGAGTCATAAAAATTCTTGATCAAAATAAAAATCAAATAATCAAATATACAACAATTTCAAGTCCTTCATGCCGAGTATAGGAGAGAACACGGCGAAAATGTCGGTGGACGAGCAAGGTTTGGCGATCCAAGATCTCGCCAAGTTGGACGTGACGAAACTTACCCCTCTTTCCCGTGAGGTGATTGCAAGGCAGGCAACAATCAACGTTGGAACCATCGGACATGTGGCGCATGGTGAGCTATCTACTTGGGATAGAGTTGTGCTGGACCTTGTTCACTCATTCTAGAATACTTAATTTGAAGATGATCTGATGTGGTCTCTTTCTGTATGGACTAGAATAATATTTGAAAATCTTCTGTGGTCTCTTTCTGTATGGAACAAAACTATGCTGGTTCTTGTTCTCAAAAGGACCTAATATACTTTTATTCCGAAACAACATGGTCATGAACGTTTTCTTCCTAGGTATTAAAGGGGAAACCCTTCTAAAAAGTCTAACAGCAAAGTTCCTCTCCCAAGCAAAATTCCTCTCCCCTCCCCATCCCTAAAAAAGGTAAGGCCACTTTCGTGAAGGCCTTTTTTAAGGTAAGTCCACTGTCTACCCCAACTACTCAAACTTTTCTACTCCTCCAAGGTAAGTCCACTGTCGTGAAAGTGCTTACTCCCCATCCCTAAAAAGGTAAGTCCACTGTCGTGAAAGCCCTCACTGGCGTAAGCACGATTCGGTACAAGAGCGAGAAAGAGCGAAATATCACTATCAAACTCGGATACGCGAACGCGAAGATATACAAGACCGAGGACGTTGAAGATCCGTGCTACCAGTACACTTCTATGGGCAGTTCCCAACCGGATGAGTGGAAGGGAAACCTCAAGGTTGCAGGTGAAGCCGAAGAAAGAGAGGTCCTCTGGAAGGTCCAGCGACATGTCTCATTTGTGGATTGCCCAGGCCACGATATTTTGATGGCAACGATGTTGAACGGAGCCGCAGTTATGGATGCAGCACTCCTGCTCGTGAGCAGCAATGAGGTAGAAACACAACAAATATGTGTGGATTAAGTAAAGACTACTCACTTGATCATTTTTGAGTACTTACTTGAAGATGTTGATCTTTACAAAGAGGAGTTACTTTCTTGTAGACTAACAGTACATGATATAACATTTTCATCAAGTTCAGGAATATAGGAGGTGCTCAATCGAAAACAAAACCCCACAACAAACACAGCCTTGCCCACAACCGCAAACATTGGAACACTTAGCCGCTGTCGAAATCATGAAATTGAAGCATCTCATGATTCTTCAGGTAATAAATGGATTTAGATTTACTACTGTTTTACTGTGAAGAAGATTAGATAGTTCTTGATGCATTTGGTCGTTCTCGTTAATTCAGTGTGACCGTACTAGGATTGAAACTACGAAAAGTCAAGTTTACTAGAATTGAAACTAAGAGCAGTCACAAAATCAAATTTGAATCCCCTTCCTTACTTCTCACAGAACAAAGTGGAGTTGATCAAAGACGAAGCGGCAAAAGCACAACACAAAGATATTAAGAAATTTGTCGAGGGAACCATTGCAGAGGACGCCCCAATTATTCCGATATCAGCGGTAAAAAATCAGCGGTCTTTTTGATTTGCGCAAAACTTCCATTTACTTATATGTACCTTCAAGAACTAGGTAAAAACTGTACAGTACCTCAAGCAAACTCAACTTAGTCTCAACATCTTGTATGTCCCACTTTCATATCTTACTCCCCCTCCAGAAGTATTACTTCTGAGAAACTAATACCACAATCTCAACCCCCATCACTCTATTCTCGCCTTCACCACCAGGTCCTGAAGTACAACATGGATATCGTTGCCCAATATCTGTGCACTCAAATTCCGATCCCTCCCAGAGACTTCCAGTCTGTGCCTTCCATGATCGTTATCCGATCATTCGACGTCAACAAGCCAGGTGAGGAAATTGAGAAGCTAAAGGGTGGCGTTGCTGGCGGATCTATCTTGAAGTTATGTCATTGGTTGCTTGTGCTGTTAGTTGTGGAAATTTGTTGAATTCTTGCTGACAGATAGGAGGACTTGTCAGCTGTATATAGAAAGAACGTGCACCTGTAGGAGAGAATTGATTTCAAAAATCCTATATCTGTTTTGTCCTTGAAAATCCTCATCCAATAGCTTGCTCTTCCTTATCGGCCCAAGGAACCCAATGTTTATCCACTCCAAAGAACCCAATGCCTATTCACCCTCCTCACTGTCTAATCCCTGGCGTCCTGAAGATGGGGCAAGAAATCGAGTTCCGACCAGGTGTGATTACCAAGACTGCGGAGGGACCCAAGTGCAAGCCTCTGAGGAGTATAGTCTGCCAATTGAAGAGCGAAAACAACGAACTGCAGTATGCTGTGCCAGGAGGGCTCATCGCTGTGGGAACTAAGCTCGATCCTACACTCAGTAGAGCAGATCACCTCGTTGGAAACGTACTCTGCTAAGGCTTAGACTTGAATGGTGTGGATAGCAATATTGATGATTTAGAAGAGTTACTCTTACTTGAATAGTGATGATCATGGTTAACCTTTTGTTTTTTCTCACTACAATGAATGTTAGAGCAGATCACGACATTTTCCGTAAAATGACAAATATTTTCAACCTCAAATCCCCCAATCCCACAGATCCTCGGAGTTCCAGGCTCTATGCCGCAGATCTTTACGGAGATAGAAATCAAGTATTATCTCCTCAAGCGACTTTTGGGACTCAAGGTGAAGGAGGGCGAAAGCAATAAAGTCAAGGTAATATTAGATTGAAGCTAATGCTGTTATAAATACTTGTTCGTCTTGTTGGAACGATTTTTTTGTGAAATACGATCGATGATGTAGTTTCTTGTTTTTCTATTCCTTCAGAAAACACGAGTCATGCTCACTCAATCAAAAAATGATCGAAACATCGAAGCAAGTAGCTACTCTCCTCCCCTACCGTCGTTTCTACAGAAATTGTCAACCGGTGAATTGTTGATGGTCAACGTGGGAAGCACGGCTGTTGGCGGTCGCATTGCTGGTGTGAAAGATAGCAAGGAAAGCGACAGCAAGGATACTAAAGCAAAGATTGAACTGACAAACCCAGTGTGCGCACAGCCAGGCGATAAAGTTGCCTTGTCGAGAAAAATCGAAAAGCACTGGCGACTGGTCGGATGGGGTCAGATCTTGAAGGGAGCTACCGTGAAAGTGGAGTAAACCAGAGTAGACGATGCTCTTACTTTTTTTGACCCACTTATGTAAGTGTAAAAGCCTATTCGGAATTTCCGAAATAGGTGCTTATGTTTCACTCTGTTTTTAGGTCTATCTCACTCCCATTTTATAAGCAATACATCCTGTAGTTGGTCACCACATAACAGCATAGGTGATGAGTTGTACGTCTGGTGGCTGCGACTTGTCTCGGATCAAAAAAGGGGGTCCTACAAGCCATGCGATCTGCCCTTGCGCCTCATACCTACTTGAAACACAATGGATGTCTATGTCATCGAAATGCAGCGAAAACGGTCACTAGCTTTTTTTCACTGGTTGCAAGATAAGAAAATGATCTCAGAAGTCAGCGAATCTTCTAAGAAACACTGAATCCTTGAACCCGCACTCGCGCGATGATCAAACGAAAGATAGGAAAGGAATACTACACTTGCAAACTTCATTAGAGATTTTTTAGCTTTCATCCGCCTGATTACTTATACTTGAAAATGCTGATTACTTTTACTCTTGAACAAGACGAATGCGCAAACCTCCACTGACAACGAATGATCTGAGAACTAACGATGTCGCATTCCCTGCTCTCATGCAAGAAAACGCATAATAAAAACTCAAATAGTCCTTGCGCGATCGCTTAGCGCAGAGATTTATATCTTTTCGGGTGTCCAAACTAGTATGCCTCGTCTCTGCCACATTTTATTCGGTAACCCAAGTCAAGCGTGGTCGCTTTCAACACGACTAACTTTATCTGACATGATGACTTGAGAATCAATTGAGTGCCGAATGCTAGAGTGCTGTGTGACACAATCATGAGAAATTTTTGCACCACGGTGTAAAAAGTTTGCCATTCTGTCTTGAGAAGAAAATCGAATCATAAATTCTGTCCTGAGACTGAGAGAGAGGCAATTTATTTTTTCTGTGTCCCAGCTCGCTGACAAAAGCGGCTGTTTTTCAGCAACTTTTTTTCAAAAATTTTTGATTATCTGCATCTTTCTTTCAAATAGGGACAGCACTGCAGGATGATTTTTCTGTTTCTGTCAGAGGTGACCAAATAGCTCTGTCCGTTGCGTGTGTATTATATCTGTTTTTCGTGGAGATCGAAAAGAAGATATTACTAAAAAAATGAATTTAAAATATTTTTTCAACAACATATTTACCCTAACAGCAATGCTCCATTTTTTGTTATCCCCTTTTATCCCATAGAGAAACTTCACATCCAATATTTTTTGATTGACTCCTTTTTGATAATTTCTATAAATGTATGACTCCTTCCTTTTTCTACCTGATTCGTGTTTACACCCTTTACCTTTGACCTGGCTTAATGGAGTAAGCTTCTAGATTTTAGTATTCCATAGCATATTGTGATCTCTTTATGAATTCTTTCAACCACTGCTTCTGAGACTAGACATTTCGAAAAAATGAAGAAGAAACGCAGCAATATTCAACCTCCTAGCGCTTCGCGCAAGCGTGATCTACCGCAAGCACGGTTAGTCGTACAGGTTCTCAATGAGTCTCTCCCCAATGTGCCTAATGCTGGCGGCGTCTATGAGATCGACTTGCTGGACTATCTGGATGAGATCGCGCGTTTCCGTATGCGCGACAAGCGCTACCCCAGTTACTGTAGGCCAGCGCCTGCGAGTGATCGGGAACAACAAATAAATGGTGCTCCCGTAGCTACGTTTGGTGCGCCCGCGGGCCAGAACAATTATACTTATGGTGCAGGCTGCTCGGGAGTTGACCAGGACACGATGATGGGCATGGGCATGGGACCTCCCGATATATCTACGTTCCACCAATATGATCGTACTAGCAAAGGCGCCATGAATAAACGAGGCGGTTTCCGATCTTTGGACATTGCGGACGCGGACGTGAGTATAGTGGAAATCACAAAGGAGAAAATGGACCAAGATCCTGGATTCACAAGATCGTACCCTGCTCAAAATGGAAATTATGGGAGAGCAGCAGGTGCTCTGAGAAATCAACAACATGGCCATCAGCATCATGGATCTCCCGCAGCTGCATTAGACGCTGCTAGCACTTTAACGGATAATTCCAGTTTCTCAGAGGGTTTCCTAGTCCGGGACGACGAAAGCAGGCCGTTCTTAGACATGCAAAAGCGAAATCGCAAACCGGTATCAAAAAGAAAATTGCCTCTGGTACCCGGCGGAGAGTTGGGGTCTCAAGCTTCGGCAGCAGCTGCCCAAGGAACCATGCGCTCAGGGAATGCCTATGCCACGAAGGAGATGAACACCTCACGCTCACCCAATTATATCATGGATGTTGACCACACTATATTCTACGCAGAGGACGACCACAATGTTGAAGCTGAAATAAGTAGGCATGCAGGAGAAGGTGACGAGGATACTGGTCCTCAGGAGGGACTAGATAACAGGGAAAATGAAGATGACGAAGGACCTGGGGACTCAGCTGAGGAACATCAGGAGGATGATGCCACTCGAGGCCGTCCCGATCGGAGAGGCCGCAAAGAGCACACTCCGCAGAAGGGGAGTAGAGTAGCCATTCACGCTCACACAGGAGAAAATATTGGCCAGCCACCTCGTTATCACGGCAGTCGTGCTCCTGGTAGACGAAATGCTCCAGTTCAAAACTTAGCTGAACTGAGACAACCTCATGTAGCCGCGGATCCTTATGATTTGGACCCTATAGAACTCCTTGAAACGCTGACACCCGAAGAGGCAAAATACATTATCTCTCTCGAGTTAGGTTACAAAGTATGGCGATGTGGCTTGGTGCCGCAGCACTTGATGGAACTAGTGGCTGTGACAGAAGACAGCAGTCGACACGCGGCTGAGTTCAGGTTGAAGCGAACACAGAATCCGGCTATTGCAAGCGTTCTGTCACGAATCAACAGGGCTGGTGGATACCAGCCAGCATTGCTGAAAGGCCAGTCGCGAGAACGAGTTGGGGAGATTTTGAATGGCCTGGCGGACGCTAATAAAGGTGTTGGAGGCATCAATGGTAGTGGTTCTAACGGAAAACACCAAGGCAGCGGTTCCAACATAGATCAATCGATGCTCTTCGACGGAGATATCGACTTCGAAGAAGCTGGTCCGGGTATCGTGCGGACCTCTGGCCGTCTAGGCCCGATGCGCCTAGGCGCTGTTGAGGCTGAGTCTGCTTTCTCCAGTGTAGTAGGCAGACAGCAGGGACGCGGAGAAGTCGTGAAGAGTAAGAAGAGTTTGTCCTCGAAGCACCACAAATCGTCCACGCAGGAATCTGAAGCTACGACAAGCAAAAGCAAGCGGGACTACGCGCGAACTTTAACTGTTTCTGAGCAAGAGGAGGACAAACGGCGGTATGGCGAATTACTCAAGTATGCCAGAGCCACGCGGTGGAACAGCATCGGCAAATTAGGCGTAGCTGTTCCCGCTGATGAAATCAACTTCAGAGAAAGCGACGCTGGAGCTTTGGAGGAAAAGTACCCTGCCATGGCGTCTGGCGCCCGTGCCGTAACCTGCCGTCACGGTAAACAACTCCTAGTGTTTCTGCCACCGCAAACACCAGAAATGGAGGGACGGTTGAATCAAATGGCTACTGCGCCTCCCATGCAGTATCCTCCAGCACCACTCTACACCAATGGCAGCATCGCTTCGCCTTTTTCGCCCTTCGTGATGGGCCAAAACGCGAATCTGCATCCAGCATTGCTACAGCAACAGCATATGCAAATCGTAGCAGGGAGCTTTCCTCCGATTGGCGCTATTGGGGTCGGCTCTTCAGGATTGTACCACACCAACCAGATAAGCACGAATATGAATACGTTCGGAGGACATCCGCATTTCAACGCTGTGGACAGTATGACGTTGTTTGCTGACGGCAGCCGCACCTACTACGTCCCGCAAACTCGGGATGCCGATCGCGCCTTAACCGGTGATATTCCAGGCTGCAAGACGTGGCGGTTCGACCTGTTTAATGAAGAAATGACCAGGAACTCATTGCGCATGCTAGAGTTTTTATCGCAGTATAGGGTTGTGGACAGCACAGGTCCTGCAACGGCAAGTGGTGATATGCATCCTGGAGCTGGTGGTGGTGCGGGATTCAACGGAGGTTTCCAGAACTACGGCTCCGATTTCAACACTTCTTCAACTAACCGCCTCATCGACCAAACCATGTACGCAGAAGAGGAGAGAGACGAAGTAGCCTATTCCTCTGATGAGGACGAAGAAGAAGACGGAGGTCGTGACCAGAAGAACAAAGTGGGAGGTGGTGCTGAAACGACAAGAAAAGCCATGCGAGCCGGGCGATTGGTGACAAGGTTGGTTCGTCAGATTGAAGTCCTCTTGTTTGTCAGTAGTTGTAAGTATGTTTCAGTGGAATTGTACGAAGCGAGTCAGTCTGAAGGCATGATCGCGAAAACTAACGATTGGGTCGTTGACCAGGATGAAGAAGGCGAAGAAGAAGGAAATGCTAACGCTAAGGCTGCTGCCGGAGCTGATGGTGGGAAAACATCGAAAGCAGACGCAAAAAGAAATCCTCAAAAGGGATGTGGGAGCCCTAGTGTGAAGCTGGCTATTGCTTGTGACCCTCCTCAACAGCTCCAAATGAACCCTTATCCTTCCGCCCGACTAGTGCGCGAATTACTCCAGCGTGTCAATTCTTTGTCGCATGCACGTGAGCTTGTCTATGCCATGCGAGCTGACGACCTAAATTCTGTGGATCGCAAAGGCAACAACATCATTCTCAAAGCTTTTCTCTCTGCCGCAGCCCATTTTCCGGAGAAGCAGCAAATCATCTGCCAAGCAGTTCTGGAACAGTGTCCCAGATTCGCGTTGTTGAACAACGTAGACAGCGAGGATGGTAGAACTTTGCTTCATTTAGCTGCCTTGCACAATTGGGGAGAAACTATGACGAAACTTCTAGGTGCTCAGGGAGAGTGGAGGATGGAGAGTACTAACTACACTCGTTCGGCTCTGTTTCCACCGTTGCATCCCTTTGCTGGCCGTGACGCAGCTGACCGACGCGGCAACTCGTGCATGGTGGAAGCCGTGGACCGCAACGACGGTCGGACGATCATGCTATTGCTGAAATTCGCTTTGGAAACTCCGGAGAGACGTGTGGGGTGGCGCACTATTCCAACTGCACAGCCTGGTGCGAATGACGAAGATGATGACGGCGATTCCACAATCCGCAGTCTCGCTGAACCCAATGTTGACAACAGGTATGCTTTAGGTAAGTCTCTGCCAGTTGGGTTGACGGGAGAAACAAGCTTCTACAAGGAGAATTTAGAGGCGAACCACGACAGTGCGGGCAATTTGATTGAATTCCCGTTATTGGAATCAACTACGCGTCAGGGACACAGTCTGTTGTTGCACGCGATCTACAAAAGACGAGAGGGCGTGGTCTTGAAGATTTTGACCGAAATTTGCTTGTTGATCAAACGCTGTGCGACCAACAACTGGCGTGACGATCATGCACAGAAAAGGTCGAAACTGTCGGACAACTTAGTAGCTGGCAGGGCTCACAGCAGGTACTCACCAGAATATCAAATGCCACCTTCTCAAACTTTCCCCAACAAACCGGGTGTGCAAATCCGCGGTTACTTGGGCACGTCGCAGCCTGTCGTTTTTCAGGACCACAATATCGCGACTGGTGGTGCCTTGCCGATTATGGAGCCAGGTGGAGAATTGCCAGCTTCCTCTGCCGTCGGCGCCCAATATGCACGTGTCCCTCACGGTGGGGCCACGTTTTACGAGTCCGACCCCCACCGCTGGCCAGGCAAGATCCCTAAACAACATGCAGGGAATAAAAACGAGATTGTGAACGTGAATTTGGGCAATCAAGGAGTACATGTGTCAGATTTTGACCATAATCGTCGAGTCTATAGGAAAAACCCCGCGACGGGAAAGCTAGTTCCAGTTGAAGGTCTGATTCCGCCAGTTGAGAAAGCGATCGCACAACGCGCGATGGCAGGTGGAAGTCACATGCACAGCCAGTTTTCAGAACAGCAATCTACAATGACAGTCCACGGTTTTTCTGGTGTCGGACCTTCGAGTTTGATGGGTATGTATCGGCACCGAAACACTACGGACAATGTGTCAGCGGCCTTGCAGCAGCAATACGTGGATCCCAGGATTACGGATGACTTCCAAGAGCTAGTGGTGAAGCCCAAAGACGCGGATCCGGGAGTTTATAGGAAATTGCTTTTCGACCTGCTCAATTTCCGCGATCAAGACGGTCGAACCTTACTCTCAGCAGCCTGTAGCATGGGCATGGTGCGAGTTGTGGAAGTTCTCCTTGGTGAACTGGATGAAGGGCATAGCCTGAACAATCAGGGGATCACTGCTGCGCAACAACAACCGCGCGGAGCTGCATCTGTGTCGCCACAACGCGGCCAACCAAGGAAGACCAACAAAGCAGGGGGTCCTCGTGGACAATTCGAGGATCACTTCCCAGCAGGACCGGAGGCTGTTGTCCGAGAGGGTTTACGCCGTTCCTCCTCTCAAATGGCAGCCGAACGTGGCTACGCTCGTCCCGCAGATCCTAGTGCTGCCTATTTGACAGCCCTTCTGAGGCCTTGCGGGTTCTTGTTCACCGATGACAGCGTAAACGCGGTGGATTTGTTTGGCAAGAACGCTTTGCACTACGCCATCGCCAGACGCGAGTACGAGATTTGCAATTTATTGTTTTTCTCGCGAAGATTTCGCGCTTACGATGATCCAGAGATCGCACGCTATTTCGCGGAGCGCCATTACAAAGACATCGTGCCCTTGATCCCGAGGTTACTGGCGAATTTGGAGAAACGACAACTGCAGAACGACAAACGGGAACGTTTGGCACGGAAGCGTCAGACGAATGTGAACATGAAGGGTCGAGGCAACAAGGGTCTTTTAGATCATCCGAAGAATGAAGAATACGAGGATGAGGATGATGAATTCGACGATTTAGAGGACTTGATTGGAGACGGTTCTAGAGTGGACGTTGGAGAACGCGCAGCTCATGAGCGGATGAAAAGCGACCTGCCGTCTGCTCGAGGTGGAAAGAGAAAAGGTGGTGGTCAAAAGAAGAAGCGAGTTGGAGCTTCTGCGAACCTGAGAGATGCATCATCTGCGATCGGTGCATCAGAACTGCGTGGCGAATCCGGAGCTTCCGCGAACCAAGAAGCATCCCCTACTTCTCAGCCCGTGACGTCTTCACAAGAACAGAGTAGAAAGAGTGCCCGCTCGCCGCGTGCTATGGGGATTGATACCCTTGGACTTGGCAACGAACAACAGTTTTCCGAAGTAGATCCTGATCTTCATGTGAGTGCAAGTCAGAGGCTTCCACACATTAGGGCATCCGCATCTGGCTCTCCACCGCAGCACCTCCCAGTCTCCTCACAGCCTCCTTCCGCGCCGTTATCACCAATAGCTAGGGTTGATGTTGGGGACGCGCGTGAGATGTTGAGTCCGAAAGGTGGGTCCAATAGCCGAATGCGCCTCCCTCCTGCCAAACGACCTGAAAATCACAGTAGTAGTATGCGCACTAGGAATCATTCGGACAATCGTTCTCCACCACCGCAAGCTCCACCATATTCTGGTAGTACTCGTTCTCATGATCATCTCGCTTCTCGCGGTAGCGAAGGTCAGTATAGCAGGTCCGGTCATCACTCTTCTCAAGAACGTGAGACCAGCAACGACGAAAGTCGAGCCTCTCACCGGCAAGCACAACAAAACTTCTACAACAACAGCAATCGAGGACATGATGGTGCAGCTATTAAAGGTCCTGGAGGTGCTGGAGGAGTGTTTCTAGAAGACGAGGAGCTTGAAGATTTTAGAAGTGACGACATCCATGATGAAAGCATTCCACGAGTCTTGGAGGACTCAGTCGTTGACACCAGTCATATGGACACTTTCTACAGTCGACGTGGGGAAGGAGCTGATGAAGGGAGACATGCGGCAGCGCGGCCAGACAGTGAACAGGGCATGTTGAAGAATGACCACAACGTCGCGTGCTGGAATAACAGCACGACTTGGTATGATGTCGAAGACATGTCGGCATCTTCTCTATCCAAGAATAGAAGGGGTCGTAGTCCTACTGCCAGGCCTCGGGTAGCGAGTCCGGCTGACGATGTGCCGAGTGTTTTGCTGTCGTTGCCGAGTAATCTGGCTTCTCCAACGTCAGGACGTGGAGGTTCTCTACAACTCGAAAGAGCAGCGGGTGGAAGTCCAAATCAACATAGGAGAAATAACGCCGCGTCAAGAAACTTTCTTTTCTTTGAAGGTGAGCATGAAGCTGAAAACCTTGCTTCAGAGGACGCGGAGGAAGGCGAAACAGAGCAAGTATTAGACGCACCAGAGGAGAATGAAGAGTTGCTGCGGTCACTTTTTGGTGAAGAAGAAGAAGAGCAGCAAGGCATAGAACTCGTACTTGAAAGCGAAGACGAAGAAAATGTTTCAGTTCAAGCATCTCCTGTGGTCGACGAACAAGACGATGTTCTCTCCATTTCTAGTCCACACAGTCCACAGCAGGAGCTTTTTGAGGGTACCCACCACATGCCCTTGAGACTCTCTGGTGGCTTACCGAGTAACAAGGCTGCTGACCATCGTAAACGAGGAGATCCAACTCCGATCCAGGAAATAAAGCAGCCGATGGGTTGGGCCGGTACTGACGTGAGCGTGCGGGATCGATTGTTTGGGGATGAAGCAGATTCCGACTCCCTAGATCGGGAAAAACGAAAGGCCAGTAGTGCAGATCTCCTTGTCGAGGAACGCAGTGAGGGCAGTGAAGATAGCGTCCCGTCATCCGGAGGCCCTTATCAGGGACATCCCTTGCAATACAAGGATGAAGAAAAGACATTGGGACTGTCGAGGTCTAATGGGTTCAATGCTGGTGGTGGTTCCGCGAAAGAAGAGGAGGACAAGCGAAATAGTAGCGAAGAAACAAGTTGTACTTCTAAGATGAACAAGATTGGAAAGCCTCCCGCCGCACCGAAAGTGAAGCGCACCAACGTCAAGAAAGACCATGGCTTGCCTAAGGATAAGAAACTTGTGATGTCAAAGGAGACATCTTCCCCCAGTGCACCTCATCTGAGCACGAAGCAGCTAGTCGATGGCTACGCTCTATCGCAGTTTGAAAAAGCGGGCTGGAGCAATGTGGATGGCTACTTCCGACAAGCTCATCCTTCGCTCAACGTACCACGTAAGAGAAGTGTTGAAGATTACGATGAGGTTTTCCGAATCACTTACGGAGGAGCTGTGGCGCGGAATGTTTATACCGAGAAAGGAGCCCTAGAAGTCGGACTCTATGACGAAGCTATGGAACTAAGCGGAGTCTCTGACCCGGTTCTAGATGATCCTGGGTTTGGTTTAGACACCCGCGAACAGGGCTTCTACACGCGCGAACTGTGTCGGGATAGCAGTGGCAATGTCATTGGCTTCAAACAAGCGGCTGAACGAAAGTCCGATAAGAAGGAGTATGAACAACGACAAAGAGTTAAGATGGAGCAGAAAAAGGAGAAACAGCAACAGCAACAAGCGCAAAAGAAACAAGAGGAAATGGCTTCTCAACAAGCTGCACTTCTGCCGAAGAAGAAAGTAGACCATGCTTCCCTCCATCGTGATGTCATAGAGCATCAGAAAGTGCGCCGAAACTTCTTTGTAGACCTGAAAACTGGAAAGGAACTGCCCAAAGGCGTACGAGTCACGCATCTGACAAAGGATAACCACGTCATCGAATATTACGACGTCAATGTTGGTCCAGGACCAGGTGGTCCTCTTTCTCCTCATTTAGAGGTGGAGAATCAACAAAATGTCAAGACGCACAAGCCACGAGCGGGCCAACAACATTCTGGCGTGTCTCCGGGTGACGCATCTACCACCGACGATGGTGTAACACCACAGGATCATAGTGATGCTGCCTCAACTGCGGATTCTAGTGAAAGTCCTCAGAGGACTAGCTATGCTAACCCATACAGATGCAGCAACCAGCCCTACCAGTATCTTGGGAAGAAAGACGGCAGGGATTACTATCTAGCGACCTTGAATCAAGGGGACGACTACGTGATCGCAAGTACCACGAAGCCAGACGACGTGGACGCGTATGGGAACAAAATTGTCAGCGAAGCCGAACATCCTAAGAATGCACGTTCAACGTTGAAACAACAACAAAGTGCTAATCAAAAGGCCAATGCAGCTAACGCTAAGGGTAAGAAAGGTAGCAGTAGCACACAAGCACAGTCACAAGTGCCGGAGAAGGAAAGAGAAAAGAGCTTCTTAGTGAAAGCACACATGGGTTCAGCAGCATATGAGCCGCGGGCTTTTCTAGCCAAAGTGCACGATCACTCTCAAAGGCCTGCAGGAGTCCCGATTTTGCCACCTGTTATTCCTGGTGTAGGTGGCGCCATTCCCGAAAGCGATATGCACCAGATTTTCCCACCCTCTCTAGCCCGCGGAACAACGGAACAGCAAAGGCTACATCCTCAGAAACAGAGGAGACAGATGGTGAACGGGGAGATGTCACCAGTTGTAGATGGGAAAAACGCTTTTCTTCAGGACAACACTGCCAGGACACAATTAATTCCTGCCGACAACATTCGAGCTTTGTTAAATGAGGAACAAGAGCACGTCGAACGTGCCTTGGATATCCTGAATGACCGCACGAAATGGGTCTTTCCCGGTTCGGAGTCTGACTTGCCTCCACGCAAACTACCTAAGCTCTCGACCAACGTCTTCATCGCGAAAGCAGACGCAGTGGAGCGACCGTTCACGGACTACAACATGCGTCCAAAGGTTGCCCAGGGCAGAGACATGTTCGCGGACGATCCGTTTTTAGAAAACTTCTTGAAAAACGAGTTCGGGTCAACCACTTACGCAAACGCGATGCAAGACACGAGTGTGGATCATAAATTTCTCAGTCCCAGGAACCTTGATGGAAGGAGCCATAATCAGGATCCATTCCGTGCCTCTGCGGAAGAACTCAACGCTCTGATTGCTCCGGAACCAGGCTTAGTGGCGCAGTATCACGAAAGGGTAGCGCAGAAAGCTTTAGAGAATAAGCTGGTTCAGGATCATGCTCATAGTGAGTCAGAAGAAGAACTACGAGATCCGGGTTTTAAGGAGCAATTGCGCATAGGAACGCCGACTTCATATGCGACTTCCAAGAAGAGCAGTGTTGGGGCTAAAGCGAGGGCGCAAGAACTCGCCTTACTCCAAGAACTAGAGAACGAAAGACAAACTGCAGAACAACTCCAGCATTTAGGCGACTTCGAAACAGGGCAAGACGCAATCGAGGTGAGAAAGCGTGCTATTCTGGCGGCGAACGGATCCAAGAGTGTGAGTAAAGCTCAGATCGGGCGTTGGGATTACTACCCGTCGGCGATCATAGAACCAAGTGGAAAAGACGACACAGTAGCAAGGTTGTTGCAGCTAGGGTTTGGGGAAGAGGTAGAAGACTTCTACGACAATGATCCCATAAATGCGAATCTGGACCCAGCGAAAATCCAGCACTACGCACGTGGTCGAAGTTTGGAATACAAAGCCGTTGTAAGTTGTGAGAAAATTAAGCAAGGCACTTTGACTCTGTCTCCCCGTGTGCCTTTTCGTGGCGAAGGAAGAGATCAGCGTAGCCTGTTGCCAGAGAACGAGTCGCAACTAGTAAATTGGATGTCCATGATGAACTACGCTGTGAAACACGCACCCACCAACGCCGACGCGCATGAAATCGAGCGCCGTATCGAAGTGAGGAAAAAAGCGGAGGTAGCGGAAGAGGAACGGCATGCATGGGAAGAGGCTCAGAGGGAGCGAAGAAGGGCATTGGAAGAAGCACGCGTGGCAGTGGAAGCAGAAAAAGCAAAACAAAAAGGCACAAACTTACTAGCGGGTGAGGGTAGTGCGGACAGGAAAGACCCTGTGCTGGGAGATGGAGAAGGTGGGGAAACGATGTTGGAAAGGTTGCTCGCAGGGGAAGGAGGTACATTTTATCATAGTACGAGTTGCTTCGTATTCAATTCTGTTGTCTCAAGTTGTATCGTACCAAGCCTTTTCCTTTCATTCTCCACCTCCTACTCATCTCTCTAACCGCCCTAACGTCTCTTGAACTCCAGCAGGTCCCCAAGAAGACGGCACTTCGTCCACCGCCAAGGCGAAATCTGAAGAGAAAAAACCAGTCAATCCTCTTTCAGTCGTGTCGAACCTGCATCGAAATATCAAGAAGATTGCCCATCGACTCGCGAAATCTAGTCCTTATTTCATCGCTGAGGAGGAGACACCGGAACAAAAAAGAAAAGCAGCCAGAGAAGCTAAGATTCTACAGAGACAACAGGCTTTGCAAGCTCACAAAGAAATAGGAGGTGCTAGTACAAGTGCGGGGAAGGGGATGAGTACTACAGGGATGAGTGGCATGAATCAGGATGGCGGTGCTAGTCCCGGCAGCGATGCATTTCACATCACAACAGCTAGTAATACTGCTTCTATGAATCCTTTAGAAGCTTTATTGGAGCAAGAACCTCTAGATGTTCGAGGGAGTCCACCTGGCAGTCCCGGCAGCCCTAAAAGTGGAGGACTAGCAAGTCCAGGTAGCCCAACAAGCCCCAGCGCTACAGCTTCAAACGCAGCTAGTCCTCATGCTATACTCGGAGGAGCTCCCAGTCCACGACGGTCGATGACGTTTTCTCTGGCGATGGCTGGCGAACTGATCGCGCAGAAATGCATGACCGAACAGCGACCTGCAGTGAGGAAGTTGGGGAGTCGATGGATGTAAGCGGGTAAGTGGTAGACTACTTGTCTGCGGAAACTCAGACTACGCTTAGTCTACTGTATGATATTCAAATTTACTTTCAAAGTAGCATGACGGCAATTCTGATAATGGAGATTTTTATTTGAACTTTTTTACGAATACGCTTACGTATCTTGATCTTCTCTTGTTAGATTCCGCATAAATGACAGTCAGATTGACATCGTACTTAATTAGTATATTAGAATTTGGAGGACAAAGACAATCATTTTTTCCTAGTAAATACTTTTCTTGTCGTTATGACGACGACATCCAAGCATACCTACAACATTGGATAGATTTAATCTTACAAACATTTGAGCTTATTTTTATCAGCGACACCGACACGTTCGTCACTTTTAGCTAGATAACATCAAGTGAGTCAGATAAAACATCAGAGAATTCTTCAACAAAGACAGATTTTACATTAGAAGACATGTACCCCGCTCGTCGATGGAAACAGAAGGATTGGGCTCTTTATGTAAAACGTACCGCACAACGTCAACGTACTACATCACAGAAGTGCTTGATGGAGCTTGTTGCATGGAGATCAAGCATGATTGAATCCTTGGTTTCTGGCCGCGTCACGGCAGACATTAGCTACGAACAGATAGGTGAAAAGTGTTCACTGGAGGTGGACGAGGGCAGACGAGCGTGGGGATTCTTTCTTTCACATCTTTGATGGAGCGACCAGAAATTCTGTAAAGCTCTGTCGACAGAATCACATGCTTTTGGCTTCGGTGAAGTTGCTTGGCGCTATTGATTCTGTGATTTGATGTGTCAGGATCATCAAGGTTTTACAGTTATTGTTGGGCCCCTGTACACCCGGATTTGTGTCAGGATCAAGATTTTACAGAATATTGTTGGGCCCCTGTACACCCGGATTTCGACTTGTTACAAAATGAGTCTACGTCTCAGTTAGATAGGCTCTCTTGTCCATACCCTTACCCGTGGTATAATGATAACAAATTGATTGTGTTGCTATGGATGATATGTCAGATAAAACGCGTTATTGGTTACTCAAGCATTGAAAAAGTTTGATTCAGCGAGTTTTGGTGTATCGTCTATTAATCAACGTACTCCACCACTCGTAAAATCCAAAAAACGAACTTCGATACAATCCTACGAGCATCAAACACGACGATGCTGAGTGTTGCTCGCGCGGGCCCGGTAAGCGGGCAGCACTTTGCTGGTGTACTCAGGATCCGGTCTCAGCAGGATCTCCATTTTGTCGTCAAGGTCGGCCATTGCAGTAAAAGCCTAAGTTGAGGGTTTCCGAATTGCATTCCTCACTACCATCCCTGACTCTTTTCCTATGAATTAGAAAAGAGGCCAGGGATGTTCTGAAGAATGTTGTAATTCCGTAACCTCTAAGTAAGAGCGTTCTCCTCTGCTCCTCAACCTCCTCAAGACCGCGACCACCGTTTTTCGCGCACCCTGACGACCCATGAAAAGCTCGCCTATAGTTGGCGAGACAAGAAAACTGGGAAACCTTTAAAAGGGAGCCTGGTCGATGGCTTTTTGGATGAGCAGATCGAGATTTTGGGGAGACGAGCGAAGAATTTGCGAGAACGACTGGGCGTTTTAGAACCGAATACAAGGGATTGGACCGAATTGTGGGGTAAGAAACCGTTTTGGATGGTTTCCGGAGGGTGGAACGCAGGCGCGTGGGCGTTGATTCTGATCGGTTATGTTCAGTTTGATTTGAACTAAAGTTTTGGAAGATCATGAGGCAGAGGGTAGTTTCGGATTAGGGGTCATTTGAAGACTATCCGGGCGTGCTCGTTCTGGTGAGAGGTAGTTGTATGTGGATAACCATCTTCATTTGCGAAGAAGTATTGTAGTGCAACATCAGCATGTTTTTCAAACAAGATGTGACCATGACAGATGACCATGCTCTTCTCTAACCTTTCGGCTGGTCTCCCTTCCATGCCGTTTTACCTGCTGGCTTTACGTACTTGGGTCTCATGGACATGAACAGCCATCGAACCATGAGGAAAAATTTTCCTGCGCTGATTTGGTTCCGATACTTCTTTGAGTCTGTACGTCCAGAGATCCGACAATACATCGTCGAAGGAGATGATGAGGAGAACCCTTTTTCTAGTTATGCGTGAATAAAGTGGTTGAATTGATCATGATCGTTCATGATCTTGAGCAGCGATAGAGAAGTATGTCGCTATGGGCTTTTTCAGGAGTTGCCTAGATACTAGATGGGCTCTAAGGAACTGAAAAAGCCTTCTCAGGCAGCACTTCTGTAATCAGAATGATAAATATGTTTCAACCTCTCAGAGAACCACCACCCAGTCAAGCTCTCTCATCAAGCTCTCTCTCTCTAACTCCCAAAGCAACGAACGTTGATCTATCAACGTGCCAAAGGCAGAGGGGAATCGAATCCCTTTGGAACTAGAGCAGATCTCTATGATGCAGGTGGATATGACTGGGTCAACCACTCCAACTTGGGTGCGCAACACCTAGATCCGGAGAAAGTTGGTCGAACTGTCATCGGTGGCACTATGGATCCGGTGACGGGAAAATTAGAGCGATTTCCTGGGGATGATAAGTTATGCTTGGTTGCTTGGTGGACTAGGAATGTCAATTTTTTTTCTACCACTAGCTGTCTGGACTGAACAGGAATGGCAATTCTTTTACTTCTAGCACGTTCGTTTCCTCTGTCTGGTCTGGACGTCCTTCTTCTTACTATCATGCTATCTGCAGAAGTTTCCCACTCTAGGGAAAGCCCGGAGCTTTAATTTAAAGGACCAACCCCAAGTGTTCAATTCGTGCATTTCTTGAGTACATAGCGGGCGTGTCGTGTTCCTGTTCTACTTCTATTTCCTCATAAGTTACAGCCTCACCCGCTCTTTCCTTTTCCCTGTTTCATTCTCGATTACTCCTTACCTCGCTTCCCGGCTCAACATTTCCGGTATGAGCTATGGCGCATTAAGCGACCGAGCTGTGCAGGCTTTGAACAGTGGCGCTAAACAAGGAGGCTTCTACCACAATACAGGAGAGGGCAGCGTGAGTGACCATCATAGGTCAGCGGGTGCCGACGTCGTATGGAATATAGGGACAGGTTATTTCGGATGCAGAGACATGAAGACAGGTCGCTTTTCTGAGAAGAATTTCACGGATACGCTGAAAAAAACACCTGGGATAAGGATGATCGAATTGAAATTGAGTCAAGGTATCATTCCCCTTACTAGACATGAATCAGTGCTTATCGTGTATCGATATCAATTTTTGACTTTTTTTTGTCCGAACAACAAACGACACCCACAGGCGCCAAGCCCGATCATGAATGATTATAAAAGAAAGATTAAGATTCTTCTTCTTGATTTTTGTGATGTAATGGTTTTTGTGTTGTAATTCCATTTCACAAAGGATCTCGTTTCCAAATCCAAAGTCTTTTTTTCTCGCACGACGCACAGACGAATTCCAGCAATATCCACCCACAGGCGCCAAGCCCGGTCATGGCGGAATCATGCCCGCAGCTAAACTCACTGCTGAAATCGCGGAGATTCGTGGAGTACCGCAAGGCGAGGACTGCATTTCCCCACCTTGGCATGCCGAATTCGTTGGGCCATTAGGCTTAGTCCAATTCCTCATGCGATTGCGCGAATTATCCGGCAAACCCACTGGCTTCAAGATGTGTGTCGGTAATCGAGTAGAAGCAGCCGCGATCATCAAGGCTTTACAGCAGGAATTCGAAAAAGGCAACAGGCCCTGTGACTTTATCACAATTGACGGTGCTGAGGGTGGAACCGGAGCTGCGCCAGTGGAATTCTCAGACCGAGTTGGGCTTCCCTTGAGGGATGGCTTGTTACTTGTGGATGACTTGTTGCGTGGAGCCGGGATCAGACATGAAGTAAAGATCATCGCGAGTGGGAAAATCATGGACGCATTCACCATGGTGCGAGCGATGGCGTTGGGTACTTACTAACTTCTATGAGAAGAAGACGTTGTCACTATCTTCAGCTACATTTTTTCAGCACTAACTATCTCAAGAATGCATGCGGGATATCACGATGGGCTAGCATTGCATTCTTTGTTTGCGTGCATTCTTTAGATAGTTTTAGTGCTGATGAAAAGCGTTTTTTCTCACTTGCAGATTACTCTCTCTTCCCCACGATCATGACCAAAGGTGCCGACGTTTGCAACAGTGCCCGTGGGTTTATGATCGCTTTGGGGTGTATCCAAGCGCTCAAATGCAACACAAATCACTGTCCAACTGGAATTACCACGACGAACCCAGACCTGGTTTCCGGCATTAAAGTACCAAACAAGGCAGCCAGAGTTGCGGGATTCCATCACAACACAATGCACGCTTTTGCCGAGTTGGTCGGTGCCACCGGGGTGGATGATCCGGATGAGTTGAAGAGACAGCATATTATGAGGAGGATGAGGAATTTGGAGGTATTTCTTCTTCCTTGTTTTCGTCGTAGGTGTTGTTGCAATGCCGCTGCGGAGAATGATGAAGACTATGTACAAGGAAAACAACAGAGAGATAAAAATCCTCCTCTTACTGCTCTGTCATTCTTCAGGTAATGAGCTACGCTCAAATCGCTCCCGAAGTTGAACGTGGATGCTTAGTCAAAAAAGACGCAAAAGCGCCTGAAACGTTGCAGCGTTTCTGGGATAACGCTGTGCTATATGGCGGTCTAAACCCTAATAGTGGAGATGGAAAGATGTACCGATTGTCGAGTGCATCTCTGAATGCTATGCGTGCTGATGGCAGAAAAACGTTTAGAATGACGCCGTAGGAATGGAAAACGAAATTGACGAGACTACACACTAGATTTAGAAGAAGTTGAAACTCCTGGTTGAGCCATTATGCTCTGGAGCACTGTCATGATATTAGACGTACAACATCAACTCTAGTTTCTAGCACAGAAAATACATGAATAGAATCTTGCACAGAGAAGGTCGTCGAGTCACTACATAGGAAAAATAGCAATCAATCACGCATAATTACACGATTGTCTCTTCTAGTTCTAGTATCATCAAGACATTGTAAAAAAGGAAATGATTTGAGGCTAATACATATCATGCTCACAAGAACTAAGTACTTACATCAAAAACATCTTAAGACAGAGGCCTGGCGTGCTGGGATGATGCCCGGTTTGATAGGTATTCTGCGTAGGCGATTTGATGAATGAAGTTGAAGTTCTTGAATGCATGGCTTACAATGGTAGGACTCTCGTCACTGATTCTGATGCTGGTTTATCATGATGGAGGTACATTCGAACAAACGATATCGATAATGGTCACGACAGACGGACATTTTTAACCTTACTGAGAAATTGTGTACGAAAATGAATGTGAAAAAAAGACTCCCTCCCGACATGCGCTCTGCAGATGATGCGGTAACAACACGATTTTCACTGTGGCGTACAGGTCCTCGTTGACACGTGTTTCCTGTGAGAAGAGCATTGCTGTTGAAAGAACAAGGAAATAAGTTTTTGTGGATGTGAGACAGACATAAAGAGATGATTCGAGAGGAAAGGAGAGTGGTCATGTTGATATTAAATGAAAAGAAAACCGGTCTACTTTCAAAGGCTAAGCGGTTGTATTAATCGAATGGATTAAGTCTACTAAGCAAATTATATAGTCTTTTGCCCAAAAGGATGTCGGCTGCCCTCAAGTCTATCGGGAACGCTTTCGCGTCACAAGCCGGGCCTGGAGCAGCGGGTAAATTGATGTTTTTCATCCGCGTCATTCAAAAACCATGATGAATGCTCACGCATGGATGACGATCAAAAAGTAACCAAAGCATCTCTTAAGACTATCCTTAACTTAGCAGGTTATTCCCTCGCTTTCGGCGCTGTTTGCGGTATAGGGCTATCAACGGTTGTCGCCGGCGGTCGGGCTCTGCATGTCCTATTAGCAGATCACGACCACTACAAGCTGCAGTCTCGTCAGCGATACCTGGACAAGCAGACTATCTTCTTTTATGGTTTTCGTTTTGTTCCACCTGGAGGTCCATGCGTCCATGCCTATCATACTTGTTTTCGTGGTGCTCTTACAGCGTTTTTTACATCTTTCTTTTCTTCCAAGTGTCCAACGAATAGTTACTAGAGTTAGCACGAGTATCTGAATACTGCTTCCAAATGTTCAACATCCAATCTAATCCGTCTACTCCTTCCTCAGGCTTATTATTTGTTCCCTCTGGTCCATGCCTATCATGCTTGTGGTGCTCGTACAACTTTTTTTACGTGTCGATCGTGGGTGATCGATATGGTGTATCATGGTCAAAAAATATGGAGATGGACCTAAATCTTCTAGTACAACTAGTTCTCGCTCTAATCTCGCCAAGAGCTCCAGGAAGAGAACGAGGGGCATCGACTAGCGGCACTTGCGCAGGAATACGATCCGGTCGCCTGTCGTCCACCCTTCGGCAAGCTTGATGCAAAATACAAGTTCTAAGAAGAAGTTTCCAGTTCCAGATGCCATATGTGACGCTGCTTCTCTGTTGTAACAAAGATAAGGCATGAGATCATTTTCACTTCTTTCAAACGAATATCCTCTGTGTGATGGATGATCCCTTTTGAACCTGATTGATGTGACAAACAGACACATCACAAAGAAAGATGTCCACCTCCTGTTCGATTTTCCTGGACGCGCGAACGGGAAGTTCCTTATGAAAGTTTTCTAAACTACATTTGATCACAGGTGTCTTGTGTCTTTTTTCGCATATTTAGTCTAGGGGCTGGTATGCTAACCAGTGGTAGACTCCATGATGATGATGTAGCGTCGGCATTGCTCCGCCGTGGATCCTTCAGTTACTCTGTACCTCCATTTATCAGATCATTTAAAGGCAAATAGTACTAGGATAGCTTCATAGTAGTTGAAAAAATGGTCGATGATTTTCTTGGTTGTTCCTCGTCCTCGTCTCCTCGTTTGCTGTATCCGCACGAGTACGGCTTGCAGATGAACGTGGTGCGGGAATATTTCGAGTCCAAACCGAGACCGCGTCTGGTCCATGGCAAAAGTTCCACCACTACAGCTACTAAAAACAAACGTGGTTCAGCAACTCCTGCATCAAAAGCTGCCACTCCAAAGTATAGTCCAGCAGTAGCAAGATCAAACTCAAAAGCGAATACATCGGCTTCCTCAAGTAGACCCGCTACATCTGCAGCTTTCGCTCCAAGACCAGCTAGTAACAATGTCGTTGAAGTGGGTACGTCACCGGCGCGCAGCTCACGGGATATCATGCCCCCATCGCCACAGCACTTGCAGATGCTGTTGCAGCACAAGCTTAGCGATAGCATAACGCAGTGGCATCTCTATCATGAGATCAGGGTACTGCTGGAGATAGTCTAAACTACTTACGGAGCGTCCAAATAATCTACCCAAATTTATGAGAAATTTTCAAACGTTGTTCTACTAAAATACTAATTCTCATCGTGCAATTTGAATAATTGTTACACTACACAACATCAACATTGCCATGCATTCCCATCACACCACACCCAGACCCGCGGCACCGCAGCCACAAACGCCAACCAGCTTCCAGCTTCTAGCAACATCCCAGAGATCGGGATGCAGAATCAAATGCTCACCGTGATGAAGCGAGCATACTGGGACTCATGCCGGGACAAGCTCAGAGCTGGTTGGAACGACGGCTCTGGTTTTGAGCAGGTGATAAGTCGAGTAGAAGAGGCGATAGGCGTCATGGCTGGCTTCTTCGACCGAAGTCCGAAGAGGAAGAGAGCGTTTATCGAAGGGGGTGTGGATATGGTGCTTTATGGGAAAAAAAAATTGAAATAAAGAACCTCTGTTATTTTTGATTCTGACCAATGCGAAGGAAGCATCTTCTTGTACATGCCCGCTTCTAATTCCCACTCCGGCAAATGGTTTCCAATCGCGCGTACGACCTTGCTGCTTTCAACCAGACCCTGAAACAGCTCCAGTCGATGCTTGCGCAACTCGAAAGTCCTCATCAGGAATCCTTGACGCGTGCTCATTTCGACAAGGAATTTTTTTCGAAAATTGATCCTCACAACTACAACAGCATCTCCAACAGCAACGCGGAAGATGAAGCAACGTACTTCTCAGGCCTCATCGTCTCCGCATTGGAACATGTCTTTCACAAACTAGACCTGGTGAAGAGTGAAAGCGAGAACTTCTACTTGGCGATGTTGCCACAGGGGGAGAGGAGCAAGCTGGAAAGACGTCAGTTGAATACGATGATCGAAAGCTTTGGCGGAAGACATCCTTGGATGTTTGATGCCTGTATGGCGGAAGTTGTAAAGGAGAGGGGCAAAGGTACTACTACGGTTTTTTTGTGTAGTTTCTACGTTGGTTCACTTTTGGGCGTAAGGTTCTTGTGTACTTCTTCTCCTAACCACTACGCGGCCTCAAACTGAAACACCACAGACCCCCTCTCGCCCACTGCCGCAAACATTGAAGCGTTCCGCAGTTGCACAGAACTGTATGCCTTTGTCGCCAGAGCACTGTTCAAAGACACGCCGCTCTCCGATGAAGATGTGCCCATACCCCTCAGGGTGAGCCTGCGAGAAGTCCACGCTTTGCAAAACGCGTTGCAACTAACGTGCTTGATCGGAGTAGTGGCGCTGTTGGTGAGTCCGGTGCTGGGGACGCCCTGTATTTTTTTACTTTTTCGATTTCTTGGTATGATGAATGATCTGACTAAGTACAACATGAGCATGATTTTTGCTGTGCGATGTAAGACTCGGAATTTTATTGAGACCACTACTTTTCCATCATTCTTTCAGCGAATTCGTTTTTCCGATCCTATCAAATAAACGACCGTTTTAGGTGCGCTCTCCAACGACGAACTTCGCGAATTTTTTGGGGACTGCAGGAAGTCCCTGATGAGCGCCGATCTCAACCGAGATGGCTTTTTCGGAGACGTAGAGGCAGCATTGCTACGCATATTTGCAAAGAAAGGTAGTCCTGAAAGTGATGTCATTGACATCTCTTCAGTTGATCCTGCACGCGCCGCCCAGATCCGACAGAGTGTCACGCAATTAGAGAACATCACTAAGAAAGGAAGGAGCGCGCCGATTTATGACCTGCTGTTTACGAAAATGCAGAAATGCATACTGCCTGAGCCTTCTGTTCTTGGAGAAGAAATATTACAACAAGGTACTTCAGACGATAATGATGGAGGCATCCAAATCTTCGATGAACCCAGTGTTGCGATAAACCCCTTGACAGTAAACGCACCGACAGGAGTTGGAGGACAGACTGGGACTGTAGCAGGAGGTTCTTCGTCAAGTAGTGGCTCGAGAGGAGCGGCAATGACTGCCCAACCAGGATTGATGGCAGCAAGCAATGGGAATAATGGTACTTCTAGTGCAGTAACTTCGGCTGGCGCCACCTGCTCCACATTCGCCTCGTCTACTTCTGCACCTAGTGCTACATCTTCCCACCCTTCTGCTCCCGGGAATGCCAGCACAAATAACAATACATCAACCACATCCGCTACCTCAAACACCACGAAACCCCACGCCTTCTTCCCTAACCTCCCAAGAGCACGACCGAACGCTCTAGGCGAAAGACCTTGGTACCTGTCCTATGCAGCTGAACATCTGGAGGCTGTAGAACGACATCTGGCGGAAGTCATAGGAAAAAGTTGGCTCTGTTATGAAGACTACTATCGACGCCCACCCAAGGTGGTGCTTAAGAAATGATACAGTAGGTTTGATTTTGAACATTGTGGTAGAGCCATTATCCTGGTTGATTTGAGTTTGATTTGCTTTGTACAGTTACAGAGAGACTGATGCTTATTTTGCAAAGACTTGAAACACGATGTTCGGTGCGCAAACTAGAGCTTCTTGGATGTGAGAAGACGATGCCATCGCTTCTCAGAAATCATCACGCTTATCCATCTTCTACGTACGAAATAGTCATGCTATCCAAGAAGAGGAGTAGAGAAGTGCTGCTGTCTTGGCACAAGGGAGAGAGCAATCTGAGTTGAACTGCGACAGTACGAAGCAGTAACTATATATGAAATCTGTATCCATCGGTTGTTGAGAGAGAGCGAAAATGTGAAAATTGTTTTCGTAGATACTTCAATCATCTGAAAACGCGTTTCATGAAAAAGTAGTCACAACCGGAGTCGCCTCAACAAAAGCAGAGAAATAGGAATGACACAAAACCCCGGATACGATGATGTACTTTCATGATGGAAGACCAAAATGTTTCAAAAGAGAGAGACTGAGGCACGGAAAAAGAAAAACACGGTGAAAAAGAAAAACACGCTCAGAATAGTTAATGAGCAGAAGTACTAGTTTATAGAAACAATTAGCCGAAGCAAGGAATAACGTAAAAGAAAATGGACGCCGACGCCCCTTTCGACAGCCAGGCTGAAGAGGAGGAGGAGGAAGAGAAGGAGACTAGATCACAGCAGTTAGCTCGCTTGAATCCAATCTTGCTGGAAGCATGTCGCTGCAACCATACCTCGAATATAATATCGCTCATCGAAGAGATGGCCGATCCAATGGTCGAAGATGAGAATCAGTACTAGAAGACCTGTGAAGATTTGGAGGCTGTATGGTTGATGATGTTAGTGTAATGCTAATGTCGACTAGTACGTAGAGGAAAATGTTGATTGATTCAAGTTCAACTAGCATGATGCATCTTCCTCTTACTCTTCCAGGACTAGTCTAGCACTTCTTCAAGCTACTACACGTATACTAGATAGTACAAAAAAGTCTATTCTCCCCTTTATTTATCAAACTTCCACAGGTGGTCACCAATAATATGGGCTTCATCACACGGGAACGAAGAGGTCCTTCGCAGATTATTAGTAGAGCAAGCGCATGCGCCATATCAAAGAGCAGGAACCTCTTTGGAGTCAATGGGCATGCTGCCTGGGAGCCCATCATCAGCATCGGGTGGTCCACGTCCAAGCTTTATGGAAGAGTAGTAGTTTATTTAGAGACCACACTTGATATCATATCACAAGTGTCGACTTGTTGTTGTATTCGAGTAAGTGATAAGGCGTTGACCTGTACACTTATCAGTGGGTACTCTTCTTGTATTCCGTGTAGTACACTGCTACTACCACTGCTGCTTCCTTCGGCGCTAATCGGCCACCCACTTCACCGGTCGCGGCAAGTATGATAGCAGGAGGCTGTGGCGTCGGAAAGAAGAAGCATACGCCTCTGCACTGGGCAGCCTATAGAGGGCACTTGAGGATTGTGTGGCTGTTGTTGCAGCAAAAAATGTCACCCATAGAGTCCGACGGACTGGGGAATACCGTACTACATCAAGCAGCAGCCGGTGGGGATCATGACGTCACGGCGGTCATATTAAGCCAGGGAGCGGATGTACTCTAGCTCTACTTAGTACCAGTCGCACGCAGTGTTATTCTAATTCTCCTCTGCTTGTGATCGAGAACGACGCTGCTGCATAAAGTAAATTCATGTGGACGAGGACCTACTAATTCATCTTCTTCACTTTCTCTACTTACAAACAAGAACAACCCCCACGACCTGTCATCCTCCAGGTTTTCATGAAGAACAAAAGAGGTCATACTGCGTTCGATATGTGCACCAATGTCCCGACGCAAAAACTTTTGCACCATTGTATGCAAACAAAAGCTTGCGTTATCACAAGCAAGGGGTTTTCAGCGACAGTTCTTAGGTACTATTAACAGTGCCTATTTTACGCATAAATTGTTTCGAATTTTCTATCATGAGAAAAATACAAGTCCTTAGAAATATTGAGCAGATATACAAGTGAATTATAAGATCATATTAAGGCTTCTTCAGGTAATCCATCTCCAGAGGCATCCTCGGACCTTCCTCTAAGGGAAAAGCAAGCCCAGGATGACACTCAAGATGGATTCCAGGAAGTTCTAATCATACATATGTTGTTCTTGAATTGAGAAGACCATATGTTGATGACGCGGACAGATGGTACAATCTTGATCTTCGCAAGTCAAATTCTTTCTACCTCCGAGTCCGACACCGTAGTTCCCAACTAGACTAATTTTTTTTTCCGTTAGAATTATATGCTGCCAATCAATTAAACACCTGCTCTTCCAGATATCTCTGTTCATGGACGCATGCCGTAGTATGCAAGGAAGCTGCCGTTAGAATGTGGGTCTACGAGAATGCGAAGAGGAATGAGAAGGAGAAGCCTCTTACGCTCAGTCGCGAGGCTAAGGAGACGGTTGATACAGCAGAGAGGATGCTGGAGGTGGCGAACAAGGTGGAGAAAACAGAGGACTTGGATCAGGTACAACTAGATATTAGATGAACTACGAAATTAAAATGGTACTGTACGTAGAAGATGAACGAACAAATCTGATTAGTACAACTGTACTGATTTCAAGATTTCAATATGGATCCGTCTTGATCTTATCTTCTTGCAATTTACATACAATGAAGTGCTTCATTAATTCATAGATTTTCGTTCATCCAGGAACATCAGAGCAGCCTACAACCATCTTTCCACTTTAAGGTAATAGCAGCTCTCGAGAACGCAGAAGGCAAGCCGGTAGACGCGAAATTGCACAAGGCAACAACGAAGCTTAGGGGGAAGCTGGAGAGCACAATTAGACTTCATGAGGCCATGGCGAATAAAAGCATTATTAAGCCTGAAGGTACTGTTCATTCTTAAATGATTTCCTATCAACGATCATCTTTTTATCTTGCGTTGCCAACAAGGTGAGTCAACAACAATTCTACCCTACAGCCACAATTGCACTTGCGGATAAGGAAACAACCGGCATCATTCAATTAAATCACAGTCGAGGAAATCATACCTGCCGATGATTTAGCGATGGCAGCAGATAACCTAGCAAGAGCAATTCAAGACGCTATAAGAAGACGCGCGGAAAAAAGCCTCACCGATACAGGAGCAAATCTGAGAAGGCGGCTCCTATGCGAAGCAAATTTGTCTAGATACTTGGTGGCGACGCGTACTATTTTTTGTGTTTTTTGGATATCTTGAGTAGATTGACATTCGATTCAGTTTCAAAATCCAATATTTCCTTCACCACCCAATTTCAAACCAAATCCCTCTCAACAGCCAAACTCACCGTCGGTTACATCCGGTATTTTCAAGAGTTGATCGACGCTTGTATCACTGAAAGCGGCAACCAGCATTTGATAAAGCTAAGCACCGCATTCCGGAAACGAATTTCAGCAGAACGCGCTATGACATTGAAGTTCGATGAGGTGGAAGAATTGTGCAAGCTTAGCAGTATAGAAGAAGTCCCCATGGACGAAGAAAGAAACGTCACAGATAAGAAATATCCGGAATGGATTGCGGGTAGCAGCTTTGATGTTAGACATTGTCCTCTGTCCCCCGAAAGAGAATGAAAGACAACCTCTTCTGCGTTTTCCGTTCCTTCTGCGTGATCTTCATGGCAGGTTTTTTTGAAGGATCATTGAATAATTCTTGCTTTTCCTCAAATTATGAACCACTCACATCATCAGATATCGAGAAGTTCTCGGCATTCCAGGAAGAATATGTCAAAGACGTCGAGTATGGCCGCGAAACCATATCTAGTGAGACTTTAGTCGCCAAATGCGAGGCTCAGCTGACCATACTGGAGGACCTGCTGATGGAGCAGAGGCAGATCACAGAGGAGGTCAATCTCAAAAAGAAGAAGGGGAAGGGAGCGAAGAAGAAGTAAGGTGGAGCTGGTGTAGGCGTCTGGGCTTAGCTTTTGGAGGAGGTGCTTAGGTACTAGACACCCATTTATGTTGGTCAACATCAGAGTTATGGTCTTAGAAAGTCCTAGGTTCATCTTATTATTATGTGCTTACTTTCGTACTTGATTTCGATTATACAGACGGAGTCATCTTCAAATACAATTTCGCGGATTCTTCCATTGGAATGACGAAAACAGATACAGAAAAAGGTTTGATTTAACATGCAGACTCGCGCAGTCTGATGACTGTTTTTACCGTAAAGACGTTCAAACACGGTCACCAAAACGCAGACGGTATATTCCCAAGACATTTTTCCAAAAGTTACCTTGTGCTATTAATTTCTGACTAATGACATTTGCACGCTAATGCAGAAAACATAACGAAAATGACTTTTGTATAATTTACGCCCAATGTGCTTGTTGATGTTGCCCCGTAAATCTATCTGCACACCGCGCTACGGAGATGCTAATTCCGACGCCTGAAAAAAACCCATTTCGAAAAATATGTCATTTTACCGTGCTGATATCTATCCTATTTCAGTCACTGGGATCAGCCGGCTCTGTTTTGTCTGCCCTGTTCTTCCCACTTTACCAGTGAAGGCTGAGAGTGAGTGACTACAGCCTGACATGTTCAGCCTGACATGTTCAGAGCCGCGCAGAGTGGCAATCAACCTGATTCGTTATGCTGAGAAAAACTCAGGAGTGAAAGAGAATTCGACACATTCATCTTGCTGCAAATTGAAGAGTGTGCTACAACACCGGTAGTTGTATTCTTACCTGAAGAACAAGTTGCTGGACTACATCTAGACTTCATGCACTACAGGGCTAGTAGTCTACTTTGCTTCCAACCATTATGACCAAAAGATTACGAATGGTGCTTGTTCCGACTCAACATAGTTAGAAGGTTGAGACTGTTCCTTTAAAAGTGATTTCTGTTGCGGCACCCAACGACCGGTGCCAGCTTAAAGATGGTGATACTGACAGGTAATTGTAGCTGTTTTTTGACTTCTTCATGACCCGCTTCTGTTGACGTGACGTCTTCAGCTTAAGTATCTGCTGACTGGTGGGTCTGGCACTTCTAAGAGGACCTGTACCGCCTCAGCTTCTAAGAGGGCCGATGAAAATGCCATTACGAACTACTTGGGGAAAAATGCAGCATCGCAAACGAGCCGCCGGTATGGCGGTTGCATGTGCACTGCCACAAGTAGCGGCTATTCACAAAGAAATGTTCACGACAAATGCAGTGTGCAGTCCACAGTAATGAACTAGAATTTATTCATTGAAATGTAGATGTTTGTCTAGCTTTGCCCTTTACCACATCTGTAGGTAAATGAAAATATGTTCCTTTTTACCTCCACACCTCTACTGGTACTAACTCTATCCCACATCCGTCTATTCCATTGTTTGTCATCGTCTTCAGACAATGACCTTTCACAGGTATTGCATCAACCCAGTCTTTCCTGGTTTAGAGGACATGTACCTCAATATGAAGCAGCAATGGAGTTGCCAATTGCTAGCAGATGTTGCTGAGGCGGGTCTAGATTTCTGTGCTGGGGTTGTCAATTTTATGACTGGAGAATACTGTCGTTTTTGCTGTTCATGTAATTGTAATACGTTCTTGTAATCTCGCTTAATGCTAAGTAGACTTTCCTTCTTCGTTCTCCATTTCCCTCTCCCGGCCCTCCATTTCCTCTCCATCCCCATTCCTCTCTAATCCAAACAACCCCACTCTTCCTATCGCAACTCCCGCCAAAACGGTCCAAGAGTCAGTAAATGCGCAGGAACAGGCTGCACAGAGGACGTTTTTCATGCACCTGTCGGCCATGGGCCTCGAACCTTGGGATCATAAACGGCCCATGAATGGCGCAGATCCATGTATCCAGTCTGTTTGGCGAATGGCTTGCTACGCACACTTTCCGAAAGCACATGTACTACTCGTTTTTGGTGTGGTGCTTGATGATATCCATAACTGAAACGAGCTGATAAATAAAGATATGAGCTAGTACAACAGTCCCTCTTGCTTCAGCATCTTTGCGTGATGCACTTGTTTTGTTCTAATTCTCTCTGTTGTATGGTATCATGGATGTTCTTCCCTCAATCAAAAATCCACCGTCAACAGCAAGACTGCGAAAAGGACCAAGAGGTTTCCTACCAACGGCCTTGCCAGAGCTCCTGCAACAACTACGTGCGAGAATGCGGTGTTACGTGTTGTGACGAGTCAGTGGCGTGTGTTTTTGAGCACTCAAAGCAGATCGGCCACAACGAGTTGATCCAGACAGTAGGGTATTCACCGCATGACGGACCCAGTATGTTCTGCACAGGGAGTGCGAGTGGGAAATACAACTCGGTTTGGACGAAAGGTGCTGGAATAACACTCATCTAGATAGATTCGATCCGTGATCTTTGAGAGAAGTTTTAACGAATTTCCATCGTTTCCAGTATTTTCTCATTTCGAAAATATTGCAAACTTAACCATCCATTTGTCTCCCAGGTCTGTTAGCAGCCTTTCTCGGAGTGACCCTCCTATTTTCGAGCAGTACTGGGACAGCGACGAGAAGAGCACCTGTGAGTGGGAGAAGAATACCGATAGTAGGCGCATTAAGCGCTGCCATTGTGGGATTTTTCTTCCCTGGAGCTAGCGCCATTTCAGTAGCCTCATCGAGTCAAACGATGCTCGGGACGACGGTGGAAAGGTATGATTGAATATGTTTCGTTCGCTATTGCACTCTACTACAATCATTCGTCGTAAGCGTTCAGTCCTCAAATTGAAATTGAAATACTTGGCCAATCGTTGTAGTACATCACGATCGCTCCTCCAACCTCCATACATTCATCAGCTCTTCGAGAATACAAAGCACACAAGGACAAGAATCGCAGGTGGAAACGCAGGATCTTTATGCTGGGACAGATTTGATAGTTTCCTCGCTGATTAGTTGCTCACCGTATGCATCTACAAGAAATCATGAATACAGTTTTCATGCTCCATGAAGTCGGCCTACAGGAGAATCACGCGTCCTAAATCAAGTACGTAGTTGACGTGTCCTCGCTCCCCAGGCAGCTACCCGCTATAATATGACTCAAGCAGTGCTAGCCGGAACAACTTCTCCATCGCGAAGTTTCATTTCCTCCATAGCGAGAGGAACAAGACGAGAACAAGTGTCTGAACCAAGTAGAAGTACTCAGCAGAGTAGAATGTCTTCTCCTCCTTCCTCTTCGACGATAGAGAATCAGCAAGATAACAAGCTTTCCCTCATGCAGACAACAGCACAGACGTCGGCGCGTGCGACAATGGGCAGCGGAGGTATTATGGGAGAACACACAGTAGGCTCATGGCGCAGTAAAGAGGATTATTTGATCAAATTTTCCTTCGTGCCACCAGGCGCAACTTCAGCACAGGCACAGTTGAATAGTTGCAGTGACGCCAATTTAGCGCAAACACTACAGTGCAATGGACGAGGGATTTGCAAGCCTTTCAACCCAGACAACATCCAAAACCCGATATCGTTCTGCGAATGCGACAGGGATTATGCTGGTAACAGGGAAATCTTAGGCATCTTGCCGAATAGATTCAAATCATCATGCTGGTAACAGTTGGTGAAACCATAGATAGTTGTGAAGAATTATTCAACACAGTAGATCATTGTTGTGTATAAGGTCTTCAATCATCAAAGATGCCTCCATCATCAGATCCCGAGTGCCGAACACAGAGACGATCGCAGATTGTAGCCTACGTTTTAAGCTTGTTTTTGGGCTTTCTAGGAATGGATAAATTTTATCTCGGCTTTCCACTGGCAGGAGCCTTGAAGCTAATATCGCTTGGGGGGTTCGGCGTGTGGTGGGTTGCGGACATAGTCTACACTGGTGCAAGTCCGGTCTATGCGGCGAAGTACTAAAATGGCTATTAATCTTGTTTACGACACAAATTATCAACTTGACGAATACAGTACTTTTTCCCAAGTAGTTCACCTATTTCTTTCGTAACCAACTACATCCACTTAATGATGTGCGCTCATCACCGAAGATATGAATGTCGGACTTCCACCATGCATCACAATCTCTCCCTCCTCACAGTTACCGCGTCGCCGCTAACTTGCCACATTGGGTGTTTGTGGTGTCCTCAATATCGTTTTTTCTCATCCTGGGCTTTCTCATTGCCAGCTGCGTTACCGCAGATCACATGCGTGCTAAGAGAAGAGCGGCATTGCTCTATCAGGCAGAAGAAGATGCGCAAGGTGGCGACTTTGCGGCTTCATTGCCAGCAATGAAAAGCAGGCACGTAATGAACCCGCCGCAACCGCAGGTGGCTTTTCCACGGTAGTCGTGAGAGGAAAGCTGTCGTGGTATAACTAGACGAGATAGAATCCCTTTGGAATTTACGACTTACGACCCAACAAGGTATCAAGTGAACAGTTCATCTTGCGACAACCAACAGCAGACAATCATCAAAAGGAAAAGTATCATTTAATATTCTTGCCTACTAACTATAGCTAAAAGTAATTTAGAGATTCATCTCATTCATCAAATTTTCACCCGACAGTCCTTTTTTTCCGATTATTCAGGGAATATCATACTAGTCCTTTTTTTCATGCATAGGCGATGTAAATTGTACTGATGTCATAGGTGTCTTGGTTGAGCAAAGAAACAGAAGAACCATAGAATACTGCAAAGCAATGACATAAAAATGTAAAGAAAATAAGCAATGTCGGGAAAGACGTGAAGACGGAAAAGAACACAGTCATCTAAATACTAGAGAGAAGAACTCAAGGCAGTTTCCCCCAACGTCATGAGAAATAGACTCAACATGCATCCTTGTGAGGCTGCGCATGTCCGCTTGAGTATGCAGGCAAGACTCTGGACGGCGGATCAAATCCTATCCTATCCTTTTAAACCCATCAGATTCAATACCGATGAAGTAGAAGAATTCCAGACGGTGCTTTTAAGATCTAGATGGATTCCCATGTGATGCAAAAGAACCAAAGAAATTTTTTACGCTAGTTTGACCTGTAGTTTGCTGTTGCGAAAAGTAGCATGATGCCGAGCCCGGGTGCAGGGGCACGCTATTTCGAGGGCTCGCAACAATCCATTGCGCCAACTGCAACTACCTCTGCGAAGTTGTTAGCAGCCACGACGGGAGGTGGAACAAAGACCGCACACCAGCCAAGAAAGACCTCTAGTTCAACAGCAACCAGCGTGAAAGTCCTCCTCGAAGAAGCCGTCTTTCCCGCTGACGTGGATCCGACCAGCGTCATACTGAATGTGCAGCATGTGCAGGAACAGTTACGAGAATAACATGCTCAACACATGCTGATGCTCAACTTAGGTCATAAATTTTTATAAGATGAAAGCATGCTCCTCGAGAAATCTTCAAAGTTGAATTTCGACATAAGTATCGACATCACTGCCATGTGCATCTTGCTTCTGATTCTCATACATAACTCTAACGAAACAAGGCCCCGAAGACTCCTCTTTCGTCCTCCAGCAACTACTACGACCTCGCCCGTTGTCAGCTGGAATTTTAGGCAAGACGCTGACCCTAGACGCAGCAGTTGGGAGTCGCTTGATATTCGTTTTTGACGGGCACAGGCACAATGGTTCGGACTCGATCCCGGTAGAACAATTCCGCACGGTCTGCACTGTCGTCGTCGATGCGAAGCAGGAGTCAGCGGCTTTGGAACCGGATATGCTTCCTGTCGGCACCGCGGTTTTAGCCGAGTTCGGAGATTCCGGCTACTTCTACAAAGCAGAAGTGTTGTCACTTGTCAAAAGTCCTCAGTTGTTCGATTTAGGTGACAAATACAAGATCCGGTGGCTCCGCAGAGATTACATTATGGCTTCGCCTAGTCCATCTTCTGAAGCATCTTCTCGGAGCTGCGCCGTAAGGGGGAAACAGCTTCAAGATGAATAGATTAATATAATATAGATAGACTAGACTAATAATATAGATTAATAATATAGATTTTTTTTTGTTACGTTTTTTATCTATCAACTTGGTACGTGAGTTCTAATCACAACAACCTGCATGAGCATGATGATGAGCTGTTTCTGTGCAATTTCTTAGGCGATGGCAAACGACATGACAGTGCGGACGAATTCACAAACACAGGTGGGATTCCTCGATGGAAACTACGAAAACTAGAGGAGGGGGTCGTTCCGTCGACGCGTGGTGGGTCTCGAGGGCGAACCAGTGGGGTCTTCAATGCGCCAACAGGGTATATGAAAGTAAATTTGGTGCCGGTTGGGGGAGGTGGAAATGGAGGAGGTGTTGCTGGAGGTGGATTCAATTTTACTAGCACTGGAGGACTAGGAGAAATAGGAGAACGTTCCACTTCTGGAACTACGAACACGACAGCTAATTCCTCATCACAATCAACAACTACTAGTACGACTGGTCTTTCAACAAGTGGAACAAGTGCAGCATCCACTAGAGTTCTTGGAGAGGGATCACTACAACAACACCAAATAGACGCTGACGACCCGTGTTCAGGCTCAAATAGTACTGTAGAGTCTTCTTGGAGTAGCCCGTATTTTCAACCGAGCAGCGGGAGTGACTTAGAGCACAGTGGTAGGGAAGCCACCACTACTTCTAAGACAAGGCGTGGCCGTGGATTTGCTGAGGGCGATGCTTTGGCCTATCACAGTGCGCACGAAGGAGGAGAGACGTCGAGTAATTACGGGAATGGGGCGAAAGTTGGTAGTGGGAGTGCAAGTTTTAGTCTAACTAGTACAGCCTCGACAGCAGGTACTGGCGTCATTCAACGTGACAGGCCACGATCTAGTGCTTCAGGGCCGATCACGACAACAAATACTAGCAGTGTCATCTCTCCTACAGCAGGTGGCTTAGCTTTCGTGGACGCAAAAAGCGAGCTTTATGCCGCTTCAGCGGCAGGAGCTGAGGCAGCAGATGTAGGTCTTGAGTACAAAACTTCTAGTTCTACTGGTCTTAGAACAAATAAAGGCATTGGTGTTTCTTCAGGACAGTTGAAAAAGCCCATGTCCGCTGGAGCAAGTGGCGAGTCTCCTCCTCCGGTTTCATTGAAAATCAATCGATCCTTGAAGAATGAGATGAGCAATGGTGGTGCCAACAGTATGAGTATCTCCAGTACAACGTCTCACTCTCATTTGGTCGACAACTACGTCCATGTCATAGTAGAACAGGAATATTTGCCAGAGGAGGATGGCGTAAATGAACCTGGAGGAAAAATGTCCAGCGGCACCTCAGAAGTCGGAGGAGGCCGTTTCCTCCCCACCACCGCTCCAGCAACACAACCAGGCGTCTCAAATTTTGTCTATGACATCTCTGCCACTACCTCGGCGAACGATTATCACACTTTCGATGTGCCGCTGAGGAGTCTAGAGCTACAGGGCCTGGCTTTGTTGCGGTCGGGGGAAGAAGCCTCCGTTGCGTCATTGCGTTCAGCCTTACGGGACACGCTGAGAGCGTTGATTAGTGAGCGTGAGTCCTCACTCGTAATGCAGATTCAGGCACACACACGATGTGGGGAGCTGCAGGGGGCCCTGGATATTAAGGCTTTGAAGTAGGATCAGAATTTGTGTGCTTTTTCTGCATCATGGATGCAAACGAATTGTATTATTTGCTGCTCGTTGATAGAAGTTTTAATTCTGCCTTCGTTCCCTGGTGTTTCTGGCTTTTCCTTGTCATATGCCCGCCCTGTCACTAGGAAAGCGCTAACTACAAAGCACTCGCAGCGAATGGGGATGCTGCAGACCAGCTGAAGCGGTTTGAGGACCGTCTCAAAGCAGCTGAGGCCTTATGGTGGCCGGCGGCTCCGCCAGCAGTTGCTAGAGCTTATGGCGAGGTTGAGGTCTACTTTCTGCAGCAAATCATAGGACGAAGTGGCTACAAGTTCTTACTTACAATTGCACTGATAATTCGTTTCCTGTCTTGATTTCAACAAAACGCAGTTCTTAGAGGAGCCAATTTATCGAAGAAGTACAGCTCTAAAACTCAGCCGTCCCCCTACCAGAAGGCGGAGACCGACCAGGAACTGCGGGAAGCTACCTTTTTTACAGTTCTTCCGGAGCTACCTCAAGTAGTTATCTTGCTGGTCCTCTGACAAGTCGCGGGGACTCGATGCAAACATCCTCATTGTCAGCACCAGCATCAAAAGACACTTCGAGCTCTACTTATGGGCGTATGGATTTCATCTCCAAAGTCATCCGGAAGAGAAAGCCAAGGGCAAAATGGCACCCAGATGATCCCCGAGATGAATTCCCTATAGATGCCTCTAAGCAATGCACTACATCACTTATCCTTCGTCTTCATCATCGGCGACACTTGGAGGAGGATCGAACCACACGACAGGATTTCTGCCTCCGCATAGCCATAATTTTCAACAACATTTTCAACACTCTGCACATAATTCTGCATCCGCAAGTGAGGAGGAAAACAATTCAGGCGGTCCTTTTGGTTCTTTTGCGCGTTGGCTATCGGGGACATCGAATGGCGTGCACACGGGTTTCGGAACTACGAGACCAGGTGGTACCAACATGACCTCCTGTACAGTTCCAGTCTTAGACCGTGGAGATGAAATGCGCATGCATCTAGGAAGTGCGCGGGGTCTCTATGCCCCGAGGGGTGGACGGGTTGACAGTTCTGGAGGTGGTGGGGGTCTACAACATCAGTACACCGTGAATCAGTGAAGATGAGTTCGTGCAGTCTTTAATTTTGTGACATTGACATTCCTAAATTTCAATTTGATGCAGCTAAAGAAAACCTCTATAATTCTATACGCTGTCAGCCAGGAATCAATCGGTCTTTTAGTCTATTGTACACGAAATGTTACTAGTGATAAGTCTTCTTGTATTCTTTTTCAACCTGATGGATGGATCGTGTCCATTTGGGGACTCGTTCGAATATTTTCCAATGTGACATCAAGATTTTTTTGTCGCAAAAGATAGATTTGGTCTTAGAAATGCTGCTGATGCCCCCAAGTAAAAATACGCGAAGGAGCCCTCTGAATGGTACCGTCAGAGTGGCAATATTTCTGCTTAAGCAGCCTACTCCGTAGAAAGTACTTTCTTTCGTCGTGTTCTAAACATCGAGTAGTTCGATATTTATAATAGGTTCACATCAATGTTTAGAACACGCTATCAGTATCAGGATCATAGTTCTTCAATGAAGATGGTCACAGTGACGTTCATGATCCCAGCTCTCCCACTCGCCCTGCCCTCGACAAAGCGATGTGGAACAATTTTTCGATGGTGTGTTCAGTTCCTCGCCAGATTTAATAAAGCCGATCCTCAAGACCAAGATGAGTATGAATCGTATCAAGGAAAATGTCAGCCGAGCACAGCTGGCTTGGCGACGTTACCGGCGATTGCTTCTGGTGGACTTCTTTGGTCTCACCGTTTTCATTGGCCTGTTCGTCTTCGGCTACTTGACGCCCGCACACCCCAAGTCTTCAAGGTTGACCATGTTACGCGACAGACTGTGTGCGGAGTCGAACCTTGGTGGAGGAGACGGCAACGGCGACTGCCGTGAAGGTAGTTGTAGATCATTGGGTGGACCATTTTTAGACGATGGCAGTGCTGGTGGGAGAAGAAGAAGTATCATGGGATTGGGAAGAAGTGCGACTAGAACAAGAGCGAGCAGTAGTTGTCACAGTTGGAACGAGCGCATCTATTACCGACCATGGCTATCAGAGATGCCAGATACGAGACCCGTTTTCTGTATGCTGGGACCAACATTTCTGCTGTCGTTGTGGTATGGTACAGGGACTAGGATGTACAGAGGAACGGGAACATTCACGAGGGGGCGGGACCAAGTACAGGCAACTAGCGCCATTCATGATGTGGCCTTCAACATTGTCCTCTTTGTTCAGACTCATGAAACCTCATCTCTGTGCTTTGTCTCTCTCAATTTTCGTTCTACCTGAAGTTTTTCCGATGGGAATACCACGAATTACCGAGAAAAGGTGTCGCTTACGCGCTCTTGCTGCTGGCCTTTGTCCTACTCACGTATTGGGGTCTAGTGATCGAAATCCGAGTCTTTGGCGTAGCAGGTAGAGGCGGAGGAGGCAGTCACGGTCATGTAGCAGAGATTTTTGCGAACCTGCATCGAGCGTCAGGGCTTGGTGGAATTGCAAACTATAAACAGCTAGAAGGCAGTCTGCATAGCGCATTGAGAGTGGCGCTGTTTTGGTAGTGATCATTTTCGACATGTTGTACCACGGTATCGCTCGTGGTCGTACTGGCGTAGCTGCTATTTTTGGGAATATAGTGAGTCAGAAGAAAAAGCATCTTTCTCTTGTTGAAGTGAGCAAGAATAAGTACAAAAAATCAACAAGAATAGTCCTTTGACGCTGCCCCACGAAATCCAGGTTGTACTTCGTCCTCCTCGGTCTCTTTTGCGTAAGTTTGGCGCTCGCCTGCAAGTACGACCAAACCTTGGATCAAATCTTGGATAACAGTGGCATGACCCTGGCCTATATGAAAAATAACCTGTTGAGTTTGGACTGCGGTATCGATTCTCTTGGTGTCGAGGGGGACGAGAATAGGCCGTACTTTTGACTCTTAGTTTACATTTAGATTCGATCCTTGCTACGAACTGTCTTTTACAACAAACAGGATTACTTTTTATACGCGATTACGATTTGATGTTCCTCGTGCATCAATGGAAAACCCTCCCATAAAACTCCTACACTCTCAGCCGTTGTCCCCAAGCTTTAGCCGATCAATTTGTCTCCAATGCTGCTCGTTCGCGCAAACGCGGCAACGTAAATATAGGCTCAGTGGAGCGGGCGAGGGCTAGACCAGATGACTGGAACATGTACGCCAAGGACGATCCAGATACTATGCGTTTAGTCGATGAATTTTTGAGCAATCCCGCAAAGCAAAAGGAATACTTTTCATCTTCCGGGAAGATGGTGAACCAGGTGGATGGCAGTGGTGGTGGTACTGATGTTGTAGAAGACGAGGACGCAGGAGAAAATGGTACTAGTATTCAGAAGACTACGGATGAACTACAAGCTACTTCGCATCAGAACACAAAAGCTCCGGACAACGAGTGGAACAGTCGCAATCTCGATCGCTTGCCACTACCAGAACGAGGACGCAGTCGTATGGTCTATCCAGGCACTGGTCGTGGGACGAGTAGAAGAAGTAGTAGAGAACCTCCTACTTCTAGTAGGATGAACATGTCCTCTCATCTCTCTGGGTCTGGATCTGGTTCTGGTGGTGGACACCAGGATCCTACGTCGTCGACCAATCATCTTCAAAGCTCTCTCGTCAACAGTGAAGAAGATTTCCGATTGCAAGTGCGGATGCTGCAACGATATGAGCGGATGCAACAAAATCGACGGTTGGCTGAAGGATGATACCGAAAAATATGAAGGATGAGAATGGATTCCAAGAGATAGTTTCAAAAAAATTCAACGACAAGATGAAAATATATGAGCCGCAATTGACCACGCATGAGACATAGACATGGAATTCTGAAAACGCCTTTGAAGCAACAAGAAGAGGCATGCTGAAATCAAAATGAAAATCTGAGAATACAGTCGCATAAGCATGGGAATACAAATCACGCCGTGGACAGAGGTCAGGGAATATCCAAAGGCTTCGTACTACAACTTTCAGCCATTTTCATTCTCACGTGTTCATTATCGGCTATCATGGGAATGCAAATGAGGGCCTGTGACAGATGAATGCTAATAGGAAGACGCTAGTGAGGATCATGCGGTTGTGGTTCCGATCTGCATGGTCATTTATGCACTTTAAGTAGATTTCCATGAATTCATATACTTAAGTACAACAACCAACGCGTGATTCAAATAAACTTCGCGATTGGAACCACCTGATACAAAAAATGTTCCTGTTGAACTTCCTTTCTCACAGGCGGGTTGCGCATTAGTGTAGTAAGTTCTGTCTCATTTTTGTATCAATAGTCACTGTCTTTTACAAAAATAGTAAGTCTACTTGCCGTTTGTTTTGTCTTCCTTGTTTTTGAACGTAGTTAGAATTACTTTCGTAGACAAGCTGCAAAATGGCAACAAGCGCAGACGCCTTCCTTGCAGATCTGGAGGATCTCGAGGAAGATCTCGGCTACCAAAATGCCTATGATCCCCACAGCGGAGCCTTCCACGCCCAAGATGACGATATGGATGTGGATGGCGGCCAAGGAGGCGCTTCTAAGAGAGCTGGAGAAAATCTACTCGACGATGATGACGAGGATGAGGAGGATCCAGCCGATGCGCCTATATCTAACATGTTGAGGAGTGCGGAGTTCAAGAACGTGATAGCAGAAGTCTGCGAAAAAAAGGACCTAGCCGCTGAAGACGCAGCAGAACAGGTTTCTGGTGCAGCATTCACCGAGGACGATCCGGAGTACAAGCTAGTCTCCAGATGCAACACTCTGGTGAAAGAGATCGACGAGGAAATGTTCGTTCTCTACACCGAGGTGAAGGCGATTTTTCAGACGAAGTTTCCTCAGTTGGAGAACATTCTGGTGAATCCGTTCGACTACCTGTCAGTAGTACAAAGGATGGCGGATGAATGTAAGAGGAGTGGCGATTGCGACATCTCAAAGATGGACTTCACGGACATTCTGCCGAACCAACTGATCATGACAATGACGATTACAGCGACGCACTCAAAAACGGCACCATTGGAGCCGAGGCAGTTGGCGAAGGTACTTTTTAGATATTGATATGTATCTACATCTACTCTGGAGGTTTTAGATATTGATATGTATCTACTCGGGAGGTACTACTTAACTGATTGGCCTCACACAAAGTAGACTTATTTATTGCTTTATAAGAGGCACCATGACATGACATTTTGTCTTCTGAGACCGATCGTACATACTCTCCGTCATGTAGGTTTGTTCTATGTTCAATTCAACAGAGTAGCATTTCTCGTTTTCTCCTCTGTATTCTCTTCTCCAAGGCCCAAATCCATTCACCCTTGAACGCTTCAGGCCGTCACCGCATGCGACGAAGCGTTTCAACTGAACGATCATAAAAGGGACGTCTTGCTCTACCTGGAATCCCGGATGTCTATCTTCTGCCCAAATCTAGCTACCCTCCTAAGCCCCTCAATCGCTGCCAAACTTGTTACCGCAGCAGGAGGACTTCTGAATTTAAGCAGAATGCCAGCTCAAAACATTATGCTGATAGGAGCCCAGAAACGGGCCATGCTGGGTCTGGCGGGACACAATAACCAGGGACTGGTGTTGATGTGCGATTTAATCCAGAGTTCTAAACCGGAGCACAGAAGCAGGGCGATACGGTACACCTGAATATAAACCTAGAAGATGCCTCAGCTCTCTATTTTCAGGTTTTGTTGTTCTTCTACTTCTTCATCGATTCTGTGAGTCCCATAAGATCCTCCTTTAATGAACTCCTTCCACCGTTCCTTCTCATATGCAAAACGAAAACGTCAAACCACAAACTCCAATTGCAGATCTGGTGCAATGGTCAGTGTACTGGACTTCGAAATGCAGGATCTCCCTTGAAACTTACCACCAAAGGTTCGAATCCCACTACCATGATGACTCATCAGTACCGCTATCTGAGGGCTAGCCCCAGTGCGGAACGAAAATGACAAGCATATGACTGATATTTCTACAGTGGTGATACGCAGAGATCTTCTACAGTTCATCGTAACAGTGATCATCCTACTATTGCGTATCTACGCAACTACCACAGCCTCGTCGCTGGCAAATCTGCTATCGCTGCTAGATGTGATTGGCATCGTACGAGTCAATTAGGCGAAACGGGTGCTCAATTACGCGAATCTATCCAAGCAGCTATGGCGAAAGCCGCTCTTCCGCCACCTGCGAAGCAAAAGAAGGCCCTTCCTAGGCCAGACGATGTCCCCTGTAAAAAGAGAGGAGGTAAGAGGCACAGAGCATTGAAGGAGAAATATGCGCAGACGGTGATGCAGAAACAGCAAAATAGGGTGAAATTTGGGGAAGAACCGGAACCAGAAATCGCGCAGGAGAAAATGGGCTTTGGATTGGGGATGATATCTGTGACATCGACGAGAGGCGGCAGAGCGGACTACGTTGGAGGCCAATTGACGGCGACGAACAGTACTTATTGTTATAAGGCTTGGGAGTTGACATCTCGATCTCTAAGCGCGTCTCTGTCGCATATCTGTGGCTTTCCTACTTGAAGGGCGCCAACTTTCAACCCCTAATGTTGCGTTTATTTTTTGCTCACTTCTGACTGTGATTTCCTTTTGGACTGTGAAATGTTCGACTTCAGTTCGAGGACTAATGTTATGGATCATTTCGTGATTACAACACCTCACCTAATGTTATGGAAATTATCGATAACTACTCTTAACTTTTTCCCAACGTTCCAAAATAAACCTCTTTCTACCCAAAAAACCAGCTGGCGGCAGCGGCAAAGTCAAGGCTGCAAAGCAAAAAGAAAAGCAGAGAAACGAGGCTGCTATGAAACGCCAGCGCTTAGCAGCAGGTGCAGGTGTGCGAGAGTCTGGTATGTCGAGTTCGTTGGCCTTTACCCCCGTCCAAGGTATCGAACTCGTAAACCCTGTTCAAAAGAAGCAAACCATCGACCCTGCGGACAGATACTTCGCAAACAGCGCAAATTTTGTGTCGTTGAATGAACAATGAACATATGGCGATATGTGAAGAAGGCGCTTTATTCGACGACCATAGACTTTTACATTGAGTTTTTGTGTCCTCAGCATTCTCTTTATCCCCCTTCCCGACGCTTAACCCACAAAATTTAATGACATGTTGTACACGGACTTGTGCTGTGTTTTACAAGTAATGACTTGCCTGAAGCAAGGCACATCAAGTAAATGAACGTGCGTTGAACAGACTGACGCTGTTAGTCTTAAAGAAACTAAGCTTCTAGCGCCTATGAGAACACTGAGAGAGCGATCGAGAAAAGCATGAGTGCTGGAGGACCGTCAAAAATGAGTTGCCTCGTGGGGAAAAATGGAGTAAAATGGCTCGAAAAATAGCAAAACAACGGGGATAAACCGTGAATGAAAAAAGAAGTTGAGCAACGTCAAAGATGTGTCAAACAAAATGGGGTGAGAAAAGAGTGGAATTATGATAGCGCGAGGCATAACATGGCTAGGAGTATAGGCAAGAACGAAGTTCAATGAATCTCAATAAATGATGTGTTAGTAAGAAAGATGGAATTGCTCGCAGTCCTTGCGCGCAGAAAGAATCGACGGCGATTTTCACGACGCTGAAAACAGCGACGCCGCCCATTCGATAGGCTTGCATTGCATTCACCCGACGAGTGCTGGATTGACGAGAGCATAACTGTCAGCCCCAGCGTAGCGCATCCTTCGCGACGCCGATTCGATCCTACGACGCTTGTCTACCATACTCGAGAAGACAACAAGATGCCGCAAGTCGACGGAGTAGATGAGCGGACGAAGCTCATGCTTCAAAATGGCGATTACTACATCAACAAAAGCTCAGTCTTCACCGTCGGATCTCGGATTAGGCTCAACTTCATTCCCATCGTACTCAATGCGGTGCTGCCATGGATCCTGTTTGTCGTGTTGCTTACTTTATGGCAAGAAACAAGCTAAGGTAGAGGACAAGGATTTGAATCTTCATCTAGTCAATACGTCTTGTAAGTATCCTAGGGAAGTAAGACTGATAGTACAACTAGATGCGTGTGGCTGAGCTTTTTTATTTTTTATTTAACACATCCCAGCACCCCAATGAATTGAGGACTACGCCTCCTTCCGTGACATCTTTCATTCTCCATCTCCGTTTTCCGCTTCCGACACGACTACGAGAGATGGTGCAACACGATTTGGCTGATCGTTTGTGGAACTTTGCTTCTTGTGTATGCCTACCTGTTTTGCAGAGAGCTACACACAGTGGACGCGAGATGGACAAGAGCTACCTGTCTGTACCTCTTCGTTATGGTCAATCTGTGTGCGACAGCGTCGTATCTCGTCTATACCCAGTTTTTCCAAGTCTACTACGACGTGACCGATTTGAAGACCTATCCGACAATGGACGTGTCCACGACGAATGGTATTGACAGGCTTGTTGCTGTGTGTGTCTACGACAAATGGTATAGAAGATAGGTGTTATGATCAGGTGTGGGGATTGTAACTACCTGTAAAACTTTCAACTTTTGACTTTCCTTGCTATACTTCTGGACACATACAAACTTCTCGATGTTCTTCGTATTAAACCTAAAGATCATAACAATTGCAATCCATAGAATCATCGAGAACAGGTAAAGACGTAATGGATGCAGGCATTGTGTACTTTGGGCAAGGCACAGAGATAGACTTTTCGCGGTCATGGCATTTCAAACATCGGACAGTGTATTGCGTCGCGCCACTTTTATGGAGAAACTAAGTAACTACTTAGTCAATTGTTCTTGTAGCGAATGGGAGCATGGAATAATATCCACTACTTATTCCTTCTTTCCCTGTTTCTCAGTCACTTCTTCTGGTTCGAGAACATCGCTCGCTCTTCTTCTTCTTCTCCTTCTAACGCTCGTGAAAAAAATAAACGGCATTCCGCAGCTAGAGACGGGGTCTCTTGACTTTTGGGTGGTTGGGCAAGATTGCTGTAGTACGTCGAGCAGTGACTTTAGGTGTCCTGGATACGACAATGCAAGAGCGCGTGCTGGAATCAGGATACTGAGGGGAGACCCACTCTCTTTTTATCGATTAGCGGTGCAACAAGCGGAGACACAGTACAACTAGTTAAAGTTGGGCCGTTGAATCATTCTTCACTAACCGCTATCTACCTCCCAGATAGAAATACCTGATGGAGCTTCATACGTGCTCGGAAACGAAAACAACTTTGCTTCTTTTTCTTAGTTTATCTACCTCCCTAGGAGGAAAATCTTCTGCCCTAAAAACAAACCAGGTACGGTTTCATTTCTACGTATCCGATATTTGTGGAGTGGGTTGAGGACCCAGTTTTCCAACTCGAAAACGTGAAATCCAAAGGCCTCGCAGCTTATTTTACGCTACTCTTCGGCAGTCTGCTGTTTCAAATGATTATGGTGTGCATGTGCACTCTGCGGTTCAGCTTGATTGGCAGGCGGAAAGTGTAAGGCGGCGGGCATATCTGCTGTCCTGATGTGACATGGATGCTGTCCTCACTCTACTTGTTTGGTTTCACATTCATTTTGTAATCGTAAGTATCAAGTTTTTTTTTCCCATGTGCTGTCTTAGTGTAGGGAAGTGCGTTGTCTACTGAAGACTGGAACTCGTGCATTGTACATCATGTGTTCGTCTTCGTTGGTATCGGTTTAAGCTCTAGTGAATTCGTCGGTAGCATCCGTTGAGCCTGTTCTCGAAATTGTCGGTGATCAAGAAGTATCTAGATTCAATCGCCTCACATCAGGAGGGAATTTCGTGGAATGTCTTCGTCGGTGTAGAGTCGTTATCATATGCCCACGGGAAGAGATCCATGCACCCGATATTTTTGACCCCATCACCAAGAGTTGTGAATAACGGGAACGTTGTTCTTATTGGGTCCTACATTTGTAAGCGCCCGTAAGTTTCATCAAGTGAGCTTGATTCGATTATCCTTTTTGACCTCCAGAATTCTTGATTCACTCTTCTAATCGTGCTATTGTTCTTCTAGCAAGCGGGTGGTGCTTCCTGGTAAAACTTAAACTCTGTACAACCACGCAAAGTCACAGCTTCCTTCCTTTACAACCACATGACAGATTGATAGAAGTCCTAATATTTATCCAAATCACCACCAGTCACAGAAAAAGCCACCTCTATTACAAGGGGCGCGATGAGATGGACCGCCCGCCCTCAAGATCTTCTAGGGCGAAACGTCTTGGAGATATGACCAAACAGAAATACCAAACTGAGACCGACTCGTTCTTCGGTAGACGACCGAGGACAATCGAAAAAGAGAATCATGTTGGCGTGGGCGTGGGGGGAGATAGTTGTATTTGTTGGTTCTCTTGATGTTTGCAATATTATTGCTAGTGTCACTTTTTAGAATGTGATATCGTGTTCCACCTCTTCCTCTGTTATTTGCGATTCTTCTCCACTTTTTAGAATGTGATATCGTGTTCCAGTTCCTCTTCCTTTAACTTCTACTAGTTGACCTCTCATCATCCAAGAACCAGTTCCCGATACACCTCACCCTCCCAGTTTCTAGCTGTCTCGGTAGTCGCAGATGGGTTCTCAAGCCTTTAGACGGCGACGGCACTCGGCTTGGTGGCCAGTTGAAAATTAGGAGAGACTTCGGCCTAGGCGAACATCCGTCTTCAAGTAGTAGCTCGCTTGGCTGTTCCGAGTGTCCGCGGCCTCTATCAAGGGGAGATAGAGAAAGACCTCTGTCTCGTAGTGGTGATAGGCCGCTATCTAGATCCGGAGATAGACCTTTATCGCGTGGCGGTGACGGCGGGTCGGGCAGGCCGTTGTCGAGAGGCAGGGATAGATCGCCATATAACATCATGCAGGATCATTGCTTTATGTCTTGGTGGATTTCAAACCTGGTTCAGTGACGGGATCAAGTACTCCTAGGATCGATAGGAAGACAAGGTTAGAAGTTCCTCACTCAGAACAAGATTGGTGAGTTCGATTTCGAGTGGAGAAGGTTCATGTTGTCTTTCATCAGAAAGAAAACTGATAAATGAGTTTGATGCTGCTCACCCTCTAAGAGCCTCGACCCGCACCCCTTAGGGGATCCGGGCGACCCATTAGGGGTCACTGCTAGTGCGAATATGGGATGTGGCGGTCTGAGGCCACACTCTAGAGGCAGCGATGGCGATGGAGACGAGCCAGACAGAGCAGCTGCCACATGCTTTGATACCTTCTGGGTGGATCAGTTATGGAAAGTAGAATGGCAATATATATATATTTATAATAATCTTCTCATTTTTTTTGAAAATTCTCGTTTTCGTTTTTCGGAACTTCCCAGCGGTCCAGGGGGCCATCTAAGGTTTAGTGGACCGGGAAGGCCTATGAATCGAGTGCGGAGTCTCGACACCTTAGGACCTTGGGATAATCGGAAGCTAGCGAGATCGAGGCCTGGGAGTCGATGCGGTATTACGTCTTTTTATGCTTATTTTCATCATCAGGAAGGTGAAAGCACTTTTGAATAAGCAATTTGCGTGCGTATCAAGGTAAAAAAGATTCAAACCATCACTCGCTTTTCAGGTCTTATCCTGCCATCGATAGGAGGACGTGGAAAAAAGGAGAGCAGCATGCGATGTTCTGCGCCAGTCTTAGCATGAGGAGAGGATCTGCTCCGTTGACCGGAAAACAAAAACAAAAATCAAAAATCCGAATTATCATTGTCCAAAAGTTTACTGTAGTTGCTTCACTTGCATCTATGTCTATCTTCTACATCAAAAACCATAAAGTGTTTACTCTTGTCACATCAATTTACCCAATCATGACACTATCTTCACAATTCTCAGTCATAAAAACGCAGTATCTATGCAGCAAGCAACCATCTCTATCTTCGGAGTTAGTACCGCTCTATTCGTATTCAGTAGATTACATTATGTTAGTTTACCACGTGTGATTGCAATCCTTGCATCATGTACTACTCACAATGCCTATTGCATCATCATCGATGTCTCAAGAACTGAACTTCAATACTTCGTATCTATGAATGACACACACAAAACTTCTCAATTCGTATCGCGATTCTTACTCAGTCACGACGACTCGCAAAGATTACAAGAAAATAGAATGCATCCAATACCAATCATCGACCAGAATCATCTTCAACTAGAAGACATTCCACTCCATTTTAATACCTGGCTAAGAACATGATCATCTTCACCTAATCAAGGACCACCAGAACCACACCAAACCAGGAACTATTCTTATTATATTAACAACCAGACAAGAACAAAAAAGGAAGGGGAATCTCGACTAAGTCTAGCTCTAGGACGTTTGATCCCTATAGACAAAAGACGGAAGCGAAGCAAGAAGGGACTGGTATGGACTCGATAATCCAGGGTGGTTCACTGAAAGCTGTATGATCAAAATGTGAGGAACCATATCTTTCGTGAGTAGTGAATACAGTCAGACGGAGGATCGTGTGAACCTTAGTGGTGTACTCACATTTTTTGGTTGTTCATTGTAAGACTAATAAGAGGAAGAACAACCACATTCAAAAAAGACCACACAAAGATCAACGAAATGGAGGTTCGTTCTTTTGTGGTCAACTCGTTCACCAAGCAGTTATACAGCGGGAATCCTGCTGGTGTCTGCCTGCTATCCGAAGAAAATGCAGTCGATGAAACGACGATGCTGCGCATCGCAGGGGAACTGAAACACTCGGAAACCGCTTACATCTGGCCGTTAGGACGGAACGCTTTATTGATTATGTGTGGTGAATGTGAAGACGACTCTATTTGTTATCGAAATTATCGACTAGAACAAACTTAAGGTTCAATCCGAATCGACTCACATCATCATCTTCACTGGAGAACAAACTTAACCTCTAGCTCTAGAAGTGTGCATCCTGGCTACCCTAAAGGAGTTGCTCTAACCAAGCAGCTGGCTACCCTATCGGAGTCGCCTGTGGTGGCCTGGGAGGCATTCCTTTAAGTTTCAAAGGCACCCGAACAGACCTCCCAGGCCACCACACCAGGCGACCTCCTGCTCCTTCGTTTTCTTGGTTTGGGTGTTTGTTTGACCATGTCTTCTGGTCCGAAGTGTCCTAGTGAGCCTGCAGCACCCATTTCCGAAGTACTCTTCGTTCTCGCCTGGAAATTTTGACTCTTCTTCGCACCGAGTCCTTCGTTCTCGCCTGGAAATTTTGACTCTTCTTCGCACTGAAATTTGGATAGCGGTAGCGTCTGCGTCTGCAGCATTATAACCACTACTTCCTCTAACCAAGCAGCTGGTTCGTCCGAAGGAGAGACGTGCCAGATGACCACAGGCGACGGAGTAGATTGGGCCATTCGCTGGTTCACTCCTACAAACGAGGTAGACCTCTGCGGACACGCTACACTAGCCGCAGCTCATGTCCTTTTCACGACTGCGGGAGAGGTGAAGCAAGGGGGCACAAGTAACGCAGTTCGGTTTTGGGCAGTTCTGCGAAAGACATGGCTGTGTGTGGAATTGGTGTCAGGTGAGAAGGACAGTGACAGCAGTAGCGCTCCAACAACAACATCAAGTGGTTTGCTCACTTCTACAATGAAGATGACATTTCCATGTTTTTTGCCAAAGGAGATCGGAATTGTACCAGGCGACGACTTCTACGAACTAGCGATGAAGATTCTCAGATCGATATTTGCTGTATCAGGTAGTCTAGAAAGCGAAAGGCAGTCTGTTGCAACCATGTGAATTCAGTAATCAGGAACCCGAGAGACAGAGGCCTGGGGTGGATTCATTACTTTTCATTTTCTATTTCAATCAAACAGGGAAGCTTTTTCTGAAGTCCGTCCGTCGAGTAGTGGAAACAACGAAGGGGTGATTATTTGGTCTCTTCGTCTTCGATCTTGTGGAAGAGCCACTAAGATAAAGGTTGGTTCACGAGCCACAAAAACAACTACAACAGGTAACGCCACGGCCACCGCAGCAATACCAGAAGCAGAACAAGGCAACGGTTATCTTCAGGACACCAAAAATGACTTCTGCAAAAATTCCATCATGTCCTTGAGTTGGAGTCTGGAGACAAAAAAGCTGTTCCTAGAATTGTCACCGGACGTCGACCTAGGAGGTTTGCATATCCCGAACGAAACTATGGAAGAATGGGTGATGTGGACATCATCTCTTCCGAACAATGCATCAACCTCTTGCCAGGCACATCAATCAATCAATCAATCATCTTCCTCAAGTCTAGTGCGGGGCGTTGGTCTATGGCAGGGTGCTCTTGCATCAGAGGTGCAGTGTTCATCATCAACGAAGCAGCATACTGTTAAGGCTCAACCATTTCAGTGGTCACCATTTAGATTGGAGTCACTGAGATCGAAGAGGCGACCCCTTCTTGACAGAACTAAAAACAGGGGAAATAAACGAAGGGAAAAGGGGAGAGCTTTGAAGGTGGTCTCTTCCGTTCCGCATCAGCGACCACTGTCTGCTGACCTTTAACACTGCTTACTTTCGAACGCGATATTTCTCTCCTTGGAACGGCATAGCCGAGGATCCAGCGAATGGGAGTTCACATACCGCTTTAGCACCCTTGTGGTTGTCGAGAAGTTTATCGAGGACGATACAGGAGAAAAATGATGAAGCTGTTGACACTCCGCTCTCTAGCAGTTCTAAAGGAAAGTGCCAAGATGAACCGAAGACCTTCCTCTCTCAGATATGTAGCAAGCGTGGAGCAGAGATGGAGGTTTCGGTGAATGAAGGAGGAAACACAATGAACATGATAGGATCTGCAGTCACAAGTTTAGAAGGAAAGATGTTTGTGTAGCTTTTTTCTTGTGCGATTAACATGAACACGCCTCTACAGAGTGCTTGCGTGCGTGGTAATCCGCACGTGGAAGCAATAGCATGAACGTACATGAGCCACTGCATGCTGTAAAAAGGGTTATGCTTATGATCGCCAGTAGGTCCCTGTGCGTGCATCTAGTGCACCATGTTCATCATCTGCTCATCTCGGACACTATTGTTCGGTCTCTTCGACAATCGGTTTCGGTTGTGTTACACGTATTCTGTCTTTCCTGTAACTCTGACTGCCTATGGGAACTGCCGTGAGAAAGCGACCATTATAGCATGAGCAGTCGAGCCTACAACGTATCTTAGAAACGACGAGTAGTAACATGATCGGTGTTGACCACTATATTCTGTCGAAGCTCCTGATGAGCTTGTATCTGTCATGAGGCCTGTCTGTACTTAGGCATCAGAAATGCAGTCGGTAGACTTCTGTTACACGCGAGCAGATGAAACCCCCACAAGCCTCTACTTTAGTTCCTTCTCCAACGAGCTTCGAGGAGACAAGTAACACTGCGCATCCTTTCATCATTCATTTTAGGATCCCGGGTCGACGTTCGTTTTTGTCCCCATCTTCGTCAGCTTGGTTCTTGGCTTTTCAGAAAAACTCCAGCAAAATGGTAGTCAGGGACGATTACGAGCAACGGTCGTTTTTGCAGGCTCCGCGAAGTACTGAAGCACCATTTCCTCCAGAACAGTTCCAACAAGGACAGCCAGCAGCTGTGGGCGGCCCAGGTGGTCAGGTGCGATATCAGGAAGTGAACCCCGCCTTGTGGACGCTGGGGATAGGCCTAAACGCCTTGTCATCCTTCATGTGCACGCTTGGCTTGGTGATCCAGAAATATTCAACTTTTACTTAAGGCTGGACCTTGACAGGCATTGATTTGTTAAGAAGAAAAAGAAATCATAATCAAGAAGGGGAAAGAAAGCAACTCAAGAACACACTCACTCACTGAGCCAAGAACTAGTGATTCTGTTCTAGCGTTAATTTAGCAGCGTCGAGAGGAAAAAGGAAGTATGGGGACTTGGGTTTTCGCTTTTTATTGCTGGCCAGATATTCATGCCTGCGACCCTTACAATGGCACCCCAGTCAGTCCTCTCAGCGCTTACACCAATATCGCTGGTGTCGAATTCGGTACTTTTTGCATAAAACGGAGTCGATTACGATTTGTTTTTACACGACTAGCGCTTTTTTTGGTGTCCTATAAGTAACAAGGAGCGTAAATTGTTAAACAAAGTTAAAGACCTGCATGAACACAGACTCATTATTCATTCGCACCACCACCACCACCACCACCACCACCACCACCACCACCACTACCACCCAGATCCTGAGTCCGATCATCCTTGGTGAAGCTTTTACGAGGTACCATCTGGCATCGATTTTATTCATTGCGAGTGGGTGTCTGATTGTCGTTTTGTTCGGACCCAATCCTGAAGACTTCCAGATGGCTCGCATGGACCTGCCACGTTTAACCTACTTATCCTCGAGACCAGTGTTTTTGGTGTTGGTTTTATGAAGAAGATTTTGGGCACTAACTAGTTGTAGTTTGAGAAGATTTTGGGTAGTAGTTTGAATTTTTGTTTTCCAACATGATCCAGTATAGATAGTGAGGCAACGTCCCTCTATTGAGGCCTCGATGGAATTTCTTCGGGACTATTGATTACGTGGAAACATACGCTCGAGGCTTCAGCTGACCTGATTGTCACACTAGTAGTCGTCGGCTGTATCACTATGCAAATAAGTACGAAGATAAATGTGCAATAGCTACCACCTAAAAACACTATAAATAATTCACCTATATTAAATATAAATTATATGTATCACTTTCACTTGTTCTAATCACCGCTGCCTCCTTCCTCGTTGTCATGAGTATTGCGATTCCGTTAACGCGTTGGCGAGCATCCGGTCAGCCGCTGACTGCGTTATCCTTGATGGTGACACCTGTGCAATTGATGCTGCTTTCACAGATCGGAGGAGCCATCTGCGTCACAAATACCAAGACCATTTCAACGCTGTTCAAAGACTCGTTCTTGGCAAGTCCGGAAGCGAAAGATTGCCCAAACGTATTCATTTTTTTGTAAAATTTGTACAAAACTGTCGTTATTACAAAACTATACTTTTCCTGCACATGATCTCTGTAGTAGTTTGCTGAAACACACGATTTCTTGCACTTCTTCACGACATAACAACTGTCGTTTACTTACAAAACTGTTGTTTGATGCTGCCATGTAACAAGCGTTGTGAATTATGGTGTCTGCTGGTGCACTCCTCTGTAGTTTGAAAGACACGATTTCTTGCACTTCTTCACGTAACAATTTCACAGTGTCTCGGCGCTCTGATGAGATGGACATTCTGTTCGGCTCCTGGGATTACGGTGATTCTGATCGCCGCATTCGGAATCATTGGTCTTTCGCTCTTCAGCGTTGGGTTGCTGAATTTTTGCGTCCTTCTCTTCCCAAGTTTGACAACTGTCACATACGACGTGGGGTTCGGATTGATATTATGTTGAAGGATAAGAGTTGTAATATTAAAACTTTAGCTTGCCAGTAGTTTAGAAGGGCAACTTGAGACGCCATAATGATGATGATGATGATGATGATGATGATGATGATGATAATCTTAAGCGCGCGAGGGGTGCGTCGCTGTTCGTAGTACTACGAGGAGACTGAATCGTATCTATAATACCAGGGCGAGGGTGCTCGGTCGCTAATTCTAGAACAATTGTATCTTTTCATCTGTTGATTTCGAACTGCTCTGAGTTATTTAATTATAACGGATAAGTACACCAAGATGAACTTCTAAGAACCATGCAGCTGATTTATGGTGCAGTATATTTCGAAGAATACAAGAATTTCAACCTCCGCAGTGGCCTGGCGAGCATTGTTGGGATTTGTTGTTCCCTGTTGGGAATCTACTCGGTCTGGCTACATGCGAAACAGGAAGAAATGCAGATGCTGTGGGTAGTACTATTCTATTTTCTATTCGACAGGATAGCATGGGCATCTTGATCTTAGAGGTGAAGATGCGAAATGTGAACATGATGAAGAAACAGAAAGTAGACATATTAGATTTCCATTGTGCCATCCATGATCAAGATCATCTACTTTTTACCTCTTTATGATACAGGTTTGATATAATAATTAACTACCAAACCAAAAAAAAAACCTTGAGGCTTCGAAAAATGCTTTGGACAAGGACATGAGTGCCTCGAACCTGGTGGATAAAGGCAAGGGATCCCGTAGCAATTACGGAGCTATCACTTGCAGTAAGAAGAAGATGGGTTCGCTTTCAAAATGAACGGAAGAGACGGGAGCTTTGATGAGTTGCGATTACAAAATGAAAATGATGAATTTGAAAATCAGAAAGATTCGTAGGGGCTTTAGCGTAGCGCGTTGAGGAGATTTAGAACGCCCCCCTATGCTGGTATCCACGCGGAAAATACGCGGGTAGGTCTTAACTTATCGGGACTCGCTCGCACTACAAAAAAAGAGAAAGTAGATGCACTGACTTAGTTGGATTACTTATATGGATTGGATTCATATGGCAGACAAAACGAACCTGAAGTAGCAAGTTGTTGAACTCACTATTATTCTTGGAAAAGACAACCTACCACAAGACTGCCTATTTGTACACCAATTTGCAAACTTTGTACGTACACACGTTTGCGAGCAACTTACCTACATTTAGTATTATTTAGAACTGTATCTATAACACTAGGAACAGTAACATCAGCACTCCTTCTTGCATCATACGGGATCAAGAGTGCAATCACATGCATACGGGATCAACACTGTTCCTCGCTACAGCCTTCTACAGCACTTTCGTTTCCTGCGTACTTAAATATTTCTCGAGCCTGTCACGACCATAATATTTCTCGACGACGCTAGTAGTGATAGAAACCAGTCGACGTGTAGGGATAACATATTTATTGATTTCGTAAAAATCGACACTAGTAGTGGTAGACACCAGTCGACGTGTAGGGATAACATATTTATTTCGTAGAAATCTTTCTGGATAGAACATCATCTCTCACAACGCACATTCATATTCGACACTAATCTCAAAAATGACCATGACTTCATATATGAAAATTCCAGCTCCATGTGAGACTATTTCTTCTCCACTACTTATGAATGAAAAAATGCAAAAGCAACATCCTCCGCGGAGCCATCCTTTTCCGTGGACGAGCTGCTGGTGGACGATGCTGTATCGATGCTTCTGAGTCGACGGCCTCGACTAGAAAGATTCGGACTACAGGCAACGATGATCGAGGAAATCGGCTATATTCATTGTCGAATAATTTTCTCGGATGAATTTCGTGATTGACTAGAAAATTCTCGCTACATGTTGACATTGTGAATAAACAACGATCTTAGCAAAGATAAACCTTTCGTGCCTCCTTACCTTCATCACTCTCTACAAAATCAATAAATTTTAGTGTTGTATTAGAATTACGCAGAAATAGAAGTGTCCACCTTCTCCTTGCACAGAAGAAGGACATCTACCTACATCAACTTCAAGAACTGCAAAATGGCAAAGGAATTCTCGGAGTCCTACTTCGCCAAGGGGAGGACGAAAACAGCGAGTCGGCTTGACTTACTCGCTTGTTTTTGTTTACTGAAGTTGGCGGCTATCGGGGTATACATCTACGGAATTTTCAGCACGAATTGGCACTACGGCGCGGCCCATCCACCTTTCGCGCAATATTTATGGGTCAAGATGTTAATTTTGATAACATGATTCCTTTTGTCCCTGTCTGACCAGTAAAGAAGTCAAGAACTGTAAATTTTGTAATAATTGTTCGGCATAATTCACATAACATAAGGTGAAGATGATTCGGCAAGCACATATTAAACAACATGTTGTAGTTCTGGATTCACAGTCACAACATCACAGATCAGAAACCTGGATCTTCCCCTTCCACCTTGAGGATATTACTTATATAAATACTCTTTCGTCTTGACGGTGGTTCAGTACAATCACTTGAGACGTGATAATGATGAAATAGCTACAAACCAAAACCACTCATAATTTGAAGAAACAGTGAGAAATGTCTAACCCAAGTCGGCTTCGGATACGGACCTCTTACAGTGGAGATAAACCCAATGTGCATGTCCTCTAGGATGGCCGAAATCGAGCAAATGGAGGATAGGCCTCAGGGATCAGCCCCAGCTGTATTGAATTTCTAGATACCGCCCGTGTGTGGGAGGTGTTAGGTCATAAGTACTCGAAAACTGAAAATAAGCGAGTTACTGACTGAAGTAAAACAGTCTTGACGACTTTCCTCTTCATTTTTCAGTACCTCGCTTAGTTTGACAAGTAGGTACTCGGTTAATATTTCAGTTTATCGAATAAATTGAACAATCACGACCTTCTTATGTTGACCCCTTAGCCATTTTAGCCTCCGATGAAGAAGTCTGAATCTCAAAGGAGCTTGCTTCATAATCCTTTTTCAGGAAAAATGCCTACACCTAGACCTACTTGTCATCTTCATAATCCCGCATCCACACTCACACACACATACTTCTCACCACAGACCATCAAGTGGACAGCGCAGATGCTGAACCTCGGGACAGGCGAGTTTCGTGCACAAGTCCTATTTTGTACGGAGTTTTAAGGCTCAAGAACTTTCATTGGTCATTGAAGCTGGTCACTGACACCGAAGCGGAGTAGACCGCTTGAGACAACACGGGAAATCTAAGGGAAGAAGGGGAAAGTAGCTCTGTGGCCAGGGGCCTTGTCGTTGTCCCGTTCAGAGTCAGTGACCAATGACTGCTGACCTTTAAGAGTTGTTCAACCAATTGCGGGAGAACAAGATCCGCGACCTGCTTTTGACCGTAGATATGCTCTCCGATATTCCGTTTCTAGGAGCACTCGTGACGGCGTCAGTGCGCGACCTGCAAGAAATGCAACTCATGGGCTGTACTTACTTTGCTTATTTAATACATACATAGAGCTCTTAATTCTGCACAACAACTACCAAGAGGAACTTCATAACCGATGATGCTTCTTCCTCCATGTTCATTTTCCACTTTTTGGATCACGTAGCGAGTAATCCATTGCCTCTAGTTAGGCACATTCATTCATTCATTCATCAAAGCTCCACTGACGAACCAGATTTCTACATCGGTGGCGTAATATTGCAGTTACTTCTGTGCGGGTTCTCAATGATGGTGTTGGTCCTCTATTGGCGGCAAAAACCATCAAGAAAATTGCGGAAGTTGGGCATAACTCTCTTTGTCTTGGCTTGGCTTCTCTTATGTTTAGCTTTTATCCATCTTTGTCCGCATCTTGATAAGTGCCCCATTGCAGCTACGGAATAGAATGGTATTGGTATTCTGTCATTATGGAATACAAGGGAAGGGCAAAGGTACGAAGATGTTGAGACCGAGATGGATGCAAGCACGCTCTAACTTTCTTCTCGATAGGCTTTGTCGCTTACACTGCCATAACTCCTGATGCAAACGAGATTTTGCGAAAATACATCATGATATTGACTGTTACGGCTGCGCTGCTATCGATCTTGATGTTTTTCAAATGGATTTAGAATACTAGAGGACTTGAGAAGTATGTTGTCGTGTGTTATAATTTTGTACCTAGATCTCAACCTCCACCACCCCCACGTCTCCTTCTAATCCTCGTGGGGCAACAGCAATAGCCGAGGCCTTTCTCAGTTCCGGAGATACGAAAGTTCAGACAGGCGTGGTCGGCGATTTCCAAGAGACGTGGCTTGTCATTGCTAGCTTACTCCTCCTTGATGGAGGATTTACTTTTATGGAGGAAACATGATTTTGTATTTGTGTCTACTAGAGGCACATGGAATTGTTCCATTGTTTCTTGATCAGGGGCTGCACCAGCATGACCACTTCTTATACTAGATACACAAAAATAGATTTTATTCTATCAAGTATAAATAACAAATAAATGTAACAACAAGAACTTCTCTGAAATCTGAAATCTCCATCTTCTAACCTCCTCTTTATGGCCTACAAGTTTCCGCAGCACCCAAAGGAGCGACATGAAGTGAGAAAACTGGCGGAGCAGGACCAGATGGATGCCTTGATGGCAGCACAGTTGAGACACGCAGACCAGCCGCATGACGAGCACTTCTTGGTCGATCCAAGAGCCGAATTCGAAGACATAGAGGGCGATTACGGTCAGGGTCACATGCACTACAAGCATGCGTATGGTGGGGTATAATAAAGTTCGTAAGTGAACAAGAGATGGGAGTTCGTAAGTGAAGAGTAGAAGTAAGTAGCTTTCTCTGTTTATAGTGCCCAAACCCATACGTCATCAACATCCTCTACTTGTACCTCCCTGAATATCCCATACAAGCGATTTGTTTATATCATCATGTCATGCGTATTCACAGTCCCAGTAGTATGAGTAGCAGTACTCGTAGTTGCATCAAAATCTTAGAACCTAGTAGGTGTTCGTAACGTAGTAGCTAGAACTAGATGTGAAGCACCATCATTTCATATTTTTCGTTCCCATGTTTTCACAACCACTGCATCGTAATTTTTCATGCTCGTGTACTAGTAACGTGCCTCTTCCAAGAAAACTACCATAATCATGATAATGTTTTCCACGTATGAATCACCGCCCCGCCCATGAACAAATGCTCCCCAAGATCACGACCAAGTGAACACATCACCCTTTCCTTCCCATACTACATGTCGCTAATGCATAGTCAATTCAGTAATCATAAATGAACCTTCAGTCATAGAACTAGAACGAGGAGGCATCAATGTCAATCATCACTACCTCGATGCATGATACAAGGAAGCGATTCTCGAAGCCTCAAATAGAGATCAAGAAAAACTCATGCGGTCACGTTTACCTGATGATCGATTCAAGAAGGAGAGCTCATTCGCATTCCTCACAAGAATTTTATGACTGGACCTGCAGGGCCCTTCCATTCATCAGATGTGTATGGTGGTTGTCCATTTTTGTTCTCTGTACATGATCATCGAAACGAAATTTGGGTGCAGTTTGGACAGATCTTGAAATGATCTTATCACCGAAAAATGGGAGTGCTCTGTTCGTAGTTGCTCCTCCCATCGATTTCAACGTATTTTGACCTGAGGAGTGCTCTGTTCGTAATTGCTCCTATCCTTTGCTTCTCCAGCGACCCTTGTTCTGTATCTTTTTGAAATATAATTGTTGTGCCTTCCATGACTCTTGGTAAGTAATACTTATAGAGATCTTTTTTTAAGCATTGAGGAACAAGTTGTACAAGAATTGACAAAAATCATGGCAACGACGACCACGACAATGATACCGTCTACGCCGCCAACCGTGTCGAAGAACATGGACAACCTAGTCGAGCCGGCGAGGGACGACCTGATCGCCGGGTCGAACAATGTCCTCATCCTTGGGGAAGGCAACTTCAGTTTCGCGCACGCCGTAAGCGGGATCGCTGATGCCTCTATCCTGGAGAGGTATTTCGGTTTCACACCAGACACTGTCCTCGCCACCTCATTCGACACAGAAGAGGAATTGTGTGAGAAGTACCCTGAGTTCGTGCCTATGCGGACTAGGATAGCGGAACGTGCTTGTCAAAGCAGTCGTGCGAATGCTGGCAAGCGAAAAAAAGTTGCAGCTGTAGAGAAACTTCAGCTAGATGAAGAACGGCAAAAACAAGTTCCTCGTCCACGTGTGACACTGCAACATGGTATTGATGCAGTGCAACTGACTGAGCCTGAGAATTTCGACCAAGACCTCTTCTTCAACGCTGTCTGTTGGAATCACCCTCACCTGGGTGCAGAGGATTGCAGATTGCATAGGTTTTTGTTGGCTCATTTCCTTCATGGAGCTAAGAGGAGATTGAAAAACTTTCCACTTGAATCTTCTGTCAAAGGAGATCACAACTACGATATTGGTACAACTATCGACGTTCCTCCCCGTGTCATAGTCGCCTTAGTCGTAGGCCAAGGTGAACGGTGGAACATAGAAGAAGCCGCAAAAAAACAAGGCCTACGACTCCTTCATAAAAGGCCGTTTTGGACCGACTCCTTCCCGAACTACGTCTGTAAGAGGAATAAGAGTGGCAAGAGTTTCAAGAACATGGAAACGAAAAAACAGTGGCGACCTGGACAGGTAACGCAAGATGCAAGCATGAAGAGTTTAGTGTGGACATTTGTGGATGCAGAGATACCAGAGTTTAGTTTGGACATATCTGGTGCCAGCGCTTGTTCCACTGTAAAGCCTACCACAGCAGTCCTCGCTTCTCTTCAAGGTGGCAATGGCGTCTCAGGATCCTCTTCAACCCCGGTATCAAATTCCACGACGCCTCCGCGTCCTGTCACGACTATTAATACGACCTTTCATTGTGATGATTGTGATAGATCTTTTCGGAGTGCGCAGGGCTTAAAAACACACCGACGACAGGTTCACGAGTTAAAGAAATATGCACAGGACTGCGCCAGCGCAAGTTCTTCTAGTGGTTCCGATTTAGTGCCATCAACAACCAGCAAGAACGTAAGTCCTGGCCCTTTCGTCCGTCTCACCTGTTCCCAATGTCCTCCCAGTGCTCAAGGCTCTGCTGCACCTCGACGAGTGTTTTCCAGCGCCCATGACTTGTGGCAGCATCGGCTGAGTAAACACGGCTTCAGAGGACCACCACCGGGAGTTGATGTGGTGATAAAGCTGGAGAGTCAATGTGGTGATAAAGCTGGAGAGGATTCCACTAGTACAACTGCGAGTGGAAGCGTCTCACCTGTGACGGTTTCGCACTCGAAGGAGGAAGAGACAGAATCAAAGGTGCTGGAATCATTATCATCCCTAATGTCTTCAGAAAGACCAGCCGCTTTAGAGCGGATGTATCTGCCAGGGGGTGACCACTTGACAAGAGACGTCTACGACGTGATTCTGTGTGCTGACGCTCGTCACGACGCTGTAGAAGATCCTAGGAAACCACAACTACAACCAGATGCACAAGCAAGAACTTCCACTTCTTCTATGGCAGAAGTTGTAACCGAACAAGAACAGAAACCTTCTGCATCTGGTAGTCCAGAAGTCATCCCGAAGAAAGCATCAGTTCCAGCTTTCCGTCCATGTCCTGTATGTGGACAGGCAGTGTCAACTTCATGGACAATGCAGGACCATATCTCCACACTACGACCACTTTTGGGCATGAACCTAGAGTGCTCCTATAAATGCGGCAAAACTTTCATTGAGCATCGTGCAAGGGCACAACATGAATTGTTTTGTCGACTGAAAAATGGAGGTTCTTGTCGTGGGAAAAAGGACTAAACAGGCTAGAACTGAGACTGATTTTTTCAAGTCTCCCTTATTTGTTTCCCCGCGCTCTTTTCACTTTGCTAGAACCTGTCGACGCATGATGATCCTTCGAAAGACTGTCTTACAGTTTTTTGACTTCTTGTTGCTTTGTGTTCGATCGATTGAAGTTCTGGTTACAGAAGATGCAGTTCCCACAATCTGCGATCCTCCTTGGGTCTCACTTACGACGACGGCTCGGCAACGGATCAAGAGACCACGACAGGTTCCTTCAGCTACTACTTACTACTTTTCATGTGGTTATAACAACAAGGAAGATCTGACGCTGATGAGAAAAGTCCTGCATTATTGGGAGATCCATCTTTTCGTCAGCTAAAGCAGGGCTTTGCTAGCCTCCATTTAGCTCGACAACAAGTCAAGCTAAATGGAGGGTTTTCGGTATAGTACGGGAATACGCATTCTTTCAATGTAGATTTTTCCATTTTCACCTACATAAAACTTCAGGCCACGGGGAAGATGATGCGACTTTCTGGTTTTTTCGTAGTTCGATCAGTTGTAGTCTAATATGATAAATAAGATTAGATTTTATCAAGCTGCCAAGATGACGACTAGTACAGCAAGAACAAAAGCTAGGTCCTCACCTGCACCTAGTTACATTTCGCATTCTTTTGTTTCAACAATTGAGCATCAAACTACTTCTAAGGACACTTCATGTAGTAGATCTACCAGTTCAGGAGCCTCATCTTCTAAGGATGCTCCTATAGACGATAAAGATGTCGTACAGCTGCAAAACGCAGCCCGCATAGTCAGACTAGAATCCTCCTCAAACGGGACTACGTGGAATGTTGCGGTTGGTGGCGAGCAGGATGCCAGCGACGTCCAGGGTGGTGGCGTCGCAGCTTGCAGATTATCGCCTGAATGCGTCTTTTTCATAGAGAATGGAAGGGAGACGTTGTTAGACGAGTACTCTTCTTGCAGGAGAAGGTCTGCATCCAGTACGAGAACGAGTGAGCAGGCGGTTCTTCTAGAGCTGGGCGCTGGGCATGGATGTCTTGGAGCATGGGCAGCGGCTTTACTCAGCACAACGGAGAAGCTCGAAGATGACCTAGAAGTACTAGAAGATCATCAAGTAGAAGACTCGTCTAGCTCCACTCGCGCAGGTTCATCACCAGCCTGCTCATCGCCAGCCTCATTGCCAGCGTCTTCAAGCAGCTCCTCTCCGAGAGACAGTTGGCTTCAACCACCGTCAACAGCCTGCCCACCATCGCCGGGAACAACCACATCGCGGCCACTAGTCTTCCTGACAGACCTCCCAGATTTCCTTTTCCGCGCAGAGACGACAATCGCAGCGAATGCACCTACACGCGCATCAGGTGGTCTTCAGGCCTTCCCCCTTCCCTTCGGTGAGACAGAGGCTGTAGTAAAATGGTTTCAGCACGTTGGAGGAGACCAACCACCACGAGTCGTCCTCCTAGGAGCTGGCATCACCTACTGGGAGTGTTTGTTTGAGCCTCTCATTGCGACTTTGGGGGACTTTTTTGACCGCGCCGGTCCCGGATCCTGTGCGCTTTTGAGCTACTTTAGGAGAAACTGGAGTCTCGAGAAGCGTTTCTGGACAAAGTTGCTGGTGAAGAGGTTCCATGTGGAAGTTGTCGCGGAAGGGAAGGTTGACGATGACGGGGTGGTTGTAGATGATCAAGAAGATGGAGGGAATGTTGGTCGACAAACCAATACTACTCCAAGAACAAGACGAGTTAGGGATCAGCGCCTATATGCGCCGACGTGTACTAGGGACAACGAAACAGCCGAATGGAACTTGAGGTTGTACAAGGTAACGCCTAAAGAAAATCAAAATCGTGGTGGTGAGCAGCCTGAGCAAAAAAACCAAGGCACCAGAGGGGGTGAAAACGGACAATTTGGAAGCTCAACTACATCTGGCACTCTACCAATTGGAGCTACAGCATTTTCTAAAGCTGACAAAAAAGCACAGGATGCCTTAGCAGCTAAAATAGCAAGGGAAGCTGCCAAAGAGCAAAAGGCTGCCGAAGCGAAAGATAAAAAAGGCAAGAATAAGAAGAAGAAATGAAGACGCATGACGGCCTGTAGTTACCCCCAGCCTTTTACCTGATCCCCACCTAGTGCTAGTGCTTCATAGCATAACTCTATTTCTAAATGAAAACGAAATAATGTCTATGCTTTGGAATCTCTCTGTGTTCACCAAAGATGAGCGCAGTAAGGGTGAAGAGCGTGAGGGATACGACTTGAATTTGTGCCACAAGAGACTCAGAGCCGGTGTAGGCCCTGCAAAAAATCAAGCACTCGCTAGTCTTCATCTGTCAAGAAACATATACCATAGCTTCAACATCAGAGAAATTCGTAGACCTCCAAAGAGACTCAGGGAAGTCGTAGGTCCAATCCGAACCGACAAACGCCATCGGCTGGAGACAGTTACAGCAGCAACGTTTTTCAACATTATAGACCTAGACATTTACTTTTTTCCATTGCAACTAGTCTAGCGAGAACTACGAGTAGAACGAACACAACTATCCACCAAAACAAAAAACCAAATACCTCCAAAAATGCTTCTCGCTCCTTCGCGTCCTTTGTTGCTGCAAATGTGCAGGAGGGCGCGCAACCCCGGTTTTGTAGCCATGGACGACTTAAGGATACACGATTCCCGCAGAGACGTGGCGCTGAAACCACCATTCTTCAAGCATCGTCGAGTATCGATGCCTTACGTGTGCGAGCGGTTCGACCCGTTGATACCAGGTGGAAGGATACGGCTCATCCTGGAATACGACTGGGAGGTTGCTCTTGCTGCAGAGGAGGCAGCAAAAATGCGAGATGTATTGAAACGATTGCTAGGAGGTGAAATTGTCGGAGATGGAAATCAAGCCGATCAAGATGAAGATTCATTTTCTTCTACCGCTTCCAGCACTAGTACAACAATTGGGCAGCGGCCTCGTCCATACAAATACCTAGTGGAGATCGAATCGAGAAAACCTGAACGTCCCCCGGTAAATACTGCGCCCATTATTTCAAGTGCTGTTGGAAGGAGTATTTCCTCCTACCCATACATCCCTGAACCTAGTGCAGCAGGAACTACACCGATTACACCGATTGGAGTTCATTATAGCCAAGAGAAGGGCATTGAAAGTGATCCAGAAGGCCCATCGGCAGCTTGGGCATTTGCCACAGGAAAGCAGTCATCTACATCTGCTGCAATTGGAGGTCGAGGTCAGCAAGAGAAAATGGTCGACGAACCTGATCCAGAAGGCCCATCGGCAGCTTGGGAATTTTCCACAGGAAAGCAGTTATCTACATCTGCTGCAATTGGAGGTCGAGGTCAGCAAGAGAAAATGGTCGACGAACCTGATCCAGAAGGCCCATCGGCAGCTTGGGCATTTGCCACAGGAAAAGAGTCGTCGACTTCATCTTCGACATCAACAAAAAAGGAGAAGATACGACCTGTATCTTCACCAAGCATGGCGGCTGGAGCTGCGTCTACAAGGTCTGTAGGTGAAAGGCTCCAAAAGAAGGTCGTGGAACAAGGAGATGACCTTCCAGAAGGACCAGCAGCGACGTGGGCCTTCAATACAAAGAAACGTTTATTCACCTCGTTGGCACGACTCGGAGCAAGTAAAGAGACAACTTCATCGAGGAATTTTTCTACATCTTCCTCGTCTGCAAAGTGCTCTTTTTCTGGAAGTTCCACGACCCCTACAACCTGTCGCATTTTATATTATGCCGATGGACCTTCTGAAGAGCCTTGTGTGTTATTTGAAGGATCTTCATTTTCAGAATGTCTATCAGAGGCTGGAATTCGTGAAATTTATCGCAAGTTCACTCTACACCATAGTGCTGGGGACTTCCTTGGCCTCTTGAAAATTCGGAAATGAGAGGACATTGAAGTTGTACAACTACATGATGGCTTGTTGTGATAATAGATTGGGGACCCAAATTCGAATGCTGTTCTCCTGCTTGAAGATCTTCGTGGCATCTATTGAATCCCCCGCTTCTTCTCGACGTGTAGTGTCTACTCGACTTTGATAATGAACGCGCTGAGAAGATGAAAAAGACCCAGCCAACACGTGAGAATCGCAGTCAGAATAGGTCCTTTTCGTTTGATCCTTTTCGTGTGCCTGACACAGTAAATCTATAAGTGTTGCAGTAAATCTAAGTGTATATTTTAGGACGGCATCTATTGAACCCCCCCCACCTCTTCTCGACGAAGTGGGCTTTATTATCCGGAGGTCAACACGTGATAATGGTGATGGATGTGACGTCGACAGGTCGTAACAAGCGTCATCCTGGTGTGGAAATATTGTCGTGGGGAGGTGGCAACACAGGACGAGAACTACAAGTGACTCTCGTACCACGACCACAAGTGTTATATGTGACTGTCAGTTTCTTTAGTAGAACGAAGCAACGGAATCCTATCCTATCCTATTGGTAAGAAGATCATGTTTGTTTGTTCTTGAAAAACATCTGAGGACTTGATGCATAAGCAAGTAAAACTGTCAGGGGCAGCTTGTTTTAAGACGGCTTTCTTGGAGATACTCAGCATACTCATCAATCTGAAAATCGTGATCCATAATCCCCGCCGATGTGATGAAAAAAAACTAAAACCGATAGAAGAGCGATAAATTGATAGAAGAACAATAGATTGATAGAAAAGCAACACTGAATATCATAGAAGTTCGAATTAATTGACCTAGTGTAGGGGTGAGTTAACTCTATGACCTACAGAAATCTAGTCCTCTCAGCATTATAGCGCACGCCGCACGACCGCGTCGTCAACCCTTCTAATTTAGGAGAACACTAAGAACGAAAAGGACTTTGACTTTCACACCAGAAGTTTTGTTTTTGGCTCTTCAGCAGCCACTCATGTCTGCCAGTTTTCCTGGTAGGCCCACACCTAACCTAACCTAAGTGCTGTCCATATTCATACACTCGTAGTAGGAAGACTTGAGCTTCAACTCAAGAAGTAAATTAATGACTAACTAATGAAAGCACCTACAATCTAAACAATTTCTCACCCTTCTTATTGATGTCTACATCTTGTTTTTCTCAAATATGAATGGATGTGCTTAGCTTGTTCTTCTAATTGTAAATATTATTTGAGAATTTATACATGATCGAGAACATCTCGGAAGAAGGGCTAGTTTTTCGCCCTTTAATGAATCAATAGTAGAAGATAGTTTCTTTTAGTTATAGAACAAGTCACATATAACTAGATTATTCAAGAATCCATGTTCTTTGTGCATGTATTTTTGAAAACATGATGAAGATGATCAACAGGATGAATAAAATGACGTTTTTCTCATCTCGTTGTTTGTGGCAGGTGCACATCTTCCAAATGCAGCTGTTGTTGTTGGGCAGTTTGAGCGAGGCCATCTTCCTCGTGGACGGAGCACTTCTTGCCCACCAAGACATCACTGGTATTGAGGGTACTAGTAGTTTTGAAGTGGAAGAAGATTCCGGAACCGACGAGGAGTCTGTTGAAAAGACTGTGGCACAAGAAGTATCAACAAGACTTCGTCCTCCCAGTTACCAAGATAAGGAGGCTCAACATCATACTCGAGGAAGTCATCAAGAAGAACAAAAGCAACAAAAAGAACTGCTGGTACAGCGCGATCATCGCCCTTGCGGGTTTCATCAAGACTTGCATCCTGGTCTCCGAGGTTCGTCGTCTTTCCCTAGAAACAACACTTCTAAATCCCCTCCTCCAGGAACTACGTCCTCGACTGGATCTTTGGGAGCAGGTGGACAAGAAAGGACCTCGTCCTCCATTTATCCTGCGTATAAACGAGACAGGAGTGACGATCAATTGACGATGACAACTGACGACAGCAGGACTGATCATGGGGGAAGTGAGTCGCCGAATTTCAATCACCGCAATATTTTTATACGCCAGGAGCGTCACTTGTTGTTGCCTCCTAGCGACCACAACAGCCCTACTAGTGGAGCATCGTGCTCAACTGCGGGGACACCGTTCCTGGGAGGAACGCCACAGCTGTGCTCAGGGACACCGCTGTCCGTGCATCACCAGGGCGAACCAGAGGTGGATAAAGAGTTTTTCTTATGCTGGGATTAATAAATATGATGTTGTTGTTGGCTTTTGTTCAAGTTCACGTACAGCTACATCATGAATATGACCTTTACCTCAGGACGAGGAGGATGGTGATTTTTTGTTCCCCAACTCAATGAAATATAGCGCAAGCAAGCAAGCAAGCTGCATCCACCACAGCTAACATTATCGTTAAATGCGACTTTTGGTGATCTCCGTATCAGTGACCATGACAGGGTAAAAAAGGCAGCTATGGAGAATGCTCCACGAGGTCACGATCAACCACTGGTCCCAGACGTCGAGGAAGCATTTTTCGCACTACCCGATAGCATCGTCGCTCCTGGTGAGTTCGGAACTTTCATGGATGAAAGCAGTGTAGTGCTGAACAAACGCGACGCCCAGTGGGATGAATCTGCAGGCTCTTCAGAGCAGTTTATTATGCCTTCAGCAGCGTTACAGAAGTGTTTTCCCGACCACATGTTAGAGTTAGGTCCGTGCGTTGGCACTGATCCTCCTGCGAGGACTTCAGCTGCTGGTGCTAACAGTCCACTAGATGCTGCAACTAGAACTACTCCGGACAATACTGGTGCAGCCACTGGTCCTAAAAATAGTTGTAGATCTAGAAATAACAACATTCTTCTAGGAGGCTCCACTGCTCAGAGCACAGATGAGCAAGAGGATGAACAGGAGCAGCTGTATTGCATCACTAATGAAGATGTCAATTCGACGAGTCCAAATGCTCCGAATGAGAAACAACAACAACACCTGGGGACTGCAAGAGTAACAACTATTGACGACCGTATTTATGTTGATGATGTGAGACTAGACCCTGCTCCGGACGATCATGATTTGGATGGTGATGACATGGCGTTGACCGTCGCTGAGGAACGTCGTGGGGAAGACCCACAGCAGGAGCGCCGACCCCGCTTACCCTCTACAAATACTACGTCCTCTAATGCATCGCGAAGATTTAGTATTTTTCGACATTTACCACCAGGAGATGCGCATCTAGAAGAAGATGCTGGACTATCCTGCTCGAGTAGTTGTATTGAAGCCGAGGAAACTGACGAGGAGATGATTGAATCCGAGGATGCTTCCTCCGATGCCTCTCACAAATTTAGTATCTTCCGACATGACCCCGAAGCAAGACGAGTACCGTTTCTGGACGAACATGATGACCCCGAAGCAAGACGAGGACCGTTTGTGGACGAACATGATGACCCGGAAGCAAGACGAGGACCGTTTGTGGACGAGGAAGGTTCTGGTGCGCAGTCTGGTAGAAGTGTGTCATCTGGTGGAGAAACTTGTTCTGGTAGAAAAACTTGTTCGGGTGCGCATTCTGGCAGAAAAACTTGTTCTGGCGGAAGTTCGTCTTCCTCATCTGAGGAACAAAGTGAAGGAAGTACTTCTTCTAGAAGTAGAGAAATCTTGGAAGGTGGAGGTGAAGAACGACAGACGGTATCTGGTCGAGAGAACTCTTCTGGTGAAGAACACCAAGACCAAACGAGGCTTTCAGCAGGGCGGAGTCGTTCAGGAGGATTTTCACCTTCAGAAGTACGACGTAGATTATATCAGCCACTGCCACAACAGGAACAGGCTATAATTAGCGAAGGAGCGGACGACGAGGAAGGGATTATGACCCCTCGTCAGCAGCCGCTTTTCTACGAAGATGTTCGTAATCCTACCGGAACTGGATCACGAGCATCAAGGGATGTGTTAGAAGATGTTCATAATCCAACCGGAACTGGAGCACGAGCATCAAGGGATGTGTCATTACCTGCTTCTTCTTCGCAAGATGTTAATCTAGATATTTTTGATATAAGAAGAAGGACAAGAACTTCAAGTCTCACGCCAATGCGAGCACCTGCAGAGCCACAGCTTGACTATAATAACGCCGCTGTAGTTCTTAACGATAGGCTCCAAAACATTCAGATGCCGAAAGCAAAGTCGTTTCTTTTACGTCGTGGAGACGGGTTGGTCGACAGCGAGGTTGTCAACGGAGAACAAGCTGTCACTACTTCCGAAGTGAGCCCTCAGTTTGAGAATGGACCACTGCTTCAATATACCGGAGGCCCCTACTTCAATATACAGCCTAGACCGCCAAGTGGGAGGTCTAGTTCTCGCGAACGTCCTTCACAGACTACCTTCGAGAGAACGGTGTCTGATGCAAGCAGAACTAGTGATGGAAGCAGAACTAGCAGAGCAGAACGGCCTCACACTGGCGCTGTTTATCTTAAGGCATTGAACCTTTTGAATCTTGCTCAACTGAAGATGATAGACGAGAATTTAATTAAGTTTTATCTTCTCATCAGTACTAGCAGTACTTGCTTCCAGTGTTCCACCTCGAATACTAGCTAAATCTTGTCATTGTGATATGCCAATCAAAAATAGCAATCTCTGGCACTGTGTTGAGATCTTTCTCGATCAATATCAACTGAGCTTTTTCTAGACAGCTCGCATCACTGATTTCTACTCTGGAGGTAGTGGTAGACACCTCTAAGAACCGTGCTCCCGTTCCCGTTCCCTTGGAGCACCATCGCACTGGCAGTTTTTCTTCCGATACGTCAACGGTCCGCCAATTTCCTAGGCAGACGAGTTCAGGACCAGGAATGACTCGCCAAATAAGTCCAGGACAATTTGGACTTCGATTTTCACGTACTTTCTTTCCGACGTCGTGTGATGTCTGATGATCATAGCTAAACACCACCCATGTTGTTAAGCCTGTGAAGGTTGATCAAACTCAAAAGTTATAAATATTCATCATCATCACCGTTCATCATCATCATCATCATCATCATCATCACCATATGCTTACGCATACTATAATTATCTATATTATAAACCAAAACTTATTTTGAATGCTAAACAGGAGTGAATTTACGGCTTGAGATGTACGCAAATCATGGCAAAGATGTACGGGTGAGATGTATACGTCTGAGATATATATCTCGAGATATATATCTTATACGTAAATCACGGGAAAGATGTACTCTTGGGATGTACTTACACCGGGGCGATTCATAGTAGGTTTCCAAAATTCCACTTTTTTGAGATGTACGGAAATCATGGGAAAGATGTACGGGCTAGATGTATACATCTCGCGCCGTAAAAGTGCCGCGTTTTTGAGTACAACTTTCCCGCGATTCTGCTCCTGCTAAGGCTTTCGGCAGTACCTCAAAAGTCAAAACCCTGAACCAACAGCACAAGCCAAGGACTGCGCTGAATGGACAAAAAACGAAGAGCGAAGCGCCTCAGCCTGGGGCCAGTCATCTCATGAAGAAAATCCGCTGCGTCTGCGTATGTGCTACAAAAAGGACCCACATGCAAACAAAGAAATGCAAACAGAGGCAAGCACCCAGCAGCTACACGCTGAGCAAGTTAGCACCTGCGCGCTTTTTGGATCAGGCGCCTGAGCTGGCTCAAACTCAAAGGGTCAGACCTTTCAAGCAGGTCAAAAGTAGACAGCGACTTCACAAAGCTGCGCGCTTTGGGTAAGGATTTCGAGCTGACTCAAAGGATGGGGCCGCTCAAGCACGTCAAAAGTAGACAGCAACTTCATAAAGCTGCGCCTTTTGGATAAGAAGTCTGAGCTGGCTCAAACTAAAAGGCTGGGACCTTTTAAGCACCTCGAAAGTGGTCAGCAATCTCATAAGTTTGCGCTTTAGTATAAGGAGTCTGAGCGGGCTCAAAGGGTGGGACCTTTCAAGCAGATCAAAAGTAGACAGCAATCTCATAAAGTTGTGCTTTTTGGATAAGAGGTCTGAGCTGGCTCAAAGGGTGAGACCTTTCAAGCAGGTCAAAAGTAGACAGCAATCTCATAAAGTTGCGCTTTTTGGATAAGGAGTCTGAGCGACGTCAAAGGGTGAGACCTTTCAAGCAGCTCAAAAGCAGACAGCAACGGTATAGAGCTGCGCTCTTTGGATAACAGGTCTGAGCTAAGTCAAAGGGCGACACCTTTCAAGCAGCTCAAAAGGAGGCAGCAACTTCACAGCGTTGCGCTCTTTGGATAAGGGGCCTGAGCTGGATCAAAGGGTGGGACCTTTCAAGCAGGTCAAAAATAGAGAGGAAACGCATAAAGCCACGCGCTTTGCGTAAGAGGCTGGAGCAGAGTGAAAAGGTGGGGCCCTTCAAGCAGGCCAAAAGTAGACGACAGCAATCACATAAAGCGGCGCGCTTCGGATAGGATGCCTGAGTGGCCTCAGCTGGGTCAAAAGGTGGGACCTTTCAAGCAGGTCAAAAGTGGGCAGCAATTTCCTAGAGCTGCGCTCTTTGAGTAAGGCGCCTGACTTGACTGAGTGAAAGCGTGGGACGCTACGAGCAGGCCAAAAGTAGGCAGCAGCTTCACGAAGTAGATTGCGCCTTTTGAGCAAGGAGCTTGAGCAAAGAAAGGCAAAAGGCGGGACCTCTCAAGCAAGCCAAGCCAAAAGCAGACAGCAGCCCCATGGCGTTGCGCTTTTTGGATAGGATGCCCGAGCTTGGTCAAATGGTGGGACCTTTCAAGCAGGTCAAAAGTGGGCAGCAATTCCAGAAAGCTGCGCGCTTTGAATGACCAAGCTGGCCAGATCTGGGCCAAAGAGCGAGACCTTTCCAGCAGGTCAAAAGTGGGCAGCCATTTCATAGAGCTGCGCCCTTTGATTGTGGAAGGCCTCTGAGTGAGCTGATTGAAAGGCTGGGGCCTTTCTTTCAAGCAGGTCAAAAGTAGAGAGCAATATCATACCGCTGCGCTTTTTGGGTGGGAGGTTTGAGCAGAGTCAAAAGCCGAGACCTTTCAAGCAGGTCACTCAAAAGTAGGCAGCAACTTCATAAAGCTGCGCCTTTTGGGTCGGGTGCCTGCGCTGGGTCAGAGGGTGAGACCTTCCCAGCAAGTCAAAAGGGCCAGCAGCTTCACAGCGTTGCGCCGTTTGGATGAGGGTCTTGAACTGAGCCAAAGGGTGGGACCTCTGAAGCAGCTCACAAGTACGCAGCAACTTCATCGCGTTGCGCTTTTTGGATCAGAAAAGAATGGGCGCAAAGGACAAGGCCTCTCGAGTAGGCCATAAGTAACCAGCAAGCCCATAGGCTTGGGCCTGCTTTCTGATCAGAAAGCTCAAGCGGCTCACAGATTGCATCGCCCAAGCACATGAAAGCCGCACAGCACTGCTCGCGTGGCGTTGTTCTTGTTCACTTAGATCAAAGCCTTGAGATGACGCATGCCCACACCTCTCGAGAAAGCCAGAAGCAGATAGGGAAGCTAAGCGATAGAGCGCAACTTGCCGTAAGCTTGGGAGGGCAAATGGCTCACAGAGAGCACACGCGAAGCAGCTGAAGCGTAGGCAGCAACGCGACACCATAAAGCTGCGTGATTTGGATGGAAAACCCAAAACGGCGCAAAGAGTAAAACCCCGCAAACAGGCCGAGAGTAGAACGGAGCCGCCCCCTAGTTCTCTCCACGGAAAAGATCTACGGTAGACGTTCTCATGGTGAGCGGAGTCGGGCGTAGTGCTTCGCCCACTATGCGGAGAACCGAAAGCGACAAGCCTGGGGCCCCCCTCGTGACACTGCCATGCCAGCCGGAGACGCAACACACTCCAAGAGTAGGGGACCCACGCCCAAAACCAGGGCCAGGGGGCGCGCGAGGTTCTCATGGTGAGCGGAGTCGACTGCAGTGCTTCGCCCAGCCACTACGCTGAGAACCAAAAACAGCAGGCCTGGAGTGATCTGCTCAAGGATTTGACTCTCGGCGTATGTATTTGGTTACCCGTTTGCCTCATTCGTTCGAAGTAGTTCCTTTTGGGCGTTTCGGGTGCTGCCAGGGCGGGGGTTTATGTAGCACGTAGTAGCTTGCAGCGCGGAGCTGCTTCGCTTATTCCATAGCCCGCCACTCTTTACGTAATTCGTAGCACGCCGGTAGGCCGTATGGGTTTTATGTAACTCGTAGCATTTGCCAGACCCTTCCGCCCTGCCCCGGCGTGTGTACACGCCGGGGGCACGTGGGCGGTATCAATATCTAATGAAAGCCACTTCAATCTAGACAATTCCATCATCCTTCTCATCATTACCACAATTACATACCTTGTTCTTCATCACTTCTATCATTATATATCACTTCTTGTCGCTATAATTTCATCATTATCTTCTTCGTATCACTTGTAGCTATTTCATGATTATCTTCTTGTTCTTCGTCATTTTCATCAGCTCCCGAGGACATGGATCTTCAACGAGGGGAGGAGCGGACCCCTGATACACGAGGGATGAGCTTAGGGTTGTTTTTGCCTGCGGGTTTTGGCAGTCCAGCAGCATCACCACAGTCCTTCCAGTCCTTCACGGCTGAGCGCTTATCGGCTACCCCAACCAACAGCAACTCGAACTTTGCTCTGGGTGGAGACCGCTTCTCTCATAGAAGTGGCTTGACTGGCAGTCCTTATGGGAGCAACTCCAACTTTGCTATGAACTTTGCTATGGAGGTTGAGGGAGGATATGGGGCTGGTGTCAGCTTCAGTGGCAGCGGAGGACTCGAAGGAGATCGAGGCACCCCAGTTGGAAGTTTTAGTGGCAGCAACAGGGGAGAACTGCTGACGGGTGGCGTTCCCAGTGCTGATCACCTTCTAGAGGAGTCGAGAAATACCTACACGACGATCGGAGATATGTTGCCGAGAACTTCCACTAGTCCACTGCAAGAACATCCAAATGAAAATAGCAGAGTAACGCCTCCTGTCAGAGTAGAAACGGGAGAATTAGTATTACAAGAAAGTGGAAGGAGGAGAAGGGCACCTCAAGCTGCCAGAAGTACAGAGATGAATCAAGCTTCTGTGTCCGAGTCACCAACAAGAAGACGCTCACTCAGACTTGAAGAAGATGCGTCCCCAGAAGCTGCACACAGTTCTACTGAACGTCGAGGTGTATCTGAGAGCTGCGCTACTAGGCCTTCCGTAGGAGGAAGCAAAACATCTGCCCAAAATCGGAGAAGAACTTCACCAGGGACGAGCCGTAGAAGTACTGCTCGTGCATTAATATCAGGACAAGCCACTAATGACGGTACTCTGAAGGCTTCTAGAAGACCAGGATCGAGCTCAATTTCGAAGATGAAGAGGACCTACCGGAAAACTGCTGACTATGAAATGCCAAGCTCAGAAGCAGTGTACTCTGTTTTATGGTCAGCTTTTATCCATCTTCTCTCTCAACATCTTGGTACCATAATTTTGCTCTGTATTCTCATGAAATACAAGGTAAAAGGGGGCCAAGATGAGCGGACCGAGATGCATTGTGGCACACGCTAACTGTTGACGCGGATAGCTGTTTCGGCTCTATCCTCGAACACTGGCAAAGAGCGAAGGATCAGCGACGACGTCGACCAAGCCTTGCATCATGGTGCAGGCGGAAGGTCAAAGGTCCAATCATGTTATGAACAACATGAACGCTGTTGTTGTTGTTTTCATAAGCACTTTGCAATCGAAATCTAGGTTGTTGCGTAGTTCCGCATGAGTGAACAAGTGGTCTTGAAGTTTTTGTAGTCTTTCACAACTACATAAACCCTTCTCGAACATGCTTCAGCCATGCTCTTTTGATTTTGTCCCACAAATAAATTATTCTAATAGCCGATTTGCTGCGCCGCGGCCGCTCGTTCCGTGAATCTGAAGGATCATGCTTATCGGGAATCCTAAGATCGATGCAAGAGTGATGTTTTGAAGTGTGAAGTTGCCAAATTATGCGTCCTAATTTTCGTCATTTTCATATCCTTTTTCTTACTTTGTCTTTGAGTTGTTCGCATAAGTAGATACAAATGATCACCAAGAAGCCTATAAGCTGTAAATCTCAGAAATCTTACTCTGATAGCTTCAATTTTCGAAAGTATTATTGAATGACGACGTTCCCTGTATTTTATTTTTGATGATTACGTGTGAAGATTTGAAGCTAAGTCTTATAAACAAATTGAAATTTTGATAGTGCAATTATCTAAGTTCATACAGAAGAATCGGAATCCATTACACGTGTACAATTCTCATATCTGCGTGCTGCTAGTACTTCTTCTATGCCAAGTTTGACACACGACTGAAATACCTGTACATTCGGGTAAGCACTACAAGTCCTGGAGCCCCACGACTCCCTGGGGCTGGATACAACGCGAGCATCTACGTTTTAGGATGTCCTCCTCCTCTGAAGAAATCAACAACGCTTGTTCAGAGGAGGAGGACATCATCAAAGAAGACAACATACCTTCTATGTGCGCAGGCTGAGTTAGTAGACTCAGAATTATCTACACCTCCACGACCATTCCCAATATCTGATTGAGTGTCAATGTTCTTTTCAACATTTGTAGTTGTACACGTGTAAGCCTAGTCTTGGCGCGAAATTCAGGAGATGCCAAAGCTGTACACTTCAACACAGGCGTTTCGAATATCAGGCATCGATAAATTCTCTCCGATAAACCTTCTGCGACAAATCTTTTACTCCGCTTCTTGATAGTGTTGGCTGGACTTGGGGGCAATTTCTTACGGCTTATGTATCGTGAATGAATACCGACTGGTCACCAGTGGTGCTGACCGTAAGGGCCTCATCACATGATAGATGCGAGATCTTATTCGTAAAAGTATCAAAAATGTGACTATACGAAGCACTTCAAATCATCTATCATGAACACAAAGCCTGTTGTCACTTGGCAAGTGCAATCTGTAGGTCTGTGGATAACCGTCTATCCTTCTCCTAATAGTAGTAACCTCGCTCGTATGATCATACACAACTTGACTAGAGCAACAACGAGGTGCAACTGCGTTTTCATCTTCCTCGAAGCTTCCATAGCTATGCATCCACTGCGTTGCCAACGCTTTAAGTTTCTTGCGCAAGACGCCATGAGCGCGGTGAATCAAAGCAAATATTTCTTATAGGGAGTCTAAAGGTAGCAGATCCTTGAGTACCCAAAAACATAAGCGGGGCATGCTATGAGTGTGTCAACCGACATGCTATTTACCAATTCAATGAGGCGCTTAGAAGTCAATCCATCTAATAGATTAAAAGTATATCATCTTGTAAAGAGGTATAGCAACGAAGCACTTACTAGATTAGTGAGATACTGTCTCAGACGACAAGATAGCGAGTTCTAGTAGTAAGAAAGGATGCTGGGTTACTTTCGACCCCAAGCACCTTATGAACCCTTCTTGAATCTTTGGACAAATTCTGAAATTTGACCGAGGGAGTTATCATTTCAGATATAACAGTAGCAAGCTGAGACAAATGACATAACATAGTTAGTCGCAGCGGCGGGGATGTCGGCGCCCTGTGCGGGCAAACTGACTGATTGACTGATAATGGATTCTTGTCATGGCGAAACGCGAACGTGGAAAGTTTTGCGTCTAATATAGTCGGATAAAAATGTTGCATTGTCCATCGATTGTAGCATCTTTTGATGTGCTACTACTAGCTAGTGGAAGATCATAGCTACAACTTCGTACTCGTAGCACAGTACAGCTTGCTTCATCAAGTTGCTAGGGACATTTTCATTTTCATCATTAAATGAAATGTTTATGTTATAATGTTTAAGAATACGCTACTTGCGCATAATTCGCACCACATCTATATTCACTAAGTACAATCACGTGACGTCTGGTTTGAAACGCAAAGATTATTTGGAGAATCGACTTGTGAGAAGAAAATACGGTGAATTTTCCCGCGTAGTTCTATCTCCATTCATAGTAAAATTTTGTAGCAAGAAGTAATCATGTTTGGAATTGTAAGAAAGGATGATCGTTGACTGCTACAGCTACTAAATCTACTAACTACGCTAGTACTTCTAAAGAAGTTGCTTCTTGTTCTTCACATTGATTGATGCATGTCGAAGTTGCTTCACGCTCACAAAAAAGAGGTGATTGTTGTAATCTTGAAGCACATGATGACCGTGAGGACTACATATGTGTACGAGTTGTTCATCTTTGTTTCTACTCTAAGTAGCCCTCTCTCATCTAGAGAAAACGAATAAATCGCAAGCTGCTACGCCTCACTAGAATCAATTTGAAGATTGATGCCCGTGTTAACGGTGCTTGTAGTCGCCAATTATTTGTACTGGCATCGATGTTCAATCTTCATGATAAGTAAGAAAATGTCGTGAAAGTGTCGTCCCTGCTTCTTCTATCAAAGGGGACAACTCCTCAGAAATCTTGAGAGAACCAAAAAAAAAACAAAACAGTGATGTCGAGGAAGCCCTTATTGTGTTGTAGATTGTATGCCTACTTCTTGTTCTTATTAGGCATGATTGTTTTATCTATCCCGTCTTCCGATCCTCTTTAGGACCAAGAAGCCTTTCGGTTTGTCACTATCAGGCAGCGAAAAGTAGCAGAAGGTTGAAAATAGAAAATGCCGGCACCAAGGACGGGGCGAGATTCTGTCGCTACAAATGCGAGTCGAGGGACGGAGAACAAGAGAAAAAGTAATTAGACTGAATCGGAAAATTTCCCTCCGAACATCAACTTATGATTGCCCTTACCTTTCTCCAACGGTGCCACTACGTACACTTTTACTTTCTCTAGCTGTTCTTCGAGCAAAGAGAGCGAGATCATGTTCACCGTCTACAGGAACACCAGCCTCACCAGCCTCATCCTCGTTCTCTACATTTTTCAACGTTCATATGATATCAATCCCAGGTACAACAACGCCAGCCTCGTCCAAGGATGGTAAGACACCTTCCAAGGATGGTAAGACACCAAGGGAGAGTACGAAGTCGACAGGAAGAATTTCCACTGTAGCAACAGAGACCAAGGAGGCAGACTTGGTAATACTGACTTCATCGTTAGAACTTTTTGATTTCAATTTGGAGTTGTGCCGTGTATCACTCAATCGATCAATCACTCCCTCCCACTCACTTGCAGTAGTTGACCTAATAATCGTGAGGTACAATGCAAACGTTGGCATAGTAGTAGTTGCTACACGATCAAACGCCTCCAACATTACCCACTTAGGTACAACATCTCCCACATCACTTCCTATCCATCGCTGCCTATCTACTCTATGTTGGTGCCTGCACTAAGAAAATAGCCGGTTTTTATACTTTCTCTCGTTTTATCACTCCCTTCATGATTATACATTGGTCCCTCCGTTTTCAGGTGAAGAAGCTAGGCATACAAAAACCTGTGGCTTATGGCGTCGTCGATACGAATATCTCGAATGCCCGAAGATCTTCTATGGCCGACCAGTATAAGGAGGGGGAGCTAGAAACGGCATTTGTGGATAAGGTATTTCTAAGTAAAGGAAAGAACACACAGTAGACTAAACGAGGACGTGCTCGCCAGAAGATGATCCCTAGTACCCGGATGCGTAAATATCCATGATCCACCCTACCACCATGAATATCTACAGATATTCTCGTGCCTTATTTCTTTTGTTCCTACAACGTTTGTTCTCGTCCTTGCTGTTGCTTTCTTCGAATTAAGCCTTTCGCTTAGTACACTACTACCTCTTCCACTGAATTTCCTTATTCTGAACTTTAGTAACTGCTGTGGTTTCTTTTATTACAATATCGTATAATCCACTTCCACCACAAATCCACCACCAGGTGAAGGGAGGAGAAATCGACTGGATTAAACGCACTCTGGCTATGTGTGGACGAGAATTACTGCAGTCCAATTTTGCAGGTGGGATAGTTAAAACGAGTATTCTCTATGCTGCAGAAAAAGCCGACCTCGAGATGTGCAAGCTTTTGTTACGGTACTGCACTCGCTAGTCTAGAATTACGTTACCGTTTCTACCATGATGAATGCAGAAGCACTAGTATACCAATGCGGTACAGTATGTGCTAGTCTAGAAGTGACGTGCAAGATGTGTATGTGTATGTGGGGATCACGACTATATTCTAATTCTTCGAGGAGGTGCAGGTGTAGGTAATGCTAATGGTATTGGTAAGCTGGTACATTCCATCTCTCCTCGTTGCATTCCCCAGGTACGGCGGCCGCGAGCTGCTACAAGTGAAGAATTTCAAGGGTCGCGACGCGGCTTATTATGCAGAAAAAAGTGGTCTCGACCTTTCCAAGGCGTCTATTGAAGCCACTGTGGACTGTTGGAACCATAGGATGCTACAACCGGACGCGAACAAAGCAGAAGGGAAAGGCAGACAAAGCGAAACACTTGAGATATGATGGAATGATTGTACTTAACTATTTAGACTTTTTTCAGTTGAAGTCGTCAGGGAAATCTTAGGCACCTTGCCGCATAGATTCTAACCATCTGAGTGTGGATGGAACTAGACCTAGAAGATCTTTTACGCTGACGATGACCGACACTGAGTTATTCATAAAAAATGTCCCTATTCCTACTCATGGTCTTGCTTCTCTCATACCGTCCGTCGACACCGAGTCCGCGAGGTCCACGCAGCCCAACGTTGCCCGTGCCACAGCTGCGAGATGAAACGTCGACTACTTCAGTTAGGAGTATTCATTGTCATTTTTTCGTTCATCCTTTGAAGTCGCTCTGTATGATTAAATTTATATATAGATGCGTCTAAGGCTAAGCACTTAAAATACAACAGCCGGTTCGTTTTTTCCCTCTATTCTTAGGTGTACTATCCCTTCATGCAATATAGACGCATCTACTGTTGCTTGGAAAGGGGATGCATCACAGCTAGTATATTTCCAGCGCGAGGACTGTGGCGAATGAATTACACCTTCTACACAACAACCCGCGTCGGCTTCTATACCCATTGATTACAGCTATACCCTCTCATGCTTCTAATCCATGTGGTGGTTCGACAACGAGCAGCAAAGGAGTTCCAAGCAAAAGCGCTTCTTCGTCGAAGAGTAGCTCGACTACTACTACGACATCGTCTTCGAGCAAAAGCACAGCTACTAAGCCCGCTTCATCGAAACCACCAGTAGGGAAGAGAAAGAGTCAGGTCGGATAATTCACTAGTTGTAGCTTTGGTTTTTAGGGCTGGAGGTAAGTAGTAATTATAAATTTGAATTGGACGTGGATCATCACGTGGCTGATGTTGAAGGTTGATGTCAATACCCAGATCCCGATAAAGTTGATTTTGATTTTGAAAATGTACATTAAAATTTGTATCGTTAGACTAATTCATAATTGTAGTGTTGCTTGGAGTTGAACGAGGATAATCATTGATCTTGCGGTATTGTAACGCTGACTTGTTGTATAGCTCTTTGAAAAGATGGAGGAACAAACTCATGGAAAATGTACTATTAACGAAGCATTGTCTTGTTTCTTTGGCCGTAGAACTCGGGAGCCCGATACTTCGGTGGCATCTCAGCTAGCTCCTCGAGTAGTACCTGTCAGGAGGAGCCTAGTACGAGGACCCTCCACATGTAACAATAATAATAATTGTCTCGTTGTTTCTTAGTGTCCTCGTTTTCTATGTGTGGGATAATGTAGTGTAGGTACTCTAGTTGATGTACGAAAATAGTGGCATCCATCACTACGACGTTCAGAAAGTTCATGTGGCGAAAAATTTGCACACTTAAGGCGAATGAAGATATTGAGTCGTTATCTTGGTGACCACATGAAAGCATAAAGATTACCATGGGTGAGACTACTTTTGAATCTTCATGAACATGATAGATTTCCTTGTTTCCAGGATACGGTTGATGACAAAAAGTTGACAGACGGTGGAGCAGCAGTTTGTTTTCGAAGAAATATCTCTAGTGCAATTTTAGCGTTTGGAAGTTAGTTCTACCTAAACACGAAAACCATATTCACAAAATATCATACATATCATCGCAACATGGAGTATTCACCCTTTTGGTTTTGGTAAGAGTCAGTAGCATAGCACAGTGTTTCGAATTCGATATTTTTCTCATGATACCTTTCAGTTTTTTTTGAGCAGAATACATAGGAAATCCCAAATGACGCGGCGAAAACTCATGAGTTCATCCGGGTTGCATCTTCAATATACCGCATATTCCCTAGGATGGACTCAAGAACGCAGACGTGCAGAGTAGAAGATGGTTCTCCATTTGACTCTCAGTGAACCCTTTCTTCAAATAGAATCGTGACAAGTCTCGCAAAGTCTCGCAGTTCATGTTGCCACGACGATTCGTCGAGCGTCGACTGATGAAAAGGAGTAAAGATCTGTTGGATTCGCGTTCGTCTCTTCGTCCTTGCTTGCGGTCTGTCAACTTCATCGGACGTCCTCTGAACATCAACATCTGAAGTGCACACCAATGCCAAAATCGGTTTGTCGGAATATTCTTCGTATCAAAGAGTCGTCTAGCCTTTTTCTTGTGGAAGTAGTAAGTCGTCTTGTTTTTATTTTGGAAGTACTTGTTGCGGTTGTTGATGTCTTTATTCGGTCTTGAACCCCAAACCCTAGGCCCAAAAACTTCATCTTCGGTGAAAATGGCAAAAAATCGACTGTATGAAGAATACAAGTTTTTACACATCATACCATAGAATAAGGAAATAAGACTTGTTCCATACTAGTTGTATAACACGATGACGATTTCCGCTCCTCCTTTTGGAGGAAAAGCGTTCTCTCAAGAGATGGCGGAAAGACCACAACTCGGCTTTGCGAGACCCGCATCTTCTAGTACTATGAATTCTGGTGGTAGTACGACTAGTGTCTGGACGAGTGATGAGTATTCATCTACTTGTTCTGGTACATCTACATCTACTACGACTCCTAGCATGAGGAGTTCTATTTCTACTCTTCGGACAACTACGAAGTCTGCAGCCATTTCGTCGCTATTTGGTCCCGGAGGTCCCTCTGCGAGTAAGCTTAAGGCGAATGATGGTCTGCATATGTTGTTCACTAGACAGTAATTTTTTTAGAAGTACTAGGCGATAATTTTCATCTAAGATCGAAATTATATCCTCCGGTTAGATGAAAGTTAAGTCATTCTTCTATGTAAGTTCGTTGTATGATGCAGCTAATGAGGTGGACTCAGACTCCCTTGAAGACAGGAACAGACACGCATGGGAATCATAATCAATTCCACTTCACGCTGGATATCTCTTTCCTCTAATATCAAGACGCGCATGCTAGTCAAGACAAAACGTGCGCAGCCTGTCTTAGCAGTCGGCGGAAGTGCTATAAGAGCAAATCCTAGGTGGAAACAGACTCCCAATGCAGCGATTCAGCAAGCAATGAGATGTGGTGCAGCCCCATTTGGGGTTAGGTATATTTCTGCTAGTTTTTGATATGAGTAGATTTACTCCTTGCTTTTTTGACCATGTTGAAGGAACGTAGTATTGCACTGAGTCGTGACTCGTTCGCCTCCTAGCTGACGCCTTGACATTTTTTCTCCTTCGATTATCCTCACAGGTTACGCCGTTGTGGCCTTGTCTTTTTGTGGTGTTGCCTAACGTTCTTGATCTTGGAGCCTATCGTTGGAATCTGGAGCGAGATTACAAATGGGAACCATTACGCTAATGACGGTGATTTCGTAATTCGAAATTCTCCTGGACGAGATGCAGCTGAGGAGGACAAAGCAGAGCGCAGAAGGAGGAGACGTCTAGCTTCTCGTAACATGTTTTTGGAGGTGCAGCCAGCGAAAATAACTACAGACGCAGAAGGAGGTGTTGAGAACAATGATGAAGATGGAGGTGTTGAGAACAATGATGAAGATGAAGGGGATACAGTACAAGAACTACATACAAAGAACCACGGCAACGATTTTCTTCAAGAAAATCTTCTTGACGCTCCTACAGGAGGAAACCTCAACCATCTTGACGAGCAGGATGACACCAGCAGCGTCTTGCGTCCGATTCGTCGAGTAGAACCTAACGCTTTTCTGGATGTTGAGCATAGCTCTGGTGCTGCGGCCGACGTTGAAGAAGACTACTCATTTGCTGCTGATGCAGCTTTGCTAGTGGAAACAAGTGGTATCGATGTTCCGATGGACGACGAGGAGCAAGCCTTTTTGGATTTATGACTGGACTTTCTTACTTATTCTTGACCTAGGCCAGTCACAATCTGAAATGATCTCTCCACGATGATGATTGCCATTTGTGTGGACAAACACGACAGCGAGTCACAGTCTAGTACTTTGTGATGACCATCTCTGTGGCTGAGAAGGTTTCTTCTCAATGATAATTATACATAGATCCCCATACGTTGATCTTCATTCAAGTTCTTCTAACAAAGATCAATAGAAGAGGTCCGGCAGCTATGAGGAAGAAGAAACGACCGGCGTCCTTCCTTGAGGAGCCTACTGATCCGGCCGAGAGCAGTGACGGGCAACAACATGACGTCGACGCGGACGAAGAGGAACATGAGAGACCAGCGAGAGGAAGCAGACCGAACAAAGTCAGCCACAAGAACAAGAAGCAGGATAAGAACCAGGAGAAGGAGAAGGGCAGTAATGAACAACATCAACAAGGAGGTGCTGGTAAGGACAGAATTACAAGGAATGCTCACAGTACGAAGATGAATGAGGGGAAGGCCAAGAATGCGCCGCCGACTGCTGTCTCTTCTAAGACAATTTAAGGCGCTACTTTGTTCATCTTTCTGATTCTGTGCTAACTGAACTAGGTCAAGAATCGACTTCGATACATAGATATTCAGTTTTGTATCTATAATAGGTCTACGGATGTTGTACCTGTAAAGTGCTACGCATTCAGCTCACTGGCTCTAATTCTAAAAAGAAAAACAATCAAGTACAGACCAACTGGCGCATCAATTCGCGCGAACTAGAACCGGGAAGTTCTTCAACCGCTTCTTTCCTCGTTCCGCACGTCAGGCATTTCTTGCCTATCTCGCTGCGGTCACGCTCCTCGTAATCCTTGTTTGCGCGCCATTGCTATGGCACTTCGGCGCCTGCTGGTCGTCTTCACGTACTACTAGAACTTCCGTGGGGACGTCTACCACAACAATAGCGGAGGGCACAAGAACTACAGCAGCGAATGAACAAAGTACGGGAGTTCCGGAGGGGGAACTGAATGTTACGGAAATGAGAATGATGTGCGAGTTGTAGAAGGTTTACTTATGTTTTTTTAGGTGTGTACTAGTACTTAAACTTCTTCAGTGTTTGATTCGCTACTTTGAAGTGCCTTACTTTCCAAGTGATGCTCCAGGTCCCTAGAAACCGAAAAAAGCTACTCCTACAAGAAGGAACTTCTATTCTTGTTCCCTAACTCTAACTCTATTTCTAATGTAATTTGTCGCAACTACTACGCGAACTCCGATTCACGACTTGAAGGAGATGACGATGCAGAAGATTCTGAGGAGGTTGAGGTCTTCAAAAACGAAGCTAACTGTACACCAAGAGGAGGACAACGTCAACAATCAAAACTACTACCAAAAGCAAAACATCAATCTTCAGAATCACATCAAGAAGAACCTGGCACCTCTCGGTTCAGCAGGATCACAAGACTACTGTTAGGCACCGGGAGGCTGTCCTCCTCCGACAAGGCAGAAGAACAGCGGCTTCTATCTTCAGGTAGAAGTATTAGTAGTAGAGAAGATGAACAGGGTCTTGTTTTAGATTCTGTGCAACAATATGATTCCATTACTAGTGCAACCATATCAGCACCCCGAAGTACCTTGATGACGTCGAAGGGGTATCAACACAGCAACAAGGAGATACCGCATAATTTGCGTGGGGAGTCTTCTACATCTAGTGGTGCTGCGACTCCCAGTGGCGGCGCTAGCAGTGGAACGGAAAGTTCGTTAGAGCCTTTCTCTCTTGTGCCACAGGAGCGAGATCATGCTGATAATCCTCTCGAATTTGTTCACGGGAGGATCATTGAGGATGGCTTGTCAACGACAGCTGGCGCAGAGCGACCTGTAATAACGGTGTGGGCGTCACAGAGTAACGACCGTACAGGGAGCTCAAGAATAGTGGGTTTCAGAAGCGCGAAGAGCTTGACGGAGGAAACATCTTCGTCTAAGAATAAGTTAAGACGCGTCCAGGTGAGCTTCTATTTAACAGATGATGGAGATAATATCACACGCGAAAGCGATATAATTCATATTCCATCAATATACCAATACCTTGGCAACGACCTTACTCAGGTCACCTGCCTCGGTGTTGTCCATCGACCTTACTCAGGTCACCCATCATTCTCGGAGTCGAGCTGGTGCCGGCGGAGCTCGACGCGCAGGATCTATAACCTAACCTAACCAAAACATCTTCGGAGCAGCTCTAATCAATGGTGCAGTTAACCTCGACAACGGCAAGGGGAAGAAAGGCGGGATGAAAGGAAAAGCGAGTATGTTGAAGGGAAAATCGGGGTACTACAGTAATAAAGGTGGAAAGGGATCACGCAAGTCGTCATCGGCATCTTCTGACAGTGGAAGCATCTCACCGCTGCCTCAGGTTCGTGTGGCACCCGACTTGCTCAATCCAGCTGTACCAATTATGGCTAAAAATTTTTCAAAGGTTGATGCATGAATAAATTCAAGATCTCAATAGATACTCTTGGTCATAGAAGAGGTCTGCGAGGTCTGGATTTACGTTTACTACAATGAAAGAACTTGAATTTATACATCGATATACATAGATACTTTGAGTATAGGCATCATGATCATACTTAGCGAAGATGAGCATAAGATGACAGCTACAGTACAGCACTGGACGTACTAGCTAGAATTTCTAACTCAGTGCTCTTCCTGTCGTCGAAGGTCAGCACCACCTCAGAGAATTTTGCAGTCGATTCCCCACGGCAAGAACGAGTACCACTGCAAGGTAGTACGGAAGTAAAAACTACTCACGTTGATGACTTCATCCAAGACGACGATCAAGAGAAGCTTCTACTACCAATTCCTCTTCCCGGTGATGATGAATCATCTGAGGAAGACGAGGAGGAAACATCTTCTAAGACATCTTCTAAGCCATCTTCTTCTAAGACATCCTCTAAGACATCTTCTAAGACGACTACTTTGACTTCAAAAGTACAACAGCGTGCGGAGAAACGGGTGCGCGCATCCAGGAGCCGCAGACATGAAGAGATGCAGGACAGTGGAGATCGCATCCAACGATGGATCAACTCGGAGAGGAGAAAAAACTCCAAAAATAGCAACTCTATGGAGGACGAGAATAATGTTGTTGAGACGTGAGGAATGATGTCGTTCGTCACGTCTGAGCGATTCGTTGATCATTAGATTCCAAGACGTGATCATGAGGAACGATTCGTTGATCATTAGATTCCAAGAATTGAAAGCGAACTTAAATTTTTGTAAGTGACACGACTAGCACGAGCACGACTAAGGTGGTAGGACTACCTATAGATACGAAGTTCAAATATACTTGCGTCACGCGGCAAGTTGCGTGGATAAATGTCATGTAGCCAAACTAGGACACAAGATTCAATGCACAGAAAAACACAAACTACACGATCTTAATAAATCAATCACACTAACATGGAGCCGATTATAACACACTAAATCTTGTTAAGCAAATACCTCTAGTTAGGCACATTCATTCATTCATTATCATTCTTGTTTGTTCAAGATTCAAGAATACCCGACACTGATAATGGATGTATTACGTACTGAATGAGAGAAAAGAAAGGAAGTCTTTGAACTCCTACTCAAGAAATAAATTAGTAACTAACTAATGAAAGCGCCTACAATCTAAACCAATTCCTCACCCTTCATATTACGCACTGAATGAGGTTGTCATGGATAGCAGTGAAAACTTCGTTGAACAACAGTGCATATAAAAAGTTGCATTTTATTGCTTCCTCTAAAAATGAATGATCAGGCCTACGCCTATTACATGAGTCTATCATAATCACGTAGAAATAAAGCTTTTCTAAGACCTACTAGAACTTTTTTGTGAGAACTAATCAATGAACTCGTCTGTCATAGTGTTTAACTATTCCAAAATCTGTCTTAGCAGGAGCTGAAGGACTAGGAGCAGACACGAATGCATGCTGTAATCACGTAGTGAAATAATTCTCTTCCCATAGCGTTCAACCGATCAACATTCCACATTTTGCCTACAGACCAAGAATAGAAAACTCAATGTCTTCCCCCACTATATATTATAAGATGAAGACCCGCGAACATCTTTCCACACTAAAGAACTGCCAATATGATCCCAACTTACCAGAGGATTCATTGCAGTGAAATCAACCTAGATGAAGAATGATCGTGATCAATGATTGTTATCGCTCCGATTCTTACCTCTGACTGCTGTTGTTCCTCTATTCTTGGGGAAGAGAATTTAACGACAACGCACCATCAAGCAGTCGAGAGAAGGACAGGTCGCCAAACAAAAGCCGTACTTGAAGAGCTTAGCCATGGAACAAAATGAAGCACGTCGTGCGAGAAGAAGGAAGGCCAAAAAAGCAGCTACAGATTATACGATTAAAAGTGGGTGAGTTGTTACGTCTCTGTTGTTGATTGAGAACAAATAACAGAGAAGATAGACCCGTAATCGTAAAAAGAGTTCATCTGCTAAGTTCAAACAACATTGTAGCCACCTCGGCGACGTTTTCCTCCAATCAACATTGTAGCGTAGAAAAATGATGGTCCACAGCTGCAGCATGCTGGTCTGTTTGGTGGCGTTGTTTTAAGGCAGATTGGAGAAGTTTGTTATTCTTCACAAGTCGTGCATCAATTCCTAGTACAAGGAAACTACTACAACACCAGTCGACTTATCCGGACTTCCTAAGGAGTCACACTAAAACCAATCTTGTTGATCATTCCACCTGACTAACTATACCTCCCATCAACATGCCCTCTCAACGTAACTTCTGTGTGAAGAAGCTGAAGAATAACAAACTTCTCCAAGCGTTGTTTTAAGGCAGATTGGAGGAGTTTGTTATTCTTCTAGAAAGAAGCGTTAATTCGAGGCAGTATGTCTGCAAAGATGGACGATGTTGTCCTGGGCTATCCGGTAGTTGCTTGTTTCACATTCATTGATTGACTTCTGATTAACGGAAATAGTTGTGATTGACTTCTGATCATGGGAAGCGTTGTTCTTGCTCTGGGCGGCTCTCATGAAAAGAACTCAACGTCAAGGAGACCTTGTCTAATCCCTGTCTAATTTTGGTTCTCCGAGCACCTGCTAGAGCCTGCATTGGCGCTCTCAATGCCCCGCGTCGGCCTTGATGAACAACACCGACGGACTTATGGCTTGTTAATCAAACTGTCTTTGTCTTTGTCTCATCTAAACCTCACGAGTCAAGTAGGGCGACACTCCTTGTCACTCATGTGATAGTGACGCCGCCGTCTCACCCTAAAGCCAATACCAATAGTGTTAGGGACTTCACTTTCACACTAACAGTAAGAGCTCTATTGTCACTTTTACCTGTTTCTAATAAAAGCTCCATTCCTACTCTAACCCGAGGAACTCCATTCCCATTGTTCTAACCCTAATTCATTGTTCCTTTCCCATTCTAAGAGGATCTCCAATCTAGTGGCACAGTGAGAGCTCGTGGACCTAGACAAACTTGGCGTGGTGCATGTTATGATTGCTTGCAGCGGGAAAGCACCTACTCAGTCCAGTGCTACGGTGGCAAATGTTATGAAGGTCGCATGATCAGTCGCGGCTTACGCTTTGTTGATGTTCTGAAGATTTGTTAGAGCTTTTTCACCACATCCCACAGGAGTAGTACTAGTGACAGGTAGTTATTTACTTGTGGTTATGATTTTGATTATCCTGACTAGTACTGCCAGAGAAGTGCAACAAGTACAAGTGGAGGTCAACTCCTAAGAATACGATGATCAGAGTGGTCGATACTGCTACTCTTTGCACTGGGAGCCTGGACGATGGTGGAGGAAACCGTTCAAAGTCTGTCCAAGAGTCATGCCTCCCCTACCCATTCCGCCATAGATCTCGAGAAACAACATGACGAAAAACGTCGAAGTAGAAACAGAGGCTTCGAAGATTCCGAAGCTATTTACAAATCTAAAGAAATCAGTAGAAACATGACCCCGTTCCGCCGTGATAGATCTTCTCCTGTTGTTTGCTTGTAGTAATCAAAATACTGATTCTTGTTCAACCGATTTAGTATTTCTTAGCCGTTTATTCTTTTGATGGAGGAACTTACAGAAGATACCCATTCCACTGTAGCCATAAATGTGTATCATGGTGTGCTGTGAAGACTCTTATGACACAGATTCGTTTTCTCCACAGATTCTGTTTCATACCCGACCCAAGGTCTTCCTTTGTTGATCTCTCCCTCCACGTGACCTACAAAGATGAATCAACATGGCATGAGAAGCTACAGCATTTCGCAATTTCAAACATGTGATGTGAACAATGTCGCGGGCAACAGTGCTACAAGTACTCAGTACTTCTACTGGCAGTGCCGCGAAATGGAACCAATGAAAACAGTGTCTTCGTTCGGCGAATTGTTGTTGAGTGGACGAGTACGAGGAATAGCGAGAGACGAGAGCCCTCGAACTCGACAGAGACACTGTACTCGTCGAAAATTGATGGTATCGAAGTTTCAAATTTGTATTGTAGAAGGAATCATTGTCGTTTTGTAAAAAGTTTGGAGGATTTCAAAGCACGAGAACTAAACATGAGGATGGTCCGAGAGATTGTACAAAGAAAAAGAGACTAAAAAGACTTTGGGAACACGGTGGAAAAAAGCAGATCTTCGTATCGTTTCGCTTATTGTCATCGGTGCCTATCATGCATAGTTCGCACCACACATGAACAAATATAGCTCGATGATTAAAGTGATCAATTTTGATTTTCGTACCCATCCTTGTTCTCTGCTCTTCATAACTAGTATCATTAACACAACCCACATTATCATTTACTGATTGATGACCAAAATTATGGCGCAACAATGGCAGAAAGGACTATGAAGTATATGAGCTTGACATAACGACGAACTTCCTGAACTACTTTCTCTTCCTCGAAAACTTGTAAGAACAAGCACTGCAACGAGTACAACAGATACAACAAGTACGAAAGAACAACCAGAGAAAATCAATTCAAGTATCACAAGTCGTGCATCAATTCCTAGTACAACGAAACTACTAGTACAGCAGTCAATCTATTCGGACTTGTTCCTAAGGAGTCACACTAAAACCAATCGTGTTGATCATTCCACCTGACTAACTATACCTACCATCAACATGCCCTCTCAACGTAACTGTGTGAAGAAGCTGAAGCAGGCAGTGGTCGTGGGTGCGCTCAGCAGCGGGACCTGCAACTACGCCTATGCGTATCAGAAGATCCGCCAGTCCAAGAATAACGACAACCAAGAAGGGCCTCCTCATGATCACGATGAAAGCGAGACCACTCGTAAGCCGTGTCGCGGCAACCTGCGTGGAGTTGAGGCTTGTCCTAAAAATGGTGCATCTTATTTGGAGTACTTGTATGTTGTCCCAACAAGAAGGATTGTTCGTCTTATAATACTTACACAACCTACACCTGCTTCAAAGTTCTTTTGTTCATCTTATACTAGTACACCTTCACCTTGGTAAAAAATATACTGTAATTATAATTTCGAGTGCTCATCTGTTGTGCATGATCTATTAATTCTTCCAAGTGTCCAACGAATAGTTACTAGAGTCAGCACGATTATCTAAATATTACTTCAAAATGTTAAACATCGAGTCCAATCCGTTCCTCAGGCCGCTTACTATCAATACACCTTGCTTGGTTTGACGACCACTATGAGTTGGAGGGTTTTGTCAAGGAAAAAACATCTCACTCTCAAAGATGACAGACGTCCAAGGTGAATTTGGCCCATCTTCTCTAATTGAAGAAAGGAACCTTGCGATGATCATGATTCCGCTCGCTCTGCGCACACCGACGAAGCAGAGATCCAAGAAGATGTCCTGGATGAGACTGCGACCGTTCCTACCGCTTTTATGGTGACTGAGGCGATCAGGACCAGGAGACAATGGCAGACGGCTCTGGCTGCGTCCCGTGGAAATCTCGGTGGAAGAGGTTATGGACAAGTGAAGAGTATCTACTACATGATTAGAAATTTCCTGTACATGATTAGTCATCTCAGAGAGTTTAACAAAAACAAACATCATCCCATGATTAGATCCACGAGGAGGATCATGCTCGATTTCGTCAACACCATGCAGGGGAATTTTTCTTCATCCTAAGCATCAGCCCATACGTAGACCCAGCCCCTCTGATTCAGTTCCTCAACAGCAAGTATAGGAAGCTACGATCTAATATCACTTTTATTCAACTTGCAACTAGATATATGTTACAGGAGATCGCGAGAGGGCAATGATCATGATGAAGTAGAAGTAAGGGTCGTGTTGTTGTTTGTCCTCAACAAGGATGCACCTGAGCATGCGAAGGCGTCGCTCTAATTCAACCCGGCAAGGGCTCAGCGAACAAATGCAAAAATCGCTCAGGCAAAAGTGGCACTGGCAGAGGCAAAGAAGGAGTACTAAGGCGGACTGTGCATCCTCAGAGGCATGCCTCTTTACTTTACACCTAGAAAAAGTAAACGCGAAAAATGTGGTGACGGGGGCACTTCAAGATTAGAAAGGCATCCTCCAGGACGTGTATGGCCCTTTTTAACAGGATATGAAGACGATTACTCTAATTCAATCTACCCATCCCCGCGCAGAATGCGCCGGCGAAACGGACAGAAGCGCAACCCCAACAAGAGCATTAAGACCACTTCCAATTAATAGGTAGACTCCACTCCTCCTGTTAACGACAAAAAGCAAAGGTCAAGGATGCACTTCTAGTGGATATGATGATGATTACTCTAATTCAAACAGGCGGAGCCGACTTCTATTTACTATGTATCCTCGACGGCATCCCTGGCCTCTGTACACTCAGAAACAGTAGAGGCCAAGGATTCGCTTGAGGATGTGAAGGCGATCGCTCTAATTCAGGTTAAATCTAATAAGTATCACTTTTTTTCAACTTGTTACTACATATATGTTACAGGAGACAGCGTCCGAGACAATGATCATCATGATGAAGTAGAAGTAAGGGTTGTGATCTAACTCAAGAGCGAGAAGGCGGAAGAGCAGGGAGCACCAAAACTAACAGAGGAGGAACTTCTCCAGCATAATTAAGGGGACTTCAAAATAAATGATATACATCCTCCACGACATCCCTGGCCTTTTTTCTTCACGTAGAAAAAGTAAAGGTCAAGGATGCACCTCCTGAGGATGCGGAGGCAAACGCTCTAATTCAAGATAGCCACTCTCAAAGAAGAAATTATTTATGGAGACGAAGCGCGCCAACGCATCTTGAAAGTCATCCCTGTCCTCTTTTCGCCTACGAAAAGTAGAGGTCAAGGATGTATGTGATGAAAGAAGATGCGAGGGCGATCGCTCTAAATAGCGAAGCAGAATAAGAGGGTCGAGAAGAAAACGAAAAGTGCAAAACTTAAGGGGATAGATATAGCCAAGCTAGAGGTAAAAACTTCATCGGGAAAAGCCACAAAGGACCTAAAGCGCATGCGCGGCGAGTTGAGTGGAATTGTTGTTATGCTAGAATAGCGTAGGTGTTCGACATAACCAATTTAGGAGCGTTGTCGGTGCTGGCTGTCATCCCAAACATCATACCAGTACTCCGCATTCAGGGGGCTGCGCATCCTACACGCAGTGCACTCGGGACGCCGAGCGTAATATTCCATAATCCATATTCTGCATTCATTCAAAACAAAAAAGTCCTGTAATCTGTATTCGAAAGACAAACAATCATCCAAAAGCTACCCATGCAAAGAAAGTTCAAATCGAAAAAAAAAAAAAAACGACCAAGATGCCTTCGTGAATCCGTAATCTGTTTCCGGGAAAACATCCGCACTCGCTTCACACAAATATCCATCCATTGTAAATGAAGTCCATAGTCAATCAGTTTAAGAAGGCGACACAAAATGACGCCCAACAAAGTGTCGAGATCCCCGTTGGTATTCGATAATGTCGCCGACGCTCACGTCAAATTCCTCCAACTAGCAAGAGGAAGGAGCAACAAAATCAAGTACTCAGCCGAAGTAAAACTTCAGTTAGAACATGGCGAAGAACGTCAAAAAGTCCATAATGGACTCGAATTCCCGGGCTCTATCTCAAGTAACCAAGCACTTGGGGCAATCCTCCACGACATCAGCGCGCAGTTTGCGTTCAGTATCAAATCAATCATCTCAGCCGGCTCAACGTATGAGATCGCTGATAATAGCGAGAGTGTCACTGACCTCGAGTTTTTAGCAAAAATCCACGTTGGGGGAATTTTCAACCAGTTTCCTTTTTCAATATTCAACGCAGACGGACCGCCACTAAAGAAGCGCAGTGTCGAGTCCGGGTCGTCCACCATCAGCGAACCGTTCATCACAGTCATAGCCATTCATCATCTTAGCACTCTTGGCAACCTCATGTGCACCGCAGTACTAGAGGCAAGATTCCACGAAGGTCCCAAAAAATTCTCCGGTGTCATCACGTGTAAATGTGACAGAATCTCCCGCAGCGAATTCAACGAATTATTACTACTAGACATCAGCGCCGCGCATAACTATCGAATATCCAGACATGCCGCAGCTTTCCACCAAATCCACAATCTTGCTACTGACGTCGTTTGGAACAACATCAACAACGAGCCACATACTATTCGAGCCACCAATCAAAAGCGCGAGGACCTAATAATGATGAGTGCCAGTTCGATTTCCTTTCGCGTTTGCGTGATTGAGGCGCTAAATGAAACAGGGACGGAGTTTATCTGCATGGGATACCAGCACCCGCCTACCAATTCACGCGGTCTAATCCATTTCAACATCATCACCCCCGAAAACTTCGCATCAGATAAGGAAATGCTGGCACTATGTTCCGAGGCGGTGAAAACAGAGAAGAAGTGGAGCGGCGCCGTTTTCGAATCTTACTACAAGTCAGCATCGATTCAAGAAATGGCGAACAAATTCAAAGAACAAGGTGCACCAAGTAACAGCAAAGAAGTGAACATCAGCAACTACATCCAAGAATTGCGAGCAATGGCAAAAAACTCTTCGCCGTTTCTTCAGGCAAAATTCAGCAGCAGTAAAGAGGTGGGCAGCATGATTTTCAACAAGAGCGGACCCATACTCGAGAAAGCGTGCAAGAGCTGCCTCATCGAAATCAATCCGAATTCCAACTCTTGCACTCGCACGCGCAGACTCGACTCTTGTCATAGTCAAGTGGTCTTCTGCGGATTCGCTGCAGACGAGACGCAGGCAGTCCAACTTTCTGATGAAGTTATGTCATTCAAGTTAATGATCAGCTCGAATCTATCCAGTCATCTAACGTAAACCATCTACAGGCTATCAAAGGCCACGCCGAAGCGAGGGCATTGGTTGCAATGGAAAGAAGCAATCCAAGGTGGCTATCACGCTGCGAAACTACGTTTGTTCGGAAGCACGTGCAACCTATTCAATGAATTTCCAATGGAAGAGAACTTCTCCAAGCTCATCAGCAACCACTCACTCTCGACAACTCTCACACTTGTGTCATGCTTCCCGCATTTGGGAGCGGCGATCGCGACCTTATTCGCTTACACAAGCTGGACTGACATGCAAGCACTAGGCCGAACTATATCCGCTTTGGCGATCGTCTACCCAGACATGGAGAACAGCGCTACAATCAAGGTAAATCGCTGCATTCAAATCCAATTAAACGATCAAAAGTAAACAACAGCCGACATGTCGTCACAATCTTGGAGCTCAGCTACGTCCTCAGCAACCATTTGTTCACAGGTCATCACGGGACTAGCGTACTCAATTAAGCCTGGACAAGAATTCAGCAGAAGTTTCGCCCGGTGGTGCGCACAAAGTGCTACTCTCCCTCCACCCCTGTTCACGGAAGAAGTGTGGTCCACAAGCGGAACCGAATGCATTCGCAAATCAATCAGAGACATGGATTGTCAACAGATGAATCACGGAGCTGAAGACGACCTTCGCACCGTTCTAGGAAACTTCACTGGTGAATTGCGTCAGAAAGGAGCAAGTCTCACGATGTACCAGGCCCATGAGTCTAAGGACAGCATCTATTTCAACAATAATTCGCCAACATCATCAGCAGCAGGCAGTGATGGTAAATAGATTGCGATGCCAATTCAGGGCGAATCGCTTGAAGTCAACGCAATCAAATCGTTGAGCAAGTACTAGCTCACTCTGAGAACATTGCAAACCACACTGATGGCAACCAATGAATCACATGCAGCGATACACTGTTTGATGCACATGCCTTAGCCATCAAGTAACATGACCGAGCCAACGGAAGTAGGAAACGCAGCAGACTATAGTAGTCATGTAATCACTCAATCACCACGCATCATTGACCAACAACAGGTCATCACATATTCGAGTCAACGAAGTCAAGCATCGTCTTTCCGTACCAAATCAACAGGAGCAAAGTGCGTTGCATTGGCGAGCTTAGTCTTTTTTGCGGTCATTATTCATAATTATTTTTACTCGACTAGTGCAGTTCAGAGCATCAAGATGACGCGAATTCTTGAAGAAGTCAATAAGTACTTGGAGGCCAGTCCATCAGCCGGGTCAGCAGCCGACTCAGATTGGGACGGTTACACTCAAGAAGAGTGGGATGACTGGTTTTACGGTAAAAGATGCACAAATAAGGACGCTGAACCTGAGTCGGATATTTTGAATGAATCAAAGAAAGCAAACACTTCGGACAACAACGCGCAAGCTTTCACTTCCAACTCGTCACCAACCATCCAGCGCATCAGTAATTGCCGTGAGTATTGTGCCACAAAATTAAACAAAAACATGTCGGGCGACGAAGGTCTTGGCGGGCCACCAGCGCCGCCGATCAGTTATTTGCGCCTTTCATGCGATAAAAGCTTCTCCATCTTGGGAGCGTGTGTGGTGTGCAAAAACATGAAAGAGAGCAACGCTTTGCGCACAATAGGCATCTGCAATGATTGCAAGCGCATTCAAGGGCCAATGGTCCACAGCTTCTTCTATGTCGTGGGTATCGACGACCCAGAAAAAACGACTTGCACAGCGTGCAACAACCAAAAGTCGCTGGCAAGGATGACCGACGTCAAAAAAGCACTCGCGGTATAATCTTACAACGCCACTCCATGAGTGTATCGATTCAAGGATGGCGCAACTAAAAATTTTATAATATTCATTACTCAAATTGAACAACTCGTCAGAGCTCCGCTGGAGACGTAAGCGCGGGCCCTGAAATCATTGGGGATTATCCCTGGTTCGCCGAGTGCGTGTCAATGAGCGACAAAGAAATGGAAGATGCCTCTGCAATCTTGAAGAGGCCACCCATGCAGAATCAATCCACATCCAAGCTAAGCGCAAGCGTAATAGTCAGTGTGTTATGTACAGGGGGTCGCAGTCGAGTCATCTCTCAAGTTCACCATAACTTACGTCAAAGTCTTCTAATCCTCACTGGCACCCACATCGAGTCAATCCGAACATAATCACACACCAACAGGAAGTCATGATGTTGAGCGCAACACTCGCAGGGGACAGGACGGCAAAGCACTGCAGAAAGCAGCCGATCAATTGAAACACAAAGGAAGCGAACACATGAATTGGCCGAAGTTGCTTCTATTCTAACTTCCAATGGCGGAAGCCTTTTGCATTGCAGCAACCATCTGCAACGGCTAATCAACCTATTCCAAGGGCAGCCAGTAGCTATCCTTGCCGAGTGCGCCCATTTCCTGGCTAAGTACCATTTGGATCTCTCGACTATGATGGCGGCTTCTAACAAAAAGGGCAAGTCGCGTCAACCACTCAACGAAGTCACGCCGTCCAACGTGGCCTATGCAATCTACTTCACTCTCAAGCAATGGGGGAAGAGCATCAAACTGAGAAGCCGCACCGACCCAGTGCGCAGAGGGTTTTACAACCTAGAACTCCTGCCACAAGTCACCAACGCTTCGACGCGCAGCATGCAATCTAGAGGCGCCCTGAAGGTAATAGCAACCTTTAGCATCAGCGCGTCAGTATCAGTATCCATTCCGTTAACGTAATCCAAATTCCTTTAGACCTCCAATTTCGTCGCCACGTTTGTTTATGTGCCATCACCCATTACGCAGGCTTTATTTAATGGCCGAAATTTCGAGCGATGAGCTAAATCAGGCTCGACAACAAGTTGCCAAACGAAGCAACAGCAGCGAGTTCAGCAATCCCAGCATCCCAGCCAAGTATCCCAAGTACGGGAGCACTTCGTTGGCAAACCCCAACGCAATGGCAATGGGTGGTGGCGGTGCCGGAAGTAGCAACAAGAACAAGGGCGGCAACAACTACGGCACAAAGAGTGCTGATGCGCGTGTGTCTGACATCCTACGTGGAGCGGCTGCGGATGAAGCTGCAGCAGCAGCTGCGTTCCAATCGGCTGTCAAAGTTGACGCTAGTACTACTTACAACTTTTTCTCCCACAGCAAGTTGTGCCGCAGCTGCTACATGTTAGGCTACGGCATGAACATGAGCCACGTCTATGGATTCGAACACTGTGAGGCAGCGGGGAACACCTGCGCGATCGCCTGCAAAATCTGCTACCAGAAACATGGAGTCACCGCTTACCATTGGGCGTCAGCGTGTCCGTACCGCGATGGCATCTCTTCTCAGAAAGAAACAAAGGGGAGCGGTAAAGGGAAGAAGGGTAGCAAAGGAAAAAACAGGCATCCAGGTTAGACATTCGAGACGTCTAAGAAGCATGCAGATCAAGGCAACATCCAACCAGTATTAAAAAGTTAGAACGCCAGGAACTACCCTCATCTATTCACGAGATAATTGTCAATATCAGACCCATGCAATTTTTAATATTCACGACACCCCATTCAGAACGGTAATCAATCCCACCCGTGCTCATGATGCTGAACAAAGCAAATGCAACGTTGTAACGATCCGCTAGCGTCTTACTATCACCTCACGACTTTGCCACAATCCATTCGTTCGGCTCAACGTACTCTATGAGGGATTTCGGTTGGATATCGGTTGGATTTTCAAAAAAATTTTTTCGTTTTTTGTTTTAAATTTTTACGGGAAGCACCAGGTTTGCCGGGGGATTTTTTGCAGACGTTGCTGTCGCAATTATTTGCATGCTTTGGCCAAAGCTATCGGAGCGAGGCCTGCCGTTCCCACTCGTGACCTAATTCGAGGCCCTGAAAGTACAAACTTGGGCGGGTGGGGTAGCTCATTCTGGGCTACAGGTAGGCCGAGCCCAAAAGGTTCTAGTTAGCCTTTTGGGAGCTTCTGGGTCTGCTTTGATTTTGAGTAAGGATCTAATTAAGCGTCTAGTTGGGCGTGAGTATGAATTTGATATGAAGGGCAGCTGCGTCGAAGTATCGGAACTTGCGGAAAAGTGTTATGGTCACGGTTGTGATTTAGAGTAACTGAGAGGAGTTTCGAATGAGTCGAAGATGGGGATCAAGTGGAGCTCTTTACTGCTTCGAGCTCTTCGCTATGAACTAAATTGTCGTAGTTCGTTTGTAAGATCGTAAAAGAAAAACTCCAACAACAATCGATCGAATCGCGCGTCGTGTCATGAGAAGCGAGCCGACCTTGGAGTAGTTTTCGAAGACGGAGGCAGAGTTACTCATCTGGAGGCGCACGCTTCGGCAAGTGGTTGCGTCGATTCGTGATTCCGAACTTCGTAGGGATTGCTCAGCTGATTGGGCATTTACTGCAGGCGAGGATGGATATCGTTTAGATTTTCAGTCGGTATAGTCGGCCTTTATGGTGCATCTCTATATGAAGAGCGTCTGATTGGAAAATTCTTAGTAGGGCTACACTTAGGGGGCGTAGTATGTCATATATTTCACATGTGCATAATTATATCTTGTCATATTCTTCCACGCTCTCACGATGAGCGTGAATCCGATCGGCCTTTCGAAATTGCAGCGCCGCTTACTGGAAGCGGCGGGGAAAACAATAGTAGCAGAAGAGACGACATCTAGTAGTAGTTTGGAGAGCACAACACGAAGAGCATCTGACTCAGTAGTCGAAGCGGCGGCAGAATATTTTGAATCAGGACGAACAGAGGCAGACACAAGAGTACTCAAAAAAGTAGGCATTTATGTGCATGATCTAGCATGGGAAAGAATCTTGAAGAGGATAGACCAGGGAGACGTGTCAGAAGTTTTGGTTATACTTCAAACGGATGGAACGACGAAGAAAACTCTGGCCTGCGAGCCAGGGTTTAGAGCTGCTGGCACGCTAAAATGGATGGTGTCCAACGCTTCGGTCAAGTTGGTTCTGGGGGAAGAGGAGCACGCTGTAGACCTGTGGCTACCTACTCATCTAGCCGGAACTGCTCCGCGACCGAAGAGTGATCTCCAGCGGAGCAAGTTGCCGATCGATAGTACTCTCCGAGTGAGCGAGAGCTACGACAATGCGGACCTAGCGATGCGGCAACTAGATGAATGCATGGCGAAGCTATGGAAAAAACCAGTAGTAGTAGTAGCGCCGACAGATAGCGGAGGGTCGACACAGCTGCAGCAGCTTCACATGGTGCTACTTGCGGACAAAAGCCCTGGGATCGCAATTCTATGGGCAGACCAGTGCAGAGTACACTTGATCGCCATATGCAGCAAGGCTGGATATGAGAAGTTTGCCCATATCGTGGGCTTTGACCCAAGGGCATTCGAGAAGGAAGTCTACTGCATTGTACTACTTGTTGAGGGGTTCTTCTTCTCATATTAAGCTTCTGACGTTTCAGCTTTGTTATGATTAATTTCTTGATTTTGATGATTGCGAGAAACTTCAGATTTAATTTACTTTCCTCTTAAAATTATTCGTGTCTATGGCAAGCTAAATTCAGAAACTAACGTTATCAGGTCCATATTTGTCAGGAATAGTTTCTCCTCTCAAGCATCGTCATGGCTGGCAGTATGAGTTGTAAATTTTTACTTTTCAGGCATGGGGAATTAATGAAAAGAGCATCAGTATTCACAACGCGGTGAGCAAGCACAGGGGGCATCTCTTTCCCGAGTGGGGGCCCGGCGATGGCTTTGATTCCGATTCTGAACTTTGGAAGTTCATGAACATCGCCATGAACAAGCGAGGAGCAGTAGAGGAGTTGAAGGGGATGATAGCAATTCACAACAACAAAGTAGTAATCAACATGCCGGACCACGATCCTCCAGCGGTGCGGCGGAAGCTTCACGCCTTGTTCACGAAGTTGCAGCTACCGATTTGGACCAGGTGGCTTAGCTTTTCGAATTGCGTCGGCGATTTATGCATGCTTCTTTCAGTTGGATTAGGATGGGTTTTGCATGCGGTGCATGAGACACGGGGAAAATATGACCGGCTTCAGCTGCCGGCTCCATATTTCAACAAACAGAAGTCAAAGGGTATTACTTATTTAAACTAGACTGCTGCGTCAGTACATACAAATCTTCCTACTCAACTTGTTGCTGCTTGTCCAATTTTTCAATTGCTTTTCGTTCAGGTGAAATTTTTGACCTTCTGCTGTATCTGCTGTGTATAGCGAAGTTTACTGAGGCTGGTGAAAAAGCAAATGCGCGGTTCTTGGACGAGCAGCACTTCTTCACGCTGCCGGAAATGAAGGAAAAGTACACAGTAAGCCACGATGCTGCTGTGGAGTACTTTGAACGAGGCGAGCAATTGAAAAAAGACCTGATGATGATGATGCCGGGGCGCGTGGAACCGTTTACAGCAGAAGAAAGTGATAAGGTGTTGTTTAGTTTCATTTGTTTGCTGCATAAGTGTTTAGGACTTCCTGCTCAGTTGAACTCTTCTGATTTCGTCCAAGGAAATAATAAACACCCACGACAATTCATGCGTTTCCTGATCTGCTTATTTCATTCAGGCGTGACGTTTTCTTCGTCCTTGAGTTTCTGTTTTCACGAACATGCAACAAACGACTTTCTTAGATATCCCGAGCACGGCGCGCGGCGGTGACAGCCTTGTGGGGTATTAGAGCAGCTGTATCTGAGGTTGCTTTTTTGGTCGTCAACGCGCAGGACCAATTTCGAGAAAAGCTTCGGCAGTCGTCTGATGATGCTGCTCTTGATTGGGCTTTGGAGTGGGAGGCGAACAACCTGGAGATGGGCGGACTTGCAGATATCAACATGCGGCACGTTTCTCGGAGGCTAAGATCTTTACCGAGCAGGAGTGTGCAGCTGCGGTGGATCAGGTCTTTAAAACGGTTGCTCAATGGATATAGGAGGACTACTGCGGCGGTGGAGCGGCGAATTGGTAGGGCTAAAACGAATGCCAAACGCCGCTTCCTGAACGGCGCTGTGGGGCTTCCGACTGTGGATTGCCTTACAAACCGGAAAGACCTAGTAGATTTTCGCGCTAGTGTAGAAGAAGGCGTTGAGTACTATGCTGCGCGTGATGCACGAGAAAATATGGACTCTGATCAAGAGTCTGCACTTCAGCTACCCGCTAGAGCTGCCCGGTATATGCAACCACGAGACTACGACATCATGACAGCAAAAATGCTGAAGAATCCGGAACTAAAGGAGTTGACGCCTAAGTCGCGGCTGCGAAGCGTGCGTGGTAAAATTAAAGTGGGTGTGAGAGTTGCAGTTACGGATGACGACAGGCGCGTGTATCAAGAGAAGTACGACGCACGATTCGCGGCGGCCGCGGACGATAGCGACACATCAGACGATGAGGCGGAGCGTCCTGCTGCTTCGCAGAAGTCTCTTCTGATTGCAAAGAAGTTCTACGACGAGATTGAAGATCAGGCGATGCAGATGGTGATCGACATGCGAAATAATTTCGAATGGGGCAGTAAAACCCTTTGTGCAAGAACAGACCGGTCGCAGCAGGTTGTCCGTCAAAGCTCAGAGGAGGTAACGCTGTTGGTTCGAAAACCTAATGCGTGTTACCAGGTTGGCCGGGTGATGTATGCAGTGAAGAAACAATTGAAGGAGGGAGATTCGCACCAGGAAGTAGTAGAACAACTGGGCGGCTTACAGTTGCCTATGCCGGAAGTAAATAATGATGTTGGTGAGGAAGTAGTTCCAGACGATGACGTTGCTGCGGACAGCATGAAGGTGAGTGTCCCGGAGGACATAGCAAGCTCCGCGCAGACAATTTTGCGGATAGGAGCAGCTGTTTTCGTAACACATCTGAAATCAGGGAAGCAGGTGTGCTTTCTGGTCACGCATCAGGACATGAGTAACTATCATTTCAAAGCAGTAGAACTGATTAGAGACGCAGGCATTCGGCAGCGGACGCTATACAAGTTCGGCCGTCTAGTTCTTACCACGCAAATCCCGTCGCATGCAAAGGCTTTCGATTTATCGGACGTGGGAGTTCATCTCTGCAGCTTTTGCACGAACATGTCGCGGGGGGTCAGGATTGCGGTGAACCCTCAGCCGCTGCAGGTGCAAGGACAGCGAGCAGAGTCAACGCATGCGAACACAGTGAAAGCAGAGCGGCAGCCAGTGAGCAAACTGGAGAAGCGCCTTCTTGAAGTAGCAAATAATCAGTATGTAGATCCTTTTGCGCCTGTTGTTGATCTTCCTGAAGCAATTGTTACTCGCAAGCAGAAACGACCACCCCAGCAGCACGAGGAGCAGAGGCAGAAGATTCCGGACGAAAAACGTCAGAAGCCTAATAGTCCGAAAATGGGAAAGCAGTCTGAGAAACTGACGGAGGACCAAAGGGAGAAACACGACCGGGAGCGTGCAGAAGCGACGAAGCAGCTCAAGCGCTGCATGCGGGTAGAGGGTTTTACAGTGAAACTCAACGGGAGTGTCACAACCCAGTCGTACTACGGGCGTGCGCATGATCGTTTCGAAGTCAAGTGCACGGACCCAGAAATGAAGAGAGATTTCAAGAAAATGCGGCAGAATAGTAATGTGGACTTTCTTGCGAAATCGACGGAGAACTGTAAGCGTATTGTGGGCTATAGGGAGGAGGAGCAAGATTTTGGTGAGGCGCTGGGAGGATTGTGGGCGTGCCGCACGCGATTTCTGTTGCAGAACTGTAAGAAGTATGTAAAAGATATCAAGTTTAAGAATACTGACACTACATCACTGAAACAAGCATGGCAAAACGTTTCTGCGCCATTTGTGGCGTATGCCAAACAGAAAGCATATGGTGACTCAAGATTATTAGACCGCGTGAAGGAGATGGAATTAATTAAGGACAGCTGCATGAAGCATTTAAAGTTGAAGGACGTGAATGGCTATGATGATGTGGTTCCGCAAGCCTAGAAGAAAATCGTGCTGAGCTGATTTCGAAGACCTGGGTATTTACTTCTGAAGAGCCAGACTTTCCATGTGGATTCTGGCTGGATTCTTCGTGGATTTTTTACCATATTCCTTTGTGTTCGGGATGGATTGAAAGTGGATTTTCGCGGTAGTGCAAAATCCTGTACAATTCCTTTAGAAGTGATTTTTAGCTCAATAATCCGGGCAAAATCCAGGCAGAATCCAAATGGAATCCTGAGGATCTTCCTGTGTCTATTCTGGATCTTGGTCCAAAATCCAAATGAGATCAGCCAGCCTAAACAGGGGACAAGAGCGGGATCATCTGGTCACATTTTCAATTAATTGTTTTTCGTTGAAAGTGAATAAGTCTAGTTCTCATTTTTTCTAATTCGAGTTTCCATCGAGCCAACTGCTTCGTCAAAGCCTTCCGTTAAAATCTCTCTGTAGCTTTGAGAGAGATTTCGTGCAGAAGATATTCGTCTTCAGTCGTTCCGAGTGGTTCTCGCCGCAGGCTCGTTTGCTTTCAAAATGAACGCTGCGCACCATTTGACGGAGGAGCAAGCGGCCAAGCGCCGGAAGCTCCAAAAGTCTTTGACCGAAGACGTCACCGACAAGATCTTGCGCAACCCAGTCTTATCCTGGATCGTGCCAGAGAAGGCGGTATTCATATTTTTTCTAAACCAGTAGAGACCTGGGGAGAAGCTTTTACTTTTTTGCTGTAGAGTTCAAATAGCGTTGTAGTTGCATTGATTTCTTTCTTTCCTCAATCCTTTCCGTCATAAAATCAGTAGAGCTTTCTTCTTGGGTACTTGGTATTTATCCAAGCCAGTTGCTGTCTGTCTTCTCGACGAATCGCTTCTCTTTTCACAGGAGCACCTCAACGTGACGAACGCTCTGAAGCGTGTGGTGAAGGTCCACAAGTACCGTCAGACGACTATTGTAGCCTCGATCGAGGGAATCGCGAATGGCAGCATCCACATGGACGATATGAGCGAGGACGAGAAGACCATTAGGTCCGCTTTTCTCAAGCTCGGAGCATTGATGTTGATGATGCTCGGTGAGAGCGAGACCCGCAAGATGGTGACCTGCGTGGTTCGCTGGAAGGATACGATTGCGGCTTCTACCTGGCAACGCATTCACGTACTTTTCTCTCATTTCTTGACTCTCGTATTGGTTTTAATAGGACGAGTGGACTCCTGGTTGTAGTGTTCTTCAACATTGTGCAACAGTCTCGCGGTCGTATATCCTAAACAAAGGCCAGAGATTATTTTCGTCATATCGCAAAACATAGTCACCATGGAAATCGTTTTCATTTCTTCTTTCATCATTTACCCTGCGCACACTCGTCACGACAGACTTTGCTTCGCCGTAAATGCGACCTCCTGACGTCCGCGCAGCAGGCTTTTGCGACGATTGAGGAACTGCAAAAGGTGGCTAAGAACCACCCCGACCAGCTGAACGAGTGTGAATATCATGCAGTGGTGGCATACTGCAAAGGGGTGGCTCGTGACCGAAAGAGCGAGTCTGTGGAGTTGAGGAACAAAACGCCAGTGATGATCGCAGACTGGTTCAGATTTCTCATGCAATTGCTTATGATAGTACTTGCGTGCTGGAGACCTCGGGCTATCTTTTTGCACAACTAAGTCGGTCAAAGTTGTAGGCTTTTCTCTAGGAGTTCAAAATGCTTAGAGATTGATCAGCTTAAATCAACGCAATCGATTGCAAACACCGACCATCGGGCAGAGTTCTTCACGTTTCTCTGAATTGTCAACACAGGAACGAGAAGCACCAATCGATCTTCGGGGGAACCTTTCCGACTCTTCTGAAATTCAGAGACGAGATCAACAACTGTGTGACCATGTCCATTACGTACGACGACTTGATTGGGCGCTTGCGCCAGCAAGGCAACGGCCCAATTCGCGACAATGCGCCAGAAAACAACTCCGCGTGGTACATCTGGTCGAAAACCGTGAAGGTACTAGCTTTTCTGTCTATTTTTTCGGATGATCTTGAAAATTCAAGTCGTTGCTTCTTTCTTCGCCTCATGTTCTACTCGATTATCACAGATGCTGGAGGATGCGCAGCTTGAAGTTGTGGCGCAGGCTTTCAAACGCGCGCTCTTGTGCTTGTTCAACACCACGAACGACCCGGGCCTTCACCCGGCCACTCTGTCAACCTATGCCGCTAAGCTGAAACCGGTCTACGACAAGCAGCTGATGCGCGACTGCTTCGAGGCGCTGAGTCGCAACGTCACCGACTTGGCTACCTGGGTACTTTCTAGAGCTTACACCTGTTTCGGTAATGTTCGTCTAGAGGGTTTCGAGGTTTGAAGATTTTCTTGCAATTTTAGCAACAGAACCTCAAAAATTGATGCTGTTTGTCACAAGAATCTTGGTAGTTTTCGCCATGGAGATGAGAGAGATACACCTTCAGTCATTTCCTCACTTCTTTGCACATTGCTGTGCTGTAGTTTTCTCCTACCCTTTCTCCAGGTGGACGACGGCATGCGCAACGGTCTCTGTCGTGTTTGCGAGTATTTTACCGATGAAAACGTGGCAATCCCGGTGCAGATTCGTGTCATGCGTACTACCATGGAGAACGTTCGTGTCGCCTATCAGCAGGGAGGTCACACGAGCAAGAAGGGCACGTCCTTCTTGAAGGACCACGCTTCTCAGCCGTTTATCGCGCTAGTGAAGGCGCAGATGCAGTCGGAGGCAGTACGCGAGCACAACGAGACGGTTGACGCGCTTGCCATCTTGGCCGAATACCTCAATGATGAGCATGCGAGTCCCTTCAACGCTCCCGCGGTGACCCATTGGAAGGCCAAATTCAAGGTCACTCAGCCGAAGACCTGCGTCGAACGCATCAACACTCTGGTGCACTTCTTGGAGAAGTTCACAGGCGGCGCACCCATCGGTGATCAAGATCCAGCGAAAGCCTGCGGATACCGCGATGACATCGAGCCACTCCTCAGGGAGCACTCTTTGTTGGACGGACCTTTGAGAGCCTTTCTCAAAGCGTGGGTCACGAGCCGCGACAGAGTTGCTGTCAACGTCTGCGAGAACGCTATCGCTACTGGTATGAAGATACTTAGTCTAATCGTTGTAGTCATAAGTCTCCGGGTACTAGAGTTCCTGTCATGACCAAGCAAGTATCTTCGTGTCTACTACTGGGCTTGCTTATTAACCTCTGGTCGACCATTCTTTTCCAGGTACCAAAGCTGACGCCGAAATCGGATTCGCTGCCCTCTCGGATACTTGGCATGACCTTGCCCCTCAAGTCCAAAACGATTTTGCAACTCGAATCGCCAAGATGGGAGCTGCGCAAGCCCAACAAGGTCCCCCGCAGGTCGCTGCAGCAGACAACAGCTTCTAACGGTGAAGGTTGGCCGTCGAGGTGGTAGCAGAAGAGTGAAACAAAATGAGACTGAGTCTTCGCGCAACAAGTAGCGAAGCGTTCACTTTTCGGGGTGGTTGCTTACAAGTAGATAGAGCTTCAAGCTGCTTTTTCTCGTAAGTATCAACAATTCACACAAATGCTTGACTTCTCGTTGCTGCAGGATGGGGCAGCGTTTGTTATCCCATTCAGAGTCGACTTCATGCTTATGAAATTACTGATTTGAGTCCTCGCTTTCAATAGTCTTCGCGATCTGTTGTAGTTGGGATTTCACTTGTCTGGTCTTGATCAATGAACGAGCAACTATTTTCAACGTGAAAATTCATGCACTGAGGACCGAGCAAGTTTTATATCTATGAGTACGTGAGTTATAATTTCAGTCGCTTAATTTTGTAGCGGTACAGGTAGAGCTTCACCATCAAAGCAAACTAATGCGAGAAGTATGAACCTAAGACCCGCCACACTTGAAGGAATGACTTTTAGTCTATATGAGGAAAAAGCAGCGAAAGAACGACCTGAATTGAAGAAATAAAACCAAGCCCTATATGTTAAATTTCTACACCTTCAGTATTGTTTTGAGTGATTCCCTAGTCCTTGTTTCTGCTGTTGCTATCGTTTCGGTGCATCTTCGAGAGTCCGCTAATGTACAGTCTGATAACATGGTCGCACCGTTTACGCTCATCGTCATGTTTGAAAGGTGGATAGATATAGCAGAAGGGTCATGAATTTTCTACATAATAACGAACTGCTAACAGATGACAGAACTACCTTGGTTGATTATGAAACGGACCTGATTCCCCGGACCTTTGGGCGCTTGTTCTCTTCGAATTCTATTAGATTTCGCGTGATTCTTGTGTCTAATGTTTCTACATGAATATTCTTCATTTATAAAAAATGGTGCTGCTATCTCGAATGAAGTGGTCTGCTCCTTCTTGATAGAGAATGTGAGTTGTCTAATCGTATAAGACTACCTGAGTGATATCGCCTCGGGCTTCGAAAATGAACTAGCGGACTTATCTGATCGACCTCCCTTTCTTCCCTCTTCTTTCGTGAAGTTATCAGAGAATCAGAATCTTTTGAGCTCCTAAACTACCTGGTCTATCTTATGCGCGCTTATCTTCGGCTCTAGTAAAAATGATGATGATAGACTGAGACACTTCAACCAATCCCCTCAAGTCCTGCGATTGTTGCAGCCTGATGAAGACAGGCGATGAATTCCATCCAGAAATCTGTGGCCGCACTAGAAACCTTGGGATGCTTGTTGTCGTTTTCTTCAACATCTGAAGCCACGCAGAAACCTTGCGAATGAAATGAAAAAAATACCCTGAATAGAAATACTCTCCTCTATGTGATGGAAGAGGATAGGTCTCTCTGAGATCATCAAAGCAGGCATGGCTTGCCTCAGACATTCGATCTTCCTCGGCTTCGCGTTGTTGCTCGTTGGATGTGAGCGAGGGGATGAAGGCATGAGGGAACGCCCAAGGGTGTCGCTGGATGTTTGTCTTTGGATCTTGCTGTCGCTTCGCAGTTCGTTCTCGTTGTGAATCTAATGATGAAGCAAACGAGAGAAAAAAAGGCACTCCAGCGGAAAGAAAAAGCGAAGCCCTTGACGTAGATGGGGCTCCTCTGCTCTGTCTTCGGATAATGTTCTTTCCGAGCTGTAAAAAGTATCTCACTATGTCAGGACTTTGGGCATGTCGTACCTTGGTGGTAATTGTTTAATGATAAAAGGAAAAAATAAAAGAAACATGTCGCGCCGATTTCCGCAGGAGAGCGGTGGCATCTTGTGCGCTGCGGTTCCAGTGCTGACAGCGGTGGCCGCCATCCCGCCTCGAAAGGGGTCTCGTTCCTCTTCTTGCAGCAGAGCACTGGTGCGGCGTCGAGAAGGCGCAACTCCACACGGGCAGCACCTACTGCCTCTGTTGCTTGTTGCGATCATGTTGCTGCAGCGTGCCCGGGTGGCGTTCGTCGTCGTGCAAATGACAGCCGCGAACTCCGTCGCGAGAATCGTATGGAGGCAGTGTTCCAGCCGCTTCGGTGGATCGGTCGAGGGATGAGGCGAGTGTGTCGGTGGTTTGGTTTCTTTCCTGAGAGAGTGAGGGTGAGAAGCGAAAAAATTTCTTTGAAAATCCTGCGAATGTCCGCCAGCGGTATCTGTAGCAGGCCGTTCTATCCAACATTCGGCTGCGCGTTGCCATGAGTCACGAATCGCGGCCATTATGTCTTTCGCTCTGTAAAAAAAAAAAAAATTTGTCGAGAGTTGACAAAGTTCCGAGAGAGAATGAACCAAGGCGAGCGCATATCGAGCTGATAGTCATACTGTGAGCCTAGGAACAGAGCATCACTCTTAACTTCGTGGTCGGTCGTGATGTCGCTTAACTTTAAGAAAATATATAATGAGGGACTCAGGTCTCACTGGAGTCACGAGAGCGGCAAGCCCGTACTTCCGCGCAAGCGACGACCGTCAGATACCGGCATCATCGTCGAGTTTCAGCATTCGTGATAGAGATAAACTAGTACACGGCAGCGTCTCACTTCCCACAGCATCAATAGTGTCCAGCAACGTCGTCGCGTCAGACATCGACCAAGCCATCCAAGAAGCTGAAGCTTTGACACTACCGCTGGACAGCACAGAAGAAGAGAAGTGCATCGCGGGGAGTCATAACGTTGAAAAATTAGCCGAAGTTGAATCTCCACAGTTCCACTCTGTGCGTGAAGAAGATGGGATCACTGTAATCAACACCGACGACGACTTCAAAAACGAGCTCAAGGCACTCAAGGCTTCAGTTGGCGGGCTATCAGAATGGCGCCGAACGCTCAGCGAACAGCAATCCAGGGACAAAGATTCCAAGAAGTGCAGGAACTTCTATCATAGGGCCGATGTGAATGCCATCGACTTGCAAACTTTCAAAAAAGATGATCACGCTTTCGATCAGTTTCCACTTCGACCAGTACTAAAGGAGCTTTTAGTAGAATCCGCGTTCACGGATGTGCAGTCATCATTAGCAGAATCGTCGGCGACCACCTACCAGTCGACTCCTAGCACAGTTGTGCCACGAGTTTGCGCGGTGTTGCGTTTCATTCTTTGGCCAATAACTTCCGACGGCGAGGCGCTCTCGTTCTTTACAATTTTCACGAAATCTAGGCTGTGTTCCAACGCGTGCACCAAGGTCGACGAGTTTGACCCGTCGAAGAGAGCGATCTGGTGGAACATCTTTCAGCAATTGCCAGCCGCAGTAGGTGCATTCAACGCCGCCAGAAACATCCCGCATGTGTTGGCAGACAAAGGCCCCAGGCTCAAGCGGCACTGGGTGGGTTTCAAGAAAAACGCTTATCATAACCCGCAATGCCTGAAGTTCACTCCTAAACTCCAAGACATTGCTGATTTTGCTTTCGCAGCACACACGAATTGGAGAAAGGAAGTTGCGATCGCATTGGGAACAAAGCTAGGACCTGGCTTACCTTCTCCGGTGTTAACCGACAAGCGGTTCCTTAGTGCTTCCATCGTCCTTCAGCGTGCGATCGTCCTCATTTTGGGTTTCTTTGGCGTAAGACGAAGCGACGAGCTGAGGCGTCTAAGAGCAAGCAACATCTTCACAGTCAGCAGCTCGATCGTCTACATCTATGTAGAAAGCGCCAAGAGCGACAAGTTTGGTGCGGGTCACAAAGCAGCTACTCCAGTCATTTTCAGCGACATCGTCCGAGCTTGGGTTAAATTCTCGGACAATTTCCATCGTTTTCATCTCAGACAACATTGGTCGTGCACGTCTGCGCCGTTTTTCTACGCGATCGGACTGAACAATATCCCAACCAGAGGCAAACCAACTGGAAAGGATTTCATTAGGCAGCAAATTAGCGCTGCTCTGGGTCATCTCAAGCCAGCCGTTACCGTTGGAGGAATATCTTTACGCAAGGCAGGTTCGCAATTTTTCACCCACTGGGACCAGTCACGCAAACTAGCCTATTTCCAAGGCGGGTGGCGCAGCGCGTGTATGTTGGGCTCTGTTTGCGCTCCTCCTGAAATTGTCGAGATCGCTCAAAAGGTTAACCATGTCAGCGATCTCGCGTTTAGTAAATGCAAGAATTTGCAAGTTCTATCGGAAATTGATGAATATATGTCCAAACCTTCTGTGGTTGACTTGGTGAAGCTGGCCTCTTGGGTCAACAGTGTTGCTTTGTCCCACATTTCGTCCTCGGATATGCGAGCCGCAGCTCCGAAGTTAACCGAAAGCGTCGGATCGTCAACGGCACAGCGGACAAAGCAACTTTTGGTCGTTTCGCGGCAGTCTTGTCGTCCGCCACGTTGTAACCATGGCATCACCCTTCGGGCGCGGTAGCGCGGTTATTTCACCAGTCGAAGCGCAGTTAGGCCTTCTTCCACGTCCGCAGTTCACCATTGGCGACTACACGCGTCGGAGTTTGCCTATCAGACATGACCAGTTACTCGATTACTTAATACTTATCGGCACAAGATGGGCCCCGAGATGGTTGGAGATATTTTGAGGACTGTTGCGCAGTTGACGGCCTCTCGCTCAATGTTGAGGAATGCGTCCGCTGGGGTGTCTCCCCTGACTCTATTGAGCGGTGGTTTGGCGGCCTCAAATTACGCATCGTTAGCGATAATTTTCAGACTTCTCAAACGGAGAACAATTCGTCAACTGTCACTCACCAAGATACCTTTGTCAGCGAAGTGCTCCGTTTATCTGACATGAGGAAAGTTGTTATTTACGATGCCACGAGGGCCCGGCCGAATTCTCGGGTAGGGGTCTTTCCTCACCTGCAGACCTATTGACTGCCCCCGCTTCGGTGCTGTTACAGAAGCAGGGCACCAAGATTAGACTCATCAGTGATTGGAGCGCCTTATCCTGCGCGCTCAGCCAGTCGCTGTTTGCCACACCGGTCGACTACGCGTCTTGGTGGGATCTCTTTGAAGGTTCTGAGACCCGGAGCTTATGTCTCCGGTCTCGATCTGAAGGACTGTTTTCCGCACTGGCTTTTGCACCCGTCGCACAGACGACTGCTCGGCTGAGGTCTACCGTCCGTTCCTTGCAAGGCCGCCCATCTTTTTCCTCCGTTTGGCATCGCGCCGGCGCCCGGCGAAAACGACGCTAATGCGAAGGAGCTCGTCAGAGTCTGTCACTCAGCAGGCATAAAATCGCACATGTTCGACTACGTGGACGACATAAGATCGGTTCTTCCCGGTGCCAAGTGCCTGCCTCAACTCAAGAAGAAACGAGTCGTGAATTAGAGCGACAGTTCTTCCTCCTCACTGCGCTTGGCTGTAAGCTGCATGACAAGCCGGGGAAAAAAGTTGCCGCTGCACAGCGTTTCCCATGGTTGGGCTTCCAGTGTGACACAAAAGCCATGTGTATGAAGATCGAAGAGGGCAGGCGCCTCGACTACATCCAGTTCGTCGATAAATGTTTCTCCGATGTTGAGACTTCTGGCAGGTGTAAAGTCAAAGAATTAGCTTCCGTCAAAGGAAAGCGTGGATCTTGCACTTTCGTGGTCAGCCGTGGCTCGGTATCTGCAATGCAAAACGACATCCAAGAATCTGGAGCGACGAAACAGTGGCAGAAGAGCAGCAAACTCAGCCCATCTATCACACCTTCGCAAGCTGCTCTGGCGGGAGTAGTCTGGTGGCGACGCGTCCTTGCGTCGGATCCTGCTGCTCCCATTTTCTTCAATGGCAAGCGTTGTTTCATGTGGCGGGAAGAAGTCCTAACCTTTGGGGGCCAGTTCCTCCGAACAATTGACCCAAGCATTCTAAATCTAATCGTAGTCCATGGCGACGCGGCGACTTCGATTGGTACTGGTTGGGGAGGCACCGCCAACGGCGCCAGATTCCAGGGTCTTTTCAATGATCGCTGGTCGTCAACTTCGATTAATGCCAAAGAAGCCATAACGCCTGTCATGCTCCTTGAAGCCTTCCTGGCTTCGGGAGGTTCGGCCCGGAGCAAAGTCATCATGTACTACTCTACGTCGACAATCCAGCTGCGAAAAAGGCCTGCAACAGTCAAAGGTTCGCCAACATCTTCGGAAATGGCTGACGCCTCAAACGAGATTCGCACTTTCGTCCTCAAGCATTGTTGCGAGTTAGTTACAGGGAAAACCTTTGGAGCTGAAAACCCCATCGCTGATGCGCTGTCTCGCTTCGAGGACTCTGCTGCAATCATGAGCGACCAGTGCCCGGAGCGTTCTCTTTCTCCTCGGTGTTGGAAAATCGTCGAAAACAAATTCCCGGGTCTTGACACTGTGGCAATGGCATCCGACACGCAACCGGCGCCACCTAGCCTCGACTTCTCCTTTTCAGTCAACAGCATGCCCTTCCACAACACCGGGCACCTTCTTCATCACAAGTCATGGCGGTTCCCGCCAACGTCTCTGGTTTATGCGTCCCTTAAATTCCTGGACAAACTAGTCACCAACGTGCCGGAGGCTGCGCGGCCGCGTTTCGTCATATTAGTTCCCACGCTAAGAGGTCAACTTCTGCCCCTCTGCTCGCAGTTATTTCGCGGACCCACCTTTAAGCGCGGGAGTCTAATCTTCCGCACTCCCTCCAGTGCTGCTGAGTTCGCAGCTGATTCTGAGTACGTGGCTTGCTCATCCGTACCTTCACAAATTTGGTCAGTGTCGTTCTCCCCGCCATTATCCGTTCTTCTCCAAATGGAGCTGCTTCTGCGTAGTGCGAGACTCCGCATTTCCGCTCACTTGCGCGACCGTGTGAAGTTGGGTGACATTGCTCTCGCCCCCGAAGGAGCTATCGTTCACATTTGCTGTTGCACGGCCAAGCGCCCTATGGGAATCGCGAAGGCTATTTTCAAAGTGCACCCGGCCGCCTCCCGCTACCACGAACCACCGAGTTCAAAACCTCGCGGCTCCTTTGAGCACATCGGCAAGATAGTCAACGTGTACGCAATGCACTTCCCTGGGCCGCCACGCGCGTTATCTTCATCTTCATCGCCACCGGGCGACGCATCAACGCGCCTCGAGTTTTTCGGTCGGTCAATGGCATTAATTCCACTTCATCTGGCGCGTGCCGCTATATCTTCTGTGGCAGTTCCGCTGGACATCGGAGCTGGTATGTGCGGTGGCAGGGTCACCGATTACGCCCTCGCTCTCGACGAGTTTGTCGCTTCGTGCAGAAAATTGAATATCACAGTCGTTCTATATCAACTCCCGCACTCTCGCTGACTTTTGACATCTATTGTGCCTATGCTGGCCAAATCGTTCTTCACAACGAATTCCACAATTCATAAGTTCAAAACGATGCCACTACTGCGAGTGGGCTAGACTGGATGTCTGGCTGTACTTGCAAGATAACGCTCCTAGTGTCTCTTTCGTCAGCACCTACTCAATGCTCATCAATTGTTGTTATGCTAGAATAGCGTAGGTGTTCGACATAACCAATTTAGGAGCGTTATCGGTGCTGGCTGTCATCCCAAACATCATGCCAGTACTCCGTATTCAGGGGGCTGCGCATCCTACACGCAGTGCACTCGGGGCGCCGAGTGTAATATTCCATAATCCATATTCTAACTCTGTACTCATTCAAAACAAAACCCACCCTCCACTCCCTCAATATTCCCAACCATCATTCACTCCAGCCCACTCCGCGGTAGTGCTCGTTGGCCAAATCCCAAATCGTTCTTCGCAACGAATTCCACAATTCATAAGTTCTTTCAAAACGATGCCACTACTGCGAGTGGGCTAGACTGGGTGTCTGGCTGTACTTGCAAGATAACGCTCCTAATGTCTCTTTCGTCGGCACCTACTCAATGCTCATCAATCTCAAATGGTATTGGCCGCATAAGCGCAGAGATAGCAACTAGCAAACAAACGCTCGCTTCTCTCCAAAAAGAGCTGGAAAATCTGCAATAGATATTGGCGTAGAGACTCTAATAGCGGTTGTCTTGATCATGCATGTCCAAAATTAGGGGCATTGCTAAAAAAAATCTGATTCCGTCACTCTACCTCTATCATCCTCCTAAGTAGAGTGATCATCTCGATGGTCTCCTATTTTTCCACTCTTACAATCGCTATCTTTCCTGATTCTATGTCGCAACTTGACAGCATCAAATAGAAAATGTTGAGCCGTTTCCATTTCGTCAAGGAGCAAGCAGTATCTCTTGTCAGAAATTCACAATTTTGTATGCAAGTAGTATCTCTTCATTGCCATTTCTTTGATTGTAGTTTACAATGAGCCCAACTTCTCTTGAAGATATTGTCCACCTGGTAAAACGCATTTTTCTAATGAATCTGAAGACCAAACTACAAAAAAAAAAATCTAGACGAGGATAAGTTGATTGAACCGACCCCACGCGAGTTTTCTAATGAATTAGAAGTGTGTCGCCTGTATAAGTACCGGCACACACTATGGTATCATCTACCTTCGAAATTCAATAACTAGCTTCAAAATGAAAATGAAGACTGAAGAAGAGGACGCTGAAAAGGAAAGACTTGAACTTGATGAGCCGGAATTCGCAAGATTATTATTAGACGATGGAAAAATGATTTTTAGATTTTGAACTATTCATCACTCGAAGAGTCATCTTTCTCCTACAAGATTTTCTACAAGAGTGGTGCTTGTTCGAAGATGAACTTCAACTTGTATTAGCAATGCAGATGGGGCTGGGGGTGCTTTGCCTTGCAGAGACTATGCACAGATATAATATATAAGGAAGTCTTGGTAATTGTAATTTAGTTTAGATTTAGAAGTTGTTGAAGTGCCGCAAGAGCAGCCTGCAGCTTTTCAAAAAACATAAAAAAATGAAAAAAATCCATAAAACATAAAAAAGTAAAAAAAAACTGAAAACCAAAAACACGACCACCGTCTCAGAAGCAGAGGCACTCACCGTTGGCAGCGCGAACGAATCCAAAGTGTTGAGGAGGAGAGCTTTAGCAAAGAAGCGTCTAGGTGTTGGTATGCTAGCCAATGTTAGACTCCATGTAATGTAATACTTATGATTTTGATCATCCTGACTAGTACTGCCAGAGATGAAGTGCAACAAGTACAAGTGGTCAACGTCTAAAAGTACGATGATCAGAGTGGTCAATACTGCTACTCTTTGCACTGGGAGCCTGCACGGTGGTGGAGGAAACCGTTCAAAGTCTGTCCAAGAGTCATGCCTCCGCTACCCATTCCGCCATAGATATCGACAAACAACATGACGAAAAACGTCGAAGTAGAAACACAGGCTTCGAAGATGCCGAAGCTGAACAAAGCTAAAGAAATCAGTAGAAAGATCATGACCCCCTTCCGCCGTGATAGATCTCCTCCTGTGGTTTGCTTGTAGTAATGACGATCCTGATTCTTGTTCAACCGATTTAGTATTTCTGAGGCGTTTATTCTTTTGATGGAAGAACTTGCAGAAGATACCCGTTCCACTGTAGCCATAAATGTGTATCATGGTGTGCTGTCAAGACTCTTATGACACAGATTCGTTTTCTCCACAGATTCTGTTTCATAACCGACCCAAGGTCTTCCTTTGTTGATCTCTCCCGCCACGTGACCTACAACAAAGATGAATCAGCATGGCATGAGAAGCTACAGCATTTCGCAATTTCAAACATGTGATGTGAACAATATCGCGGGCAACAGTGCTACAAGTTTCCTCAGAGGCACAAAATAACGCATGCGTTGTGGCTTCAGAAAGGGGTGGAGGTTGCCACTCTTGCGAGGCGAACGAGTAATGGTAAGTGGGTCATGGGCAAGCGGTTAACACTGCAAAGGCCTTTTTTGCACAAATACAAGCGGGAAGTGTGGTTTCCACAAACGAGGAAGCAGGTTTTGTTGTATGCAGCGGCGACAAAGTTGATGATAGAGTGGCAAGCCCGTGAAGAAAATGAAAATGTTCTAGCTGTCTTTGGGATGCTGAAAGGGATGCATGAGCGGTCATTGGTAATGCGCAGGTTTCACGAGGCCGCACACAGCACAGAAGTAATCGACATTAAGAGTGCGCTACCTCCACAGCAGAGGACGACGATGCCGAGACAGCGCATGTATGCGGAACAAGTGCTGGTAGATGATGATGTCTGAACTTGGGCAGATGAACCGAAAGCGAGAACGAAGAGGATGGACACTAGAGCGGCGAAGAAGATAAGGACAAACTTAGATGCACTAAGAAAAATTAAGTCCCCACCTCACATAGTAAGGAAAGCGTTTAAAGAGGTGACTGATGGCATGAAAAAAGAACGACTCGATAATGATGCGTTTACCAAGGTACTAAGTCAAGAAAAAGAGCAAGATGAGAAAAAGGTGGATTAAAAATTAGGGAATTAGTAGCGGGTGACTACTTATGGTGTATCCTATTGAAAGTTGTTGATTGAAAATGGATTCTGATTGTCCCTGAAAGAAAACGATGACGAAGAAAAAGTAGGTGGATGGGCAAGCCGTCTGTAAGAGCAAGCTGTTGGTAAGAAGTAAGACGCAATGGGAGAATGCTGCTTTTGACGGAAGCCAATCAAAGACCCTTTGCAGGAAAGATGGTAAGGGGATAAAATTTGTCGAAAGCGAATTCTTGGCAAGTAAATCCCGGGTGGTGGTAAGTGTGAAATTCCGAAAAATAATCCCCCTCACCTGTCAACAAATGAAAATGAAAGAAAGTGAATGGTGAAAGTATTTTAAGAATTAAAACTTACTGTCAGGAGCCAAGGTTTGAAAAGAGGTGGAAAGTAAGGCTTCAGGACATCCATGTAGTTGAGTCGGTGGGTGTCCAATGAATAGAAGAAGGAAAACTATGGAAAGGGAAGAAGGACTCTGTGTAACCTTAGTTTGGAAGTAGCAAGTGTCCCAGGTACGTATATAGAAAAGATGGAACCTCATTTGACGAAAAACGAGAAGGAGTTATGCTTGGATGAGCGTAGTCATCTATTGGGGTGATCGATGTCTAAAGAGTCTCGAGAGGGGAGCTAATTCATGGTAGGGCTTTGTCTAGGAAGGGAGGTAGGGCTAGCTAATAAGGTGGGTCGGGTGGGTGGCGTGTAGGAACGAGTGAATGTTTAAAAGATCTTCTCATGAAAGGCTAAAAACTAACGGAACAATCTAAGACGTGCAATTTCGTGGTATTCACTAAGTTTAGCGCGCTTCACTACGTCATAACCTAAAGGAATAAGACCAAATCCTTCTGTCAAGAGTCAAAACCCCTTGATGTGTGCGACGCAAAGTTTGGAGAAACAATGAAGAGGATCCAGGGGTGAAGACTGATTCTTCTGAATCAATCCTCCGGAGACCATAAAATCTGAAAAAGTTGGTGTATTTTGTGTGCACGGCTGCGGCCTCTGGCCAAGGTACCGTAATCACAATCTTCCGACCTACACGTGATTCCTTTGGAGTCGCGTCTTGATGTGATGCCTAATGATTGACGGTGTACATTCTCTTCCCCTTAGGGTGGCAACGAGGCGTTACATTGTTTGATGATTGGTTACCGGGGATATCGTCACTCGTCGACTCCCCATGCTCCAACGCCGACTTCTGACGTCAGAAGATATGAAATTGGGGCCTCAGTCTCCGTAGGTGGTTGCAGCTTCAGTAAGGACCTGCTCTGTTACTACAATAAACGGAGTGGTAGTGCTTGCTGTTTCATAACTTTCTCTTCATACTGTTAGCATCCTGGCCTCCGGCCCTGAATTGTTACCAGCATTAGTCTCTACGGGCACTACGGACAGTGTCATCAGGGGCACATACACGACAGTGCTACAAGTACTCAGTACTTCTACTGGCAGTGCCGCGGAATAGAACCAACAAAAACAATGTCTTCGTGCGGCAAATTGTTGTTGAGTGGACGAGTACGAGGAATAGCGAAAGACGAGAGCCCTCGAACTCGACACAGACACTGTACTCGTCGAAAATTGATGGTATCGTCGAAGTTTCAAATTTGCATTGTAGAAATCATTGTCGTTTTGTAAAAAGTTTGGAGGATTTGAGAGCACGAGAACTAAACATGAGGATGGTGCGAGAGATTGTACGAAGAAAAAGAGACTAAAAAGACTTTGGAAACACGCTGGAAAGAAGCAGATCGTATCGTTTCGCTTATTGTCATTGTTGCCTATCATGCATAGTTCGCACCACACATGAACAAATATAGCTCGATGATTCAAGTCATCAATTTTGATTTTCGTATCCATCCTTATTCTCTGCTCTTCATAACTAGTATCATTAACACGACCCACATTATCAATGACTGATTGATGACCAAAATCATGGCGCAACAATGGCAGAAAGGACTATGAAATATATGAGCTTGACATAACGAAGAATTTCCTGAACTACTTTCTCTTCCTCGAAAACTTGTAAGAACAAGCACTGCAACGAGTACAACAGATACAACAAGTACGAAAGAACAACCAGAGAAAATCAATTCAAGTATCACAAGTCGTGACTCAAGTACCACAACCAAGGCGTGCATCAATTTCTAGTACAACGAAACTACTAGTACAGCAGTCAATCTATTCGGACTTGTTCCTAAGGAGTCACACTAAAACAAATCTTGTTGATCATTTCACCTGACTAACCTATACCTACCATCAACATGCCCTCTCAACGTAACTGTGTGAAGAAGCTGCAACAGGCAGTGGTCGTGGGTGCGCTCAGCAGCGGGACCTGCAACTACGCCTATGCGTATCAGAAGATCCGCCAGTCCAAGAAAAACGACAACCAAGGAGGGCCTCCTCATGATCACGATGAAAGCGAGACCACTCGCAAGCCGTGTCGCGGCAACCTGCGTGGAGTTAAGGCTTGTCCTAAAAATGCTGCATTTTATTTGGAGTACTTGTATGTTGCCCCAACAAGAAGGATTGTTCGTCTTATAATACTTACACAACCTACACCTGCTTCAAAGTTCTTTTGTTCATCTTATACTAGTACACCTTCACCTTGGTAAAAAATATACTGTAATTATAATTTCGAGTGCTCATCTGTTGTGCATGATCTATTAATTCTTCCAAGTGTCAGCTTCGAATAGTTACTAGAGTCAGCACGATTATCTAAATATTACTTCCAAATGTTAGACATCGAGTCCAATCCGTGTACTCCTTCCTCAGTCTCAAAGATGACAGACTTCCAAGGTGAATTTGTCTTCTCTAATTGAAGAAAGCCACCTTGCGATGAAGATGATTCCGCTCGCTCTGCGCACACCGACGAAAAAGAGGCCCAAGAAGATGTCTTCGATGAGACTGCGACCGGTCCTACCGCTTTTATGGTGACTGAGACGGGCAGACAAGAGCAGATGCCTAAGGATAAGCCTAAACCTTATGGACAAGTGAAGAGTATCTACTACATGATTAGAAATTTCATGTACATGATTAGTCATTTCAGAGAGTTTAACAAAAACAAACATCATCCCATGCATGCTTAAATCCGCGAGTAACATGTTCGTTAACACCATGCAGGGGAATTTTTCTTCAGCCTGAGCATCAGCCCATACGTAGAACCCACTCTGATTCAGTTCCTCAACGGCAAGTATCGGAAACTACGATCTAATATCACTTTCATTCAACTTGGTAGATATATGTCACAGGAGATCACGAGACAATGTTCATGATGAAGTAGAAGTAAGGGTCGTGTTGTTGTTTGTCCTCAACACGGATGCACCTGAGCATGCGAAGGCGTCGCTCTAATTCAACAAGGGGAAAAGAACCTCGAAGAGAAACAAGGCGACGGCAGGGCCAACGGCAGAGCCAAAGGCAGAGCGAAAGGCAGAGCCAACGGCAGAGCGAAAGGCTTAAGGCGACTTCTATTTACTGGCTCAATGATATACTTTTTTGTTTTAAAAGTAAGGTGTAACGACTTGGTCTTCTTCGGTAGTTCAAAATCATTACTGTACTCCACTCCTCCTGTTAACGCCAAAAAATGTGGTGACGGGGGCACTTCAAAATTAGAAATGCATCCTCCAGGACGTCTATGGCCCTTTTTAACAGGATATGAAGACGATTACTCTAATTCAAACAGGCGCCGGAGCAGGAGGACGAGCTACTTCGGAAAGAAAAGCGACACCTTCTAATCAAACAATTTTAAGCCGACTTCTATTGAACATGCATCCTCGACGGCATCCCTGGGCTCTGTACACTCAGAAAAAGTAGAGGCCAAGGATTCGCTTGAGGATGTGAAGGCGATCGCTCTAATTCCGGTTAGAATTGGAGGTGGCCAAGTTGAAACTGAAACTGAAATACTTATACTTTTAAGACGATTCCTAATCAATATGGATCCTCAGGGACATGCCTGGCTCCTTTTCCACGAGAAAGTTAAAGGTCAAGGATGCACCTGAGGATTCGAAGGCGATCGCTTTAATGCAAGTTGCCGTCGGATGAGCAACAACGGGCAGGACTGAAGAAGCAAATCAAACAGAAGGAGGAAGAGCACGGACGGATATCACTGCCAGAAAAGGACTATTAAGACGACTTATTCTATTTACTATGCATCCTCCACGACATCTCGCTGTGGCCCCTTTCCACCTAGGAAAAATAGGGGCCGAGGATTCACGTGACGAGGATGCGAAGGGGATTGCTCTAAGTAAACCAGGAAATGACTAGAGACGCGATGATAGAGAAGCTTGCTTATGGAGACAATGCGCGCCAATGCATCTTGAAAGTCATCCTTGTGCCCCTTTCACTTAGGAACGAAAGGTAGAGGTCAAGGATGCACCTGGAGAAGATGCGAGGGCGATCGCTCTAAATAGATCTGGAAAAGAGAGAGACCGCACAGCGACGGGAGGCCTTCATGAAAAACACCCAACTTCTAGGTGCTATAAGGGAGCAGATGGGTCTGATGGAGTCCCCCACGGAGAAAGCCCGAGCCACGACCCAAATCAAAAGTCTCGCACCCAGTGTACCTAAGCTAGAAGAGTTGGTAAAGTCTGGCACCGAAATTATGAGCAAACTAGAGGGACTACTTGAGATAACACCAGCAGAGAGAATGTAACAGCAGTTATCTTGATGCATGTCCAAAATAAGGGACATTGCTAAAAAGCATCTAATTTTGTCATTTTACTGTTATCCTCCTTCTAGAATGATCATCTCGATCATGGTCTTCCATTTCTCCACTAGTACAGTCGATACCCTACTTGATTGTATGGCTTCCTCACAACTTAACAGTATCTACCAAATGAAGAATTCTCTGCAGATTTCTCCATTTCAAGAAACAATCACTTTATTTCTTGTCAGAAATTCGCAATTGTGTATGCAAGAAGTATTTCGTTTGTTGATTGTAATAAATTGACTATGAATCCAACTTCTCTTAAAAATATCATCCACCTGGTGAAATACAAATAGACACAATGAATCCGAAGGCTAAACTTCTAGGACAAAGCTTCGCGGATAAGCATGCAAGCTCTTCCCTTTCGGATAAGCATGGCACTACAAAAGAAAAGAAATCTAGACGAGGATGGTTGACTGAACCGACCCCACACCAGTATCCTAATGGAGCAGAAGCGTGTCTCGTGTACAAGTGCCGGAACACACTATCATCTTCTACATTCGAAATTAAATAAGTACCTATTATCAAAATAGAACAAATGAAGGCTGAAGAGGACGTTGAAAAGGAAGCACTTGAACTTGATGAACCGGAATTCGCAAGATTATTACTAGACGATGGAAAAATGATTTAGATTTTTAGATTTTGAACTATTCATCACTCGAAGAGTCATCTTTCTCCTGTCTCTTCTGCAGTGATGTGGTCTTCTCTCTTGGACACCCCGGAAGCGAGTGCAGATTGCCGGTATTTATTCTAGCATGAAAACGGAGGAGTTTAATGAATATGATTCATAGCGTAACTTCATTGTATCTATTTGTACAAGATTTTTCACAACGACGTAACCACTCTGTCATCTTCGAGCAGGCAGGGGATGTACTAGCAATGCAGAGGCGGGAGGTGCTTTGGCTTGCAGAGACTATGCACAGACATGATAAGGAAATCTTGGTAATTGTAATTTAGTTTAAATTTTGAAGTTGAAGTGCCGCAAGAGCAGCCTGCAGCTTTTGAAAAAACATAAAAAAATAAAAAAAATCCATAAAACATAAAAAAATAAAAAAAAAAACTGAAAACCAAAAACACGACCACCGTCTCAGAAGCAGAGACACTCACCGTTGGCAGCGCGAACGAAGCCAAAGTGTTGAGGAGGAGAGCAATAGCAAAGAAGCTTAGGACATCTTCATCCCTAAGACAAGTTTCGTCTCTTCACCATCACAGTCTGTGCACCCTCAAAAGTCGGTGAACATTCGCCAAAGTCGGTCAACATTCATACTACCTAATTTCAAATCTTTCCTAGCAGGTCCTGCACACCCGATTCCCAACGCTTGCTAGCAGATCCTGTACATACAACGTCAAATATGTTGGCTTAGACCATATTCAGATCGAATGAGAGATGCATGATTAATATCAGCCTCAGAGTTGTCTTCCATAGGTACATGAGGGTAGTTGAAGTCCTCTCCATGCTCCTGTGTGTCAATCATCTAGTACTCGTATTGTTTAGGTAGACAACGATGAGTTTCTCTATCTTGTAGGAGTACTCGGAACAAGATATTTGAAACTAGAATTGAGTTGTATTGTCCCGATGGAGGTGTCGCGTGCAGCTGATCAATTTAGTACAGAGAGTACTAGATCTTGTGGGAAGAACTAATAGGCAGGTAACGTTGTTGCACAGAAAGAAAATGAAGTTAACCAGCTTTAGTCAGTCGGGCGTAACCAGTTTTAGCCACTTGGATTCAGGTGTAACCAGTTTCAGCCAATTGGACGCAGGTGCTCAGGAGGTTGCGGACCAAGCTGCGGCAAGTGCGAGAGCTGCCTATTCTGCATATTTACGGCTACTAAACACTCTGCCTCCTTGTGGTCATGTGGTGTGCGATGTTTTTCATGAGTGTGTGTCGGATGTATCAATCCCCTTTATCTTCCCCACCAATTTTTCAGCTACAAAGATAAATGATGTAGTTTACGTAATACGATCGAATGAATGAGTGAAAAATGAGTCCAGTTGTACTCGAAGCTGGAATCCGCGTCCTCTGATTTCTAAGATATCTCCGTGGGGAGGAGAAGCTAAAGCAGGCACACGATGCCCTCATGGCGGCAACGGTAAGAACAGCTCTTGTTATGCCAGCCTGTGGCAATTTTGCAAATCCAATTTCTCGTAGTCACATTCACTTCTAAACAAGAAAATGATCATCAACATCGAGAATATTAACAGCTATACTTTTATTGCTTTTGTTGATCGTCCAATCGCTACAATCTATCTGAATATTATGTCTACGGATAAACCACTTTGATAACCAATTACACCAGTCTGCAGCCACCATGGCGCAAGTATCTGCATCGACAGCCCAGGAAGCAGCGACGGCTGAAGTCGCCATTAAACAAGGCTATCGAAACTACCCACTCGTGATGCCTACGCCTTATCAAAGCAGCTTGGTTGTTGATCCTGTGATACTGGGAGCTTGCTGTGTTGTGATTATGGCAAAGGAGAATCAAGGATGAGAGTGTAACTCTAATATCATTTGAAAGAGAGTGTTAGACGTGATAGACTTGTCACATCGATTCATCCTGCGTGTAGGTGCTATAGAATAAGTAGGGTAGACCTGATGTTCGTGAATCGTGATAGAGATAGATTGAGTAAAAATAATTAGCCTTTACTTCACTCTTTATGCCTTCGTATGCTCTGGCACAATTATTCTCACGCATACACGCTACTTAAACTGACTTTGCTCAGTTCTTGCTTCCGGGACGTACAAATGAAGATAAAATTAGAAGGTAGAATGATAAAAGGTAAATTCATGATACCATACTCTATTCGTAAGCTCTAACATCACCAGCGGGTTCGTGACATCACCAGCTTCAAGAGCAGAAGTATGCGACCGCCACAGAGAGAAGAAGAAGTGGGAGAACAAGAATTCTTATGGAAAATGACACTAATGATCTGATCAAAATTTTCAATGTGATTTCAATCTGATGAGTATACTGAAACTTCAACTTGTATATCTACAGCTAGTGATGAAGAGCACCAGTAGAATGTGAAGCCCTGGCACGACGAGCATCGGGATACTGTAGGAACAACAAGGTTATGAATCTTCTCAGATTCTCTATCCTAGCTGCACTGCATAGCAGAAAAATTATCAACTACACTTAGATGCTACTCACTCTAAGTCAATAAAAGTCATGCGAGCAATGCAGACGAACAGGCAGTGCCTCTATATGTGCCATTGGACCGAAGAGGAGCTGTGAGCCGTTGCCAGGGGACTACAGCAAATTGTAAGTATCCACAAGGACGAAACTTTTGTCTTGCTGAAAATTTTCTATTCTTACCAACAATTAGGGATAACCTCTGTGAATCTGACGAACTTGTAAGAGTTGCAGACGAAGAAGGTGGTGTTGGGTGAAAACTTCAATAGGCTACTGGTGTTTTAGAACTAGAGCATAGTACGAATGAGTATCATGGGTATCGTCCCTATGTGGTGCCAATATTCTCAACAAGCCACTGAGCAGTGTCATCGACCTAAAGTCATCAAAAAGCTCTTGGTGTTCATGTAGCTACAACCTGTTCTTGCCTTCAGCTGATATCCCAAGCTTCAGCTGATATCTTCTGTCGGACATTTTCGGTCTTCTCTAATATTTGCTCGTGGTCTTTGTGCGTCGGTGGATGTACTATCTGTAGGAGAATTGAAAAGTCTTTTGTCATTGATCCATCATGACGAAGCATGGATCAAGCCCTGAAAGGTCAAGTTTTTTGACGTTTTTTTGAAAAGATCAAAGTCGGTCATACTACTCTACTTGAGAGAGCGCATCTGTTTCTGTACCAATGTCTTTTTGTCGAAAGTTTTTCTTTTCGTTTTTTCGCGATCTACTACCACTACCTACAAATTGGCTATGGCTTACCTACTAACAACATGATTCACGACGGATAAGTACGTCCTTCAGGCTGTTTTCCATTTGGATTATCCAGGAATAGAAGACAGCAACCTTCACCCGCCTTATTTACCGAAGTTAAACATTGGGAGGGAATCCGACGTTTGTGTTGTTTTTCGTTCTTGTATTCAATACAAATAGACGGATAAAAATACAAATAAAAAAAACACGACTACTTTGGTCGACCGCAGGATCATCAATTCACTACAGTATATTAACTACCTCTAGCAGTCCATTTTCACGCACTGCGTCATCCAAAATCACACAAGAGCACCAACAAAAATGGCACTCGAACGTGTAGAGTCTAAGAAACGCCAGATTGGTCCGCGAGGCAGTGTGTCTAACACACCAGGGGGTAAAGCGGATTCGGAAGCAAGGGATACGAGCAAAGACCTTCCGCGACAGGATAGCAAGGGATCGATCGCAGGGCAGCGTCGTAATTCTTCGAAGGCAATTGAAGGAGAATTGTCTCGACAGGTACTTCATCTCATGTTCATACAACAACTCTAGATGTCTTACATTAAGGCTCAACTTTCATTGGTCATTGCTTGGGGTTCGTTGGTCTCTGACATCAAAGAGGAGACCCCCTGAGAGAACAGGGAAAAACTAAGAGAAAACAAGGGGAGAGGCATGGGGCATTTGTCTTTCAGAATCAGTGGCCACTGACTGCTGACCTTTGAGAGAAGCCTTATAGCTAGATCTACTGTGGTCGATTGAAGAGATCGGTCATCCATCATGGTCATAAGTCGCGTGAGACATCAATCATCTTCCGTTCTTCTCAACAAAGTCCTCTTGTCTACAAGCGATCCATCATCTTGTTTCAACAACCCTCGAGATCGAATTATGCACGTCTATCACAATTACCTCCTCGTCCGCATCCGCCAGCATGGGCCTCCTTTTCCATCACTGTAGTATCTTTAAAGAAGGAAAATTAGGCGCTTGATATTTCCCTCGTCATCCTAGGATACTAGTACAGCTCTCTTCAAACTCATAATCATTGTATCGTTATAATCAACAAAAAACAGTATTCGAAGGAGCCTCAACGCGTAACTTCGAAATTGCGTCGTTTAGGGTTCAAAGGTCTCGCTGAGTATGAAGAGGGGGAACTGGAGAAGGAGTTCGTGGAACGTGTTAGTAGGGGGGACGACGAGTGGGTCCTCAATTGTCTTGCTGCAGTGTTATGGCCGCTACTGAGTAAATACTTGTTGAGCTTCACAATCATCAAAGAGATGTACTAGCTCAGTAGTTCTTGGAGCTTGTGAGCGATAATACCTATAATCAGAGGACAAGGCAACTGAACGTTCTTCTTCCAATTCTAAACGCAAGAACTTGTACTGCTCTAATTCAAGGAAAAGCCATTATTTTTTCCGAATGGGCGGGTGGAGTGACCAAGACGACAATTCTCTACGCTGCAAAGCAAGGGGATGAGGATGTAGACTTATGATTTTCTTCTACTATAGTATAGTACATCAGAGCCACTATCTACTCCAACTACATTCTACTTCTTGCCTATGTCGTCAGTTTCGATGTTGTGATGCTTCCAATTTTCCTAATACTGTCTTACTGCATCAACTTTCTAGCTCAGCCTCACCTTTCTTGCCTCCAATTCCACACTTTTCTCCTCTAGACTTCTACAGGATCTAGTACTCGTCCCACCCAACATACTCGAAAACACCTCAACAGCGCCTTCTCTCACTCTCTTCCCCTTTCCAGATGTGCAAAATCCTTCTTGCCTATGGTGGCAAGGACCTCTTAAAAGTGAAGGATCTGAAGAACCGAGATGGGGAGTATTTCGCTAGGCTCCATGGCATCGATCTATTAGATTTGATGCACAGCTCGAGCCGTATCGATTGCTGGAACCACAAGGCATTGCGACAAATCTCAAAGGAACGAAAAGATTATGACTTAGATTAATTTTTAGTTTTGATTACTTAGTCGTACTTGTTGTACTCAGAAGTCGTGCACCTGGCATCCTTGGCGCGATCGAGACCCTTGAACTTGAAAGGACCTACCATCACCAATCCAACAACGTGTTGTTATAATTTACAACTCCTCCGGACACACCTTGTGTGAGGACGAGGCAAAGGCATCCGATCCTATCCTACCCTACCCTACCCTGCATACACCTTCTCCTGCAAATTTTTTAATGTTGAAACATAGGAACAACTACACCCGCTTCTGTCTCCACATGCTCTAACTTCCCATGCCACCTGGTCAAAGCTATTTCCACCTTTTTTCCACCTTTTTTGGTTCTCTAAGGCTCCTATTTTTCTCGATTTCTTCCTTTTGCGTTTCCTCTACTTCTACCTTTTTTATCGATAATTCTACCTTTTTTGTGGAAACCCTTATTTTCCCACCCCTTCTAGTACCGGCACCCTCCCAGTTCTGGCCCATGCATATCACATATGTTGTTGTATATCGCATGCTCTAATTTCCCATGCCACCTGGTCAAAGCTATTTGCCGAAATCGCCTACTAGCACACGCACGGAGTTTGAGATGGCGCTGACAGATGCGAGTTTGCATGGTGGGAGCAGCGTCGTGTCCAGAAAGGGTGGAGCTTGAAGAGGAGAGGGCGGCGCGTGAAGAGATGAAAGGATGAAAATACAAATGAAACTGAAAGGATGAGTTGTTTATTGCACCCTTGTACAACTATGGTACGAATGGTAAGGATAAGGTGCGAGGACATGACCAGGAGGTCTACAAAGATTAGGTAACTACGCTAGTGGTAAAAAAGAGGTAGATGTTGATCATGATGAAGATATATTGTATTATTAATGTCTCTTCTTGTTACATAAAAAATTAGATCAAGCAGTAAAAAAAGTCTTTTTACAGTTGTAGGAAAGGCGTCATCTTCGAGGAACACGTCGTGGTAGAGAATAGCTAGCAAAAATTTCATCTTCCCTCGTCGTGTTTGTGACATAATGTAAAGTTACATTTACCTGCTTGCTACCTCGTCCACCTCGTATTCACGCAGCTGTTTATTACATATTTCCATATAAATTTGAATTGTGACGACCTAGGGTCCACAACCACATGGATGAAGTCGATAGTTGATCCTTCTAAAAACCTGTATACTTAGTTTGGACTCGCTTGGAGTTGTCTAGTATTAGTCATCTTTCATTGCATTTTTCTGGGAAGCAAATTAAAATGTTGATATAAGATTTGAAACCTGTATAGAAATTTGGACTTTGAAACTGGGCCTGATTCATGAAGAGCGCTCTTGGGTCTAATTGATGAAAGCAGTCGATAAGTTGTGATAGCTTGCTTCATAACATAATGTTTCTGTTGTTTTTCTAATGAAAATGAATCATACTGTATTGTTGTAACTTCGTAATATTTGGCTTATTTGCATTTGGTTGATAATTTCGGATCACACATGAAACACTTGACACTTATGCACTTCTAGAAGGGAAAAATCAAAAAAAATGAAGTAAGTAAGGCCCGCTTGCAAATCGACGAATCTAGAGAATAATTGCTGCTCTTTAGTAGAGAACGAAGGTTGTTTTGTTCGAGGTTGTTTTGTTCGTTTGCTTGTTCGTTTCGGCAGGGGACGTCCTATTACTGATATGGAAGCAGTCGACCTACTACTTACACGGAAATTTTTTACTGAAAAGGGATTCGGGGACATTGAGACCGTCGGTTATGTGAAGAAAGCACGAAGACAGATTTTTGTCTTCGTAAAAGAAAAATAGAGGTGATGATTCCTGGCATCGAAAAGTGGCGAAGGGGTCCTCGAAAACTGCACCTTTCTGATTCGCTCCAGAGTTTTCTCTTCAAACACGAAACAAAGGGAAGATGCTATATTTATCTTGGAAATATTAACCTACCGTGTCTACCTCAGACGCCGATCTTCAAAGAAAAAATATGTCCACGGCCTCCACAGGTGAGGATACGACAGCAGCTGACACGACTTCTGTCGACGTTGAGGTGTGTCACCAGAGTTGTCCACTAGATGAGCGCGACACCTCTGCAACCACCTCAGGAGGTACCGAAAGCGACACCTCATCGAATGAGGAGACGAGGACTCCTGAAGAGGAAGGCTCTGATGGCTCTCGTCGTGGACTAGCTACAACAAGAACAACAAGCAGTAGTTCCACTTCTAGTCCACCAAGAACGCCTCCAGAAGGTTCTCAGTCTCACGAACAAAAAAATGATGCGAGGACTTCTACTACAAGAAGTACAACCTCCGCTACAACTACGTCAACCTCGTCAAGCTCAACAGGAAACGCGTCTAGCTCTGCTTTTAAGGGTAAAGTAAAGGTGCTTTTGTTCCCGCTTTTTATGCCTTTCCTAAGCGAGAAAGGCAGAAAAAGCGGGGTCCACGAGCACCAAGACCCTACCTCTAATTCTTCTTCCTCGTCCATATCAAGAACAGCAACAGCAAGATCTTCTTCTTCCACGAGAATAAGCAGTAGATCGTCCATCCCGACTACTACGAAGAAGTTACTACGAGTTCCTACTGCAGATAAACTCGTTTTTAAGAATCCTGATGGATCGCTGGCAGCCGGATTTGGACCCGATTATCGGGAGTCGGAAGGCCCGCCAAGCCCGAAATTTCTACCGAGTTGGCTAGACGACAGTGTGGCGGATGAGCTAGAGTTAAGGTTGTTATTTTTTAGAACTGACATCACCATGGAATTTCCAAGACTACACGAGCAGGAGCACAGTCGTATGACGATGATGACGATGTTGACTAGTTCTTGTTATGGTCATAGTACGTAAACCCTGGACTCAGTAGTTCCATACCTGCTTCTAAACCGCGGCATCTACAACCGGCATGAACGCATTTTGACGACGTTTCTCGTAGTCCAATTCCTAACGGAAAGCGTTTTCAATGGCCTTTATCTATACTTAAGGCAAGATGAACACATCACTTGTAGTAGTTTCATTTAGGACAGGCACTGGAAGTAGGAAATCTCCAGAGAGTAATCCATATGAACATGAAGATAGATGAAGTACACATTTTCTTGGACCAAGACTTACTACGATGTGCATGTTGACTAAAACTAGATGAAGATATGACAGTCAGTGCCACTAGTTGATAATTGGTCATGTTGGCGCTCAAAAAGATGACGGAAATGACTACACAACTACAACTAGACCTACCACGTCATCTCTAATCTACTATTCTGCAGCGCTGATTGACGAAATGGCTTTAGTTTATCCGCATCTGGGCAGCCAGAATATTACACGAGTTTTTTGGGCAGCGGTCGCCATTGAAGCAGCTTATGAAACGGCATACTACGCGTATTATAATTTGATACTTTTTGGAAGATTTTCTTTCTGTAGTTGTTCTTGTTGATGTGCAGCAGTCGTAGATGACGAGCCATGAAGAGGTTCGTTCGCTGTATTAGTAGAGAACAAATGTAAATATGGTCATGTCCCATTCATGACTTGTTTCGTCAACTACCGTCGCTATTCAGCTCAACGCAATTCATTTGAGGCCACCTCCAACATCACCCTCTTCCTCAATTTGTGATCAATCACCACCAACAATTTAGACAATCCACGCCAACAATACCACAGTTGCGGTTTCCTTGCTCTGTGGCGAAACGGAGCACGCCAGTTCAAGTGCTTTGCGGACGTCGCTTTCTACGGTTGTATCCTGCAAGTCCTCTTTGCGTTTGTGAACAAGTTTAATCTAGTTATGCTCTTGTTTCGCGCCATGGCTTACCTCTATGGTCGTTTCTTCCGCAATTTCCTCAAGTCGGTGGCAATCGTGCAAAGAACTGGGCAGCAGCAACAGGAAATCATATGAGGAGGAGTTCGTGGAGGTCGTGTTTATGTATAGTCCCCGTTAATGTTGAGAACCGGTGGACAGGAGTAGCTGCACTAGGGGAGAACAATAGCAGAGGATGATATAGGAGCGTCCACGAGACCTCCGGACGAACAGCGTAACGCAACCTATTGCGGTGGGTCTGAGAAGAAAACTTCGTCCTGTCTAGGATCTTCCTATCTTGATCTAGGAAGTCATCTTCAGAAAAATTCCTCGTTTATTTCTGCTATACCTTAATATGCTTATCAATGAAAATGATAGAAGAGGCACCATGCGCATGTCGTTTGCATCACTTCTCGTAGTCTTGTTTGTCAATCGCAAAGGTGAAAAATATTCCGCAAAATCCGATCAGAACTTGTTTTCCAAAAAAGCAATTTAAGTAACTCAATTGCAACAATGAAGTCGAAAATGATGCCCGTCTCATTGTTGTCGTGGACCATGCAAAAAAAAAGATTCCAAGTAAAGTTCACCATTTCGACTTGCGTGTTGACAATCTTCTCTGTGATTCTGCTATGCTGGTGCTTATTTCCTCGACAACTACTGGTGCCTGGTGATCAACTACATCAATCTGTGACCGTTATATTCAGACGAGAACTGTGGCTGAAAAACGATTATCTTCAACGAGAACGGGACGACTGATGAACCGGGTTCATGCTTACAAATCAAGATCATCCGGAGACAACTTGTGCTTGTAGTGGGGTTGTGCCCTCTTTGTAGAAGGAGAAGTCCTCATTTATCAAGTTGGAAGAACGGAAAAAATTAGTCTAAACGTCCTTCATGGATGATCCAGTTCCCCTGTTCTGCAAATGTTAAAAGAGTAAGAAGACGATGGCCCCAGTGGTCGCGTGAGCATGAAGATCATCAGCGTGATAATGATGGAGATCATTGCAGTACCATGGTAATTACGGTCACTGAAATTCTACGCCTATCATGATGTGGATCCTTATCCAGTTACACGTGAGAAAGAAGGTCCACACATTTGGCAAACTTGCAACCGCATGAGAATCATGCAAGAAAACCCTCACGATTTGCGCAACTGCAAAGATATATAAAACGCATCACAGTAAGAGCGTAAGCGTGCAGTCTTTTTGTCGCAAGCGATCGGCTTTGCACATATTTGAACTCGAAAACAAACCAACTACAGAAAAAGCTACATTTTCAACTTCAACAATTTGAAACCGATCATCGATCTTTCACGTCTACACACAAACCGCTAGTACGTCGTACATCAACAAATTACTCACACCTACAAAAAGTGAAGAAGATTGACTTTTGATACAACAAACAAGGATGAGGTCTTATTTTGGGTGTATGCTTCTTGGCATGTCGGGTTGGACCGGCATGCCACATCATGTTGTGACGGCAGCTTCGCCTTCTCACGGAGGGGGAGGCCTTCGTTCTCGCTTCACCGGTCGAGGTCCACAAGGCGACCCCGTTCCGATGGACACAGCAACTGGCTCACCACCAGACACAAGCAATACAAGCCGAGCAACTGCAGGAAATGATCCCTCTTCACGAGGAGACATGGCTCCTGCACAAATGCAGATGGACGAGTTCTTGCCGTGTGCACGCGCTCCGCAACAACAGAACATGCATGGTGTTCGCTTTCTATCCAAAGAACGTAGCCTTAAGGCAACCACTACCAAGAAAGCATCCCTGTCCCTTCAGATCATGATCCTCGGCCTTTTCTCCAAGGGGAACAAAAGCGCCACAGGGAGATGTTCTCAGGGATGCGATCGAACGCGGTAGCTCTAAACACACACGGGAGAAGGCAGCTGGGATTGCCACTGGTCCAGAGTCCTGCTTTAGGCCGTTCGGAACAGAAGAAGGAACACAGTGCAGCGGGGTGCTTAATGGCTGCGGATTTTGTTGTGAAGATGGTTGCGTGAGCGCTTTATCGCTATTGGAAAGCGTCATCAAAGAATTTAATATGGCTCGATAGATTGATATACATATCCCAGTTCGTTGCATGTTGATAACCCCGAGTCTCATACATAAGTACTTAAGTAGATCATACGGAGTATGGTGGAGTAAATAATAGACGCAAGGCATTTTTGAACACTCACTCCATGGCTTGCACCCTACGTACAAGAACGTTGATAATTCCGCTCTTGCTACAACTACAAAAATCTACAGAGAAAGAGAAGGCACCAGACTCCGTTTGTCTAACTTTTGTTGCAGTAACATTTCGAAATGGTATGACCCAGAGGGCTATGCCACTCTAACTACATTTTTTCGGAAGGGGATGACCCAGAGGGCGATGCCGAGCAGGGTCGTGTAGCCGCGGCTGCAGCAGCACGTCCAGATGAAAACGAACTTCGTGAGCTCGGCGCCTACTTCATGGGCTGGATAAAGGACGACTTGATCGCGCAGTATTACAACGATCCGGCTCTCTGTCGAGCACCTCATGTTACGGCGAGGACCACACGGAAAAGATAAAGTTCTATCTTGTATAATATTAGTTGCACTGCCAAAGATATGCCTTCTTCCACGACCTGCTGATATTGAATATCGAACAATGGGCGGAAATATTATCAGTAGGATATTAATGCAAGCCTGGTGGCCCAAGTTTATCACTAGTAGTAGTACCTCTTCCAACTACCTTCCAAACTAACTTGAATTTTTATTACGCACGTAGAAACCAGTAGATTTCCCTGTAGAGGATATTCCTCCTCTAATAATAAGGAACTACAACGGTGGAAGAACGAGAAGTATTTTGGGAACGATGTCCGAGAGATGCTACCGTTTATGACGGCAGAGGCCATCCAGCGTCGTCACGCATGTGTTGGGTGTGGACAGGCTCTTTGCGCTGCTGAGTTAAGAACAAAGGAACTGCAATTGTTAGTAGAGTAAGTAGAAAAAGCTAGGGAAATCTTAGGCAGATGGTCGAATATTAGATTCACGTAATCAAGTAGATAAAGTTGACGGAAAAAATGTTTGTACTAAGATAGATCGAGCATGAAAATGACGAGCATTAAGATCTTGATCTAAGAAAAGCGTGTTGCAGTGTTAGTACAAGGTGCTGGGCTCAGTCTGTTTGCGCGGTGGCGGTAGTACAGGAGTTGACGCGGCAGATGCCTTTTGCGACAACTGACCGTAAATTGACTGACTGTGAAACACTATCCATTAAGGGTCGGCTAAAGGTGCTCCTGTTGCCGTTTGTGTTGCCTCTCCTAAGAGAGAAAGGCAGAACAGACAAACGGGAAACAGAAACACCAAAGCCATACCGCTAAGCTCATCGCGTGCATGGGTATCGCTACGGTTTGTTGCAGCTGTAGCCATAAGCTTGGCGAATGGTGCCACTGTTCTATGTGGAAACATCCTGGCGAGGTTGGGGCCGACAAGCCGCACCAACTTGACGATTGTCATCTCGGCAACTGCGCAGGCTTTTTTAAGAGTTGAAACATTTACATTTCATTTCTACATTCTGTTCATCTTCATTTCTACATCTTATTCATTAATAATTCATCACCTCCTACAACATGCTCTTCTCCATTAAAATTGCTATCTAAAAATGAAATGCTTCTGCCTTTAATTTCTGTTGCGATGCGATGAGAAACTCCTGTTGGTCGGGATTGAGCGCGAAAAAAACGATGTCCATGGGTGAGATCGATCAAGCGTGGGTGGTGGACAACTATGCCAAGCTACACCGTGAAAGTGCCACAGACCCGAGTGTCAAACTTAAAGATGGGAGATTAACTTTCCACGGTCTGCAAGAAGTAGTGCCAAAGGGAGTCAAACTACCAGATTTGTTTGCTGGGCGCGGGAGTGATAGCATTAAGGGTTACTACATTTTTGCATCCTGCTTAGCACTTTGATCTTCCCTGGTTCTTTTAATTTTTCTAAGTACTTGTGTTGAAAAAGTAGCTGCAGTGAAGGATAATGATTGGCTCTTTTTCTACTTTGAAAAAGTAGCCTTATCCAAGGAAGATGATGATCCCAGAGATGCCATCTCCAACGCGGTACAACTGCATCTAATTATAGTAGCACCAGTGGTTCTACTATTCTGCCTTGTTTGGTGTCGTGGCTGGGGGCTCCGAGTCTTGCGCAGGTAGAGGAGTTCCAAGAAGCTGCAAGACGGGAAATGCTCGAGGAATTGGACAAAAAAAGGAGATTATCAAAATTATGGATGGCTTTGGAAATCTAGAAACATCAACATCAAGTAATTCTAATATTTCTGAAAATTGAAATTATATCCACAATATCGTCGCGAAATTATATCCACATATCCTAATTCACCTCTTTCTAATACCACCTTCTGCTATGAGGCTCCCTGGAGGACTGCCACCATAAGTGCAAGGACCAGAGCCGTTCTCTTAGCTGCTTCGTGGCGTGTTCGGACTTCTCACGATGATTCGTCATCATCTTGTTCAGGAAGAAGTATATGCGCTCTCCGATTGTTTTCCTAATATGGTCGGACTCTAAGGAAACGTCGGCCCCGAGGGGGGGTCTTCAAGAAGATGACACTCGATGAAAGACGATAACTTCTTCTAGTATGTTGGCGCTGTTTTCGTATGTTCTGGGATCTGGAACAAGAACAAGTAGAAAGTAGGCTTCTACAACTAGGAGCTCTATGTTTACTGAAGTAATAACTATGGAACGCCGTGGGTGAAGAAGATAGCGATAGTGTTTATATATATCTTCTTGATCACTGGGGAAGAAGAAGAACTAGGTGGAGAAGGACGCCTAGCGGTCGACGAAGAAGAAGATGCTCGACTGCGAGAAAAAGACGAAGGAGAACGTCTAGAGGCCGTCGGGGGAGAAGGCTGACGCCTGGAAGAAGAGCAACAGGATGAAAGTGCCCCGGCACACTTCAACTACGCGGGTAGTTACGCTAGCAGCTTGCAACCAGAAGCACAGCAAGAAAATGGAGAACAATCCGCATCCTGAAAGTAAGAACAAAACGCACCTGCATCCTTATGGTGATCCAGATTCACAAGCACAGCGGCGCTTCTCTTTATATTCAAAAGCACCACAGGAAAACGCTGCATTAATGGAGTACGAAAGTGCGAAGGGTTTGGAATCTTATGGGCCTGCGACGAGTATGAAAGTCAAACGCCTGCAATCAAAGGGCGACAAGCTGCAACAAGGTAAGAACAACGAAGCAGCACGAGAAGGAAAGGATGGCGGGGGAATGCCATGAAGAAACAACGAAGACGGAGAAGGGCTAGCTAAGTGTCTAATAGTTATATGTAAGCTCTCTGATCACGAGGGACCCTCGGGTGAAGTGGTCAGAGCTGAAGAAGACAAGGCAAAAGAAGAAAGAGATCATCAGGGACCCTCGGGTGACGTGATTGCTAAAACGGACACACGATATGCATTCTCGAACGAACTTCAGGCCAAAAGTAAAGGGCCCAGACCTGCTGGCCACAAAGTGAGGGCGGTGGTGGATAGTGGTGCGAGTCGCCACGTGCTGGAATGTCAAGAATTCGAGGCTTCCCGCGGGAAGTGTTTTGGGGTTACAGAGTGGCACACGCCGCCCGGCTCTAAGAATGTGCTTGGTGAGTGTCAAGACACTAGTGGGAGACGGTGCGAGGGCTGTCGCTGCTGGTAGATGGGCCGGGTATAGAGAAGAGGGCCCCTCAAGAAAAGTGGCGGCTGTGGAGTAATAGATACCGGGACAAAGTTGCCAACGGTCCCTATACATAGAGTTGCAGCAGGCTCCGCACTCTGTTGGTGATTACTGGCAGGGTGATAATGTGGGAGAGCTGGCCTGCATGGAAGTGGAGGGACATGATGAAGAGGCAGCACGGGCGCGGGAGGATGTGCCTGCACCTGACCGATTAGGACTTCAGAGGCGGCGCGGTCATTTCCACATCCATGGCGGAAAGCGGCCGCCATGATATCCAGGGTGTGTTCCTAGTGAGTCCAGACAGTGGCGCAGCCAAAGAGCGGCCAGAACATCGCAGGCCCACAGCTTTCAAGGGTCCACAGTGGATTTCTGCTGGTCTGTATCCACCTGGTCTATGTGGTGAGGCTTGGCTTTGTGGTGCTATTGATGAGTGCGCAACTTGTTCGGCCCCACCTACTCTATGGGGGGTTTTGCTTGTTGGATCGTGCTCGGATTTTGGAGCGAAATTTTTTTGGTGTTTGGGGGAAAATTTCGGGGATGGTGCCGCCTTGTTATAGTGGGTCTTGATAGGGTTCACCGGTTGGCGGTGTGGCGGGTTGCTAGCTGCGCTAGGAGTGTGGGCTTGGTTTGTCTTCGCCGTGGTCTCACGCTTTAGCCCTCTTGGAGGAGCGTGGAGGGCCTTGCGTGTCGTGATGGTAGTCCCCTCGCTTCGCGTGCGGGACGGGGTGGCGTGCGAGCTCGTCTGCTTCTGGTACAGACGGGGAAGCCTGGATGGATTTTGGTTGGATCGAGGACGATGGATTTTGGGCGGGTTTTGGTTGTCTCCTCCGTGTCACTGGGATGGATTTTGCCAGGGTATGGGAAATCGTGTACATTTTCAGCGTTTCAGCGTTTTCGCCTCAAAATCCAGGCAAAATCCACCCAAAATCCATCTGCTTCCCCGGCCTCCTTCGCTGGTTCGTGTCTGGAAGTTGGTCAGGAATCCAGGCGGGCTCCAGCGAGTGAGGGAGGCCGTCGGCGGTGGGTTTGCTGGTTGGTTCGACGCAGGGCTGTGTCTTGTTAATCGTCGCGGCGACCACGGGGGAAACAGGGAGGCCCGCCGAAGTCTTTTACAGTATCGAAGGTGGTGGCTGTGGCTGCGGCTTCTTGTTCGGTCGGCTGATCGGTCGCGCCGCTTGATCGGTGTGGCCGGCTGCGTACCCCGGTCGCAAACGTCGGCGGCCAAAAAATTTCGCGCGAAAATCCTTCGGGAATCCGCAAGGGGTGCCTCTGCCTGTAGCGAGCCGCTCTACCCAAAACCTGCCAGATAGATTGGCTCAGTGGGCAAGTTTGGCTCCGCTCTGGGGGGTCTGGTCTCTGGTTCGAATCCTGGAAGGGACTCGACTGGCAGCCCAGGGGAGAAAAGCGTGGGGACTGCGCTGCGCCAGGCAGTGCGGGGAGATGAGAACCTGGGGAGCCCTCGGAGCAGCTGGCGGCACCGCGCCCACGCGGTCCAAAACCTTGGCCATAACTGGGCTGACGGCGTGCGTTTTCCGAGTAGCTGGGCCGGGTGATGCGTAAACACAGGGGGCGCCACCTGGGCAAATTCGCAAGGCCTCAGGGCCAGGGGCTGGCGGCGTGGTGCTCGGAGGGGAACCTTCCGCACCCGAAGCGCCAGGCGGTGAGGCCGGGGCCGGGCGACCGCGCTCCCCTGCTTATTATGGTGCCTCTTTCTTGACGAGCAATTATTGCTTGGTGATGTGTCCCCGTGGATCCTCAACAAGAACCTCGACGAAACGCGTCGGTTTATCCTTTAAATCAAGACCATCTGGAGACAACTTGTGCTGCCTGTGCTGTGGAGGTTGTTCCTCTGTAGAAGAAGACATCCTCATTTATCCAGTGCTAGCATTTCGTATCAGGAGAACGATAAGAATTTGTCTAAAATCATCCTTCCTGGCCTTCACATGAAACTTTTCACATGAGACAACGCAACAACTACAGAAAAAACTAGAAATACATTTTCAACTTCAACTACTTGAAACCGAACGAAGATTTAACGTGTAGAAGTAAGCACAGCGTCTTACGTACATTTGTAGTTGTTTCACAAACTGGTCAAGACTAGATAGCTATTGAAGTAGATTGCCATTGACTTTTGATAGAACAACCAAAAAATTGATAGACGTCAAAAAAAATGAGGTCTTTTTTTGGGTCGTCTGTAGTTCTTCTTGGCATGTCGGCTTGGACCGGCATGCAACATCATGTTGTGATAGCAGCATCGCATGCAGCTTCGGCTTCTTCGTCGAATCATCTTCGTCGTCGCGGTGGTCAGCAACCAGGAGCAGAGCAACAAGAGGCAACTCCAACAAATCCGATGGACACGAGTGGCTCCACGACTCGGACTCCGCCAGTTTTGACAAGGGGCGCCACGAATTCAACAGGGGCTCCCGAACAACAGCGGATGACGGAGGAGCACGAGCTGGCATTACTCCCTGGGCAACAACAAGATGAACAGTACTATGGCTCTCAAGTATAGTAATTGCGGTAATTTCTTTTTTCTTCAAATTAAGTCTGAACATGCGTCGATCCTCTGATCTCCTGCGTTCCTTTAGAAAATTCTAATCCTTCGAGTATCTTCATTCTGGAAGGAATGAGAGATAAGCGATGCTCATTCCTTGCCTAATGGACTATTATAGTAGATACAAATTATACATAGGGTAGTTTAGGTAAGTCAGTGAAATAAGTACAAGTAAGTCAGTGAAAATAGAGAAGTAACAGTATTACGTAAATGAATCGGCAAAATAAAAGTGGAAACCGAAGATGGCTCATGTTCTAACGCGATATGGGAGAACCGACTGGAGACGTCGGAACGAGGGATGAAGAAGAATCCCAGGCGAAGACAAGACCAAGCGCCCCTTTTTTAGGGAAAGAGCGTAGCAAGGAAGAAAAGGAAGCCGGAATTGCCACTTATCCAGAGAGTTTTGTTCGTGCATGTGGCACAGAAGAAGGAACAAGTTGTAACCCGCTCTGCACTGGCGTCGGATCTTTCTGTGAAGGTGGGTGCGTGGCTCTCCTGGCCGCTCAGGAAGGCTGTCGGGTGTGCTGCGAGCTCTTTGGGGGATGGCTCGACCCATCTTCAACGGCAGCAAACCCAAAGGAGATGCCTCGACTGGGTCCCTTTTGCATGGACCAGATTGCCAATTGGAAAGCCTTGTATAACAGTGCTGCTATTAAGGCTTTCTTCCCAAATAATTTTAATTGCTCTTATTTGTATGGGGATGAAGGTCTATGTCTAATGCTATCGAATGGGGATTGAATAAATCGAATGGGGATGAAGGTCTAAATGTCTAATGCGGTGCTTTGTAAGTAGGTTTTAACAAGGGGAAAAGGAAATACAAACATGGTCAAGAAAGATGCGAGATGTCTTCACTTACTTGGGGATGAAGGTCTATGTCTCTGTCTGTCATCCAATGGCCAATGGGACACGACAGATAGCATTAGACAAAGACCTTCATCCCCATTCGACTTATTTGGGGATGAAGGCCAAATCGAATGGGGATGAAGGTCTATGTCTAATGCTATCTGTCGTGCACCTCATGACGAAATGGAACGCTGGAAGAAGGAGAAGTTTTTTGGAAACGACGTTCAAAAAATGCTTCCATTCATGACATCAGAGGCAATTCAGCGTCGTCATACGTGTGCCGCGTGCGCACAAGCTTCTTTTAAGGGTAGTAGGCAATCACTATCTCATAAGAAATGATATGGACAACTGACTCTCCTGAGTGAGTTCCCCTCTTGAGGAGCGAGAGGGACGAACTTAATACGGGGAACAACTTCTACGGAGGTTCCCTTAATACGGGGAGGCACTCTATTCAAGTTCAAGCACGGATAGTGATTGACCGTGGCTTTAATTCGTGCGCAGCTGAGACGTGTGCTTGTGCTGGAGCACAGTGCGGCACCAGTTGGTTGTGCTCGACTTTGCTAGGGCATTACATATCGAACGAGATCACAGAAGCTTGTGGCAAACAGCTATTTCTTGTTGGCTGCTGCGGAGAATTGGTAACGTCGTGCTTATTTTCTCCTCCGTGCGTACTCGCTCTTGGTGTAACATATTGCCGCGCCATTTGCTGTCCACCACACTTATGAAGAACATCTTCCTATAATTATGAACTGCTAACAAACTAATGGTTGTTCCTTATGAAGAACATCTTCCTATCATGTCAAGGTCGTGTCCCTCCTCTACTTGATCATCAGAAACATAGTACATGATCGCCATCGTCTTGAAAGCGATTGTGATCAAACAAAAGTTTGAAGGTGAGACCGTTCTAATAAAGGAAAATTGGGCTACGTCCCGTCTTGAACCGGAGTTCTCCATGTGGAAAGAGGAGATGCCTGGAAGACCGCACCAAATCCACGATGGTTACGGCTCAGTGACCGCCACCTGCTGCGATCACGGGCTGGATTGTCTTTTTTTATGTCAAGTACCTACAGGAAAACTTCAGCTCGAATGAAAATTGCGCCGGGTAGTACTACCGTAGAGGCTCCTTCGGCTTGAGTGGACAGTTGTATAAGACACCAACAACAAAAATAGACATCAGGGATGAAGAGACCCCATGACTACATGATGACGCTCGAAAGGACTTTTTATTCTTCGGAGGTCCTCTCCAAGTGCAACTTCTTCGCGTTCTTCTACTTTTTTCAGAGAGATCAGCGATACAACAACAAAGCGTTATAAAAAGTGAGCGGGTCAATCATCTCGGTTCCAACAATATTGCGCGAATATTCTACTTTGTCTTCATGCGAGTACTTATATATTCTATTTCATCTAATGTGCTGTAAAAGCCTGAGCGCGCAGAAAGACTCCATCTCGATGGAGGACATTGACAAACCATGGATTCAGGAGCACTACGCTGCGTTACACCAACGACATGCCGCAGACGCGCATCACGCTTTCCGTGTACCGGGAATATTAAGAAAGCTGCCAGTTGTTCTTGATGAGATGAAAACTCAGTAGTTGTATGAAACCAAAATCTGTTATCATTATCGTACTTTTCTACTTCAGAGTTCAGAAACTTGATAATGATAACAGATTTTCTTTTCATAAGTTGATGAGATGAAAATTCAGTCAGAATTCTTTCTTTTTTACTGCTGCAGCTGTGTTGATGTTGTAAACTGTTGTAACTACTCAGCAGGGTACTATGAAGAAGATCACAACTACAACTTGAGTAGACTAGAAACAATATGCAAGAGCAGTTTTTTTCTTAATGTGAACAAGTAGGTACAACTACAAAAACCTAGTACTTAATATAGAACTAATTATAGGATTTGGAGGATCCATAGCCCTATGATCTAAGAGGCGGTGAAAATCTGACGCTAGAGCAGCTGCAAGCGGTAGCGCCAGAGGGAGTCTCACTTGAGCGTTTATTCGACCTGAGTGGAGGAGAGGATCACTCTTCTATGCTTGGTGACTTGCTGACGCGGCATCTCGGAGAAAATGCACCTACCTGCTGTTTTATTCTGGGACGACCCAGTATTGAGCAGGCAAAGGAGTATCAAGGCGCTGCCAGGGAGAAGATGCTGAAGGACTTGGCGGAGAGGAGAGAAAGAACAAGGTTACGTTGTCGGGTCGTGCAGAACCACTGACTAGAATTCATCATACATCATGCCATATTTTTTTATAAAAAATCGAAATGTTCTTCTAATTCTTCGGGGTGTGGAAGAGCAGCGGGCACGGGCACGACCCGAGGACGCTGCGCAGGAGCAAAGAGGTGCTGGCGCACCTCTACTCGCACTGCGAAACGGCGCGAATTAGCGTTGATGAAGTAGATGCTCCAACTTGACTGAAGGTGACATTTAAATTCCAAAAGGCAGTGTTGCAGAAGGAGGCAGTCCTTTTTTTTTTTGGATGGTGATGCTGGGCAGTCTCACGCTTGATGATGGTGATGCGGGGAGGCAGTCTTTAATGATGGTGATGAGTGTTTCACCAGAAGGAAGTCTTTTTGATTGATCCTGGGCATGCTGGGTACTACGAAATATCATGACTACATTTCTATTCGACAAGAAAGCGTAGAAGTCACTTTCTATCATCGACGACAGAAGAGGAGGACAACTATAATTGAACTTCTATAATAAATATGTCGAAGATTCCATAGAGAAGCTATGGAGGGTATTAAGAAGTTACAAGCTAAGACAACTATGAGTTTTCCGCAGTCATGGGTTCGTGGGATTAGAAATTCACTGACAAATCTAGAGAAGAATGAAGCCGCAAGCTGCGTCGAGACAAGAAATATGACTCACAAGCCCAATATGCACAATGGTTTGCTTCGTGATTTGATGGCTATATGATCTGCTCCGAGGGGTGCACTGCGTAGTTTGCTTGAAAATGAATTTGAAGGATCGGCCGACTTTCAGGTCTGCTTCAGAATTCTGCGTGGATGGATTTTCTCAACGGCAGTGGAGAAGGAGCAGTTTGCGGCTGAAAGCTACGAGTGAGAAGGAAGAAAACTTTTTGTTTTTGAAGATTCTTGAGTTAATAAACTCAGTTTATTAAGGAAATCTGTCACGCGTCGTAATAGAAGAAGGTGTACACCCCTGATAGATAGTGTATCCATCACAAACAGAGCAGAAAGCCAAAAAATAAAGATGTCGGCGTCATCAATCACATCAACTCTGCAGCAGTTGCCACGCACCTCTGGACTTGTTCGAGGCTCAGCAACTGTTTGCATATGGGGCTCTGCTGGATACGCGGCCAGCAGTTCGTCGTCGTGCTGGCTCACTCATCAGCAGATGCTTGGAGGGCCTACCAATGGAAATATACGGAATGGAAACATAATGCAGCATCTGAGAAGAAATCCTGAAGGACACGGACGCCAACACCAGCACGAACAGCGGAGACATCTCTGGTGGGACCCGACTCTGAACAGAAAGACTGGGCGTCCCGCTATCTCCAAGTCCGAAGATGTCTTCGTGAGCAAAGACATTCCTGTGGTTCTGCTAAAATTAAGGGTTATAATTTCCGAATTTTTACAACAACCACAAATAATTATTGCCACATCTATAATTACCATCCTTTAGCAGGATGTTCGTCTGAAGAATTATGCAACTCGGCAACCTCTAATGAAAGATGTTCCCAGACTTGGCGTCAAGGGACAGATTGTGAATGTCCGGAGGGGTTTTGCGCGAAACCTTTTAGTGCCATCTGGAGTTGCGGTCTATGGAACGATGTGGGAGAACATCGATCGTTATGCGGATCCTGCAGTGATATCGAGAGCAGAGGCGACAGCACGTGCAATAGATGCAGAAAAAGAAGGACATCCCATGGATTGGATTGGAGAGTACTACTTCCTCTGCGTTTTTTTATGTATGAAGAAGTGCCAGGTGACTATTTGGTCGTTCTCGTGAAGTCACAAGACCGACAGCAGATCAAAATATCCGAAAAGATCATAATTTCAAGCGTCAAACTCTGCTCTTCTTTTTTCGCGGCTCAAAAACAAATGATGACACCAATCTAAACCTAATTCTCCGCTGAGCTCAAAAGAGCGATGAGGAGACTCGTCAACTCGTATTCGTACTGTCTGAAGTTCAAAAAAAAGACACGACGACTCTGAGATCATGAAGAGCTCCTAAGATCAACTACAAACATGAACATCAAAAACATGATGATAACTCACATACATAGAATCACTCCACTCATAGGGACTATACGTTGCCAGTGATGATTCTACACACACATGCACTACCATCTGACACCTACAAAGAAGTTCAGAGAAAGATCCGGCTCTCCCTGTACTTTTAGATCTTCTTCTTGAGATAAAAACTCTTCCCCTCTCTCTCGCTCGCAGATGCCATAAAAACTCTGCTCTGATTTCCTGCTCTTTCTATGTCCGCGTGGTCCCTACTTTGTCATCGCCTTGTTCCTCCAGTGCTCCGCCACCGCCCTTCTCCTAATTGTTCCAACACACCTTGTACTTGTTCCCCACATCCCCGTGACAGAATCTCTCTCCGCATCGTTCGTACCACTGTTGACGATGGGTCCGGTCGTCTAGAAAAGCCCTTGACAATCTGGAATTTCCTAAACATGCTGTCGCGAGAACATGACCTTGACTTACTTCCGGAGAATATCCTAGAGGACTTCGCAGATTCTGGGGATCCTCCAGATTCTTTGGTATTTGAAAGTGGAGTCGCGGGTGGAGAAGAAAGCGATGCTGGTGCTGGGACGAGTGGAAGCAGAAGTGCTGGTGGCGTGAGTAAGACGAAACGGCCCTTAATTACAAGCACAACAACTTCTACTAGTACAGCAGATTCCACTGATGCTCTCGTAGAAGTACCAACACCTTCAGAAGACGATGAAGGTGTAGTTGACGTGATTACATCAACAAGATCCTCGTCCTCGTCTGTGAGGAACAAATTCGAGCACATCGGCGTCCACAAAATTGCTGTAGAAATACCACTTCGACAACGCGCTAGACGGTATGAGATTCAGTTGGAGATTTTGTCTCAAAGCCAGGAAATGGAAGCTCTACGTGCAGCCGAGGAGGAGAGAAAGAAAAACGAGAAGCCGCAATTTCTCTTAGGTGTCAGAGGACGGACAATGACTGGGAAAATGAAGCTAGATTATGGTGATACTGCATTGGAAGAAGAGGAGGATATGTGGTGACGGATGTGAGCGTCGTTGGTTGATGTAGTGATCACATATAATTATAGGCGGTCGGCGAGTCGTGTCCGGCTACAACTTGTCTATGAATATATGGGAAATGCCAGCATGACGGTGTTGCCACGTACAGTTGCCGTTGCGGTGGGTTCACGCCCTGGGCACAGTCATTCGCGTGTTTCTTCCATTTGCTTCATGTTGAGGCGCCTCTAAAAAAGCGAGTGAGCACGGCAAAAACTGCACCGCCACTTGTTTTTTTAAATCGAAAAAAGAAAGGCACTCCACTTAGACATTTTTGAAATCGTACTACCGAGTTTGACTGCAGCAGCGACTCCTGCGCAGCTGCTCGATTTAGAAAATAGCCAGATGCTTTAGTCAGGCATCGTCGAGGATGAAGATAGTGTGTAGCTGTGTGATGAAATAAATGCTGCAACTTTTAATGATATTAGTAATGCGCGTTTTATCGCTTCAAGAACTCTACAATCGACCACAAAGAAGATGCCTTCCGCAGAAGCTATGTCCTCTCCAGGCAACGACTTCGATGCCTGGCTTCGGCTTTTCGCCGACGTGCTCGGCGTCGCACTACCGGTTTCAATTTTTCTATCGCCAATGCCACTCTTTCTTCGCGCTCTTGGGGTCGGTTCGCCAGTTTCGAGATCCGGTGGAGGAGCAGGAAGTCAGGGAGGACTGAAAAACAACGTCACCGCCCCACCAACTACTGCGACAAGAGATTTTCTCGACATGCCACCTTTAGCTTTCACTGCCCAACTGGCACAGTGTTCCCTTTGGCTCGTTTACGCTTTCTTGAAGGACATTCCCTTTCTCGTCATCGCCAATGTGGTTGGAGTCACGACAGCTGTAGTTTACGTCTTGATGTACCCTGTTGCAATAGGAGCAAGTACCAGTTCTAGAGGTAGCAGTGGTGGAAGCACTAGTATAGGAGGCGACGCATCTTCCCCTATGTCCCAGTTCGAAACTATGTCTCGCAGGCCGTTGACAGAAGAGCGTGCTGACACTGCATTGTACACTACATCAGCAGGATCAGCAATCGGTAATAGTACAACTAGTACAGGAGCTGGAGGTGACGCAACAAGCACTACAGGAACAAGCACTACAACGGTCTCGAACATCAACGGGGTCATCCTCGAGCAGGATGCAAAGCAAAAGAGTACGTCGACCATGTCTACCGCGAAGCGCAACCAATACCTAGCACAATACAAAGTCCAGCTTTCCGTGACGATTTTTCTTGGAGTTTTGGCTTCGATTCTGATGTTCGCAAGACCTGAAGTGACCTTTTTGAACATTCAGCAAAGCTCCTGGCTAGGCGCAACCGACAAAGACTCTGGTCTCGCAGGATATTTGGCGATGACCGTAGGAACGGTGCTACTGATTCATCCGGTGTTTACGATGCTAGAGGTTTTGCGGACAGGCAATGTCGGTCTGATGGGGTCTTTGTTGATGAACTTCGTGTACACAGCATGCAATTTGGTGTTGCTAGTTCAAGGTCTCTTCTTCATCAATAATGCGGCACTAGCGATTCAATCAGCGGTCGGGTTAGGCGCGAATGCGGCGGCATTGGTCGTGCGCAAAATCGTGGGGGATCGGAAGGGTTGATGAGACAATCTACGACAAGTTTTTACATCATCTGTTGACATCTTCATGTTCCTGGTTTGCTTTTTTAACACTTTTGGCACGATTTTTCTTTCACCATACATGTACATGCAAGGTCAGATACAGTGCTCCCTTCAGCAGGAGGAGCAAGAAGCGGTGCGCTGATTTTTATGATTGAATGAGGCGGACCCGGACATATGACAGTGCAGTAGCAATGAGCACCTCGCAGTATGAAGCAGAATCAAGTGTGCAGAAGTGTCAAAATGTATGATTCTGAATTCAAAAAGAAACTATTGATTCGTTTAATCCACATAGACATGATAATGATTAATTTTTCGAGCACGGAACTGAAAGTGTGTGTGTGGGGACGGAAGCTGCTGCTTGTACTGAGCGCGAATGCTGTTCCTCTGTAGCATGATAGCGCATCTGCGAGGTCAACTAATCAGCGAGGGTCGCTTTTCAAGAGTGGAATCTGTTGTTGTATCTGTACCGTACCTGCACCAGTAATTTTTTGCTTCGTGATCAACGTCTCTGAGCAGCTATTCGGTTGCTTGTTGAGGATGAAGAAGTTCAATGTTGTTCTGGTTTCTCATGTCTCCTGAAGATTACATCAAGAATATTTTCAGCCTCTGTCCTGATGCCATCTGTGGAGAGCGAGATGAGGGATGTGTGAGATAGAGAAATTCATACGAATGCTATATGCGTCAACACGCGATTTAATTCATGCCGGAGGTGAAAGCGACAGTGCCACTATTTCCGTGTGTGTTTGGGAGATACTGCAGAAATTTGTCTGTCAGAGCGAAGAGGGAAGAGCTTTCAAAGCCTTTCGGTTTCTGTTGAGTGAAGGAGGTAGATTCTTTCTATACGACCCTAAAATCGACGTAGTAATTATAAAAAACAGAGGAACAAAGCTCTTTCAGACGAGCCCCCTTTTTTACTCCCTTTGTGAACTGTTTTTTGTCCGTGGTTATCTTCAGCAGCGTAAGTATTTTCTTCCAGGTCTTGCCTCCAGCATTGTTGGCACTCACTTTAAAACAAGCACCTACACCATCGTATCGAAGACATTCAATAAATTCAAATTCATAGTTGTATGATCTTTCTAGCATTAAATTCTAATTCATAGTTGATTGTATCTTTCTAGCATTTATTAAGTTTGTCATAGTCATAAGCATAACTCAACCAGCATTCGCTCATCCTCAAAAAAATGAAGCGCTCTGCCACCGTTCCCCCAGAGCTCTGGCCACGATACAAGTTCTTCAGTGACCCGACCACCCAGTCCCGCCTCGATGGGCATCCTAAGAATCTGTCGCAGATTCGGGTGGACCCTAGCACTCAAAAATGGGAACGACCCAGTAATTTGGTGGTCGATGCGAGCTGGGATAAGTACTTGCCCTTGTTTTGTTTAGTGGATGGCTCTTTTATATTAATTTTGGAAGATAAAGATTGCTAAAAACCATCAATAAGTTATAGTTAATTGATTGGCATTGCCATATGAAGATGGATTCATGATCGATTATTATTCCCAACGAGTAACTTCGCTTTCATCGCTTAGAAGGACCTTAAGTACTCCTTTTACTCTTCATCTTGTTCTTCTTCCACTCAGAACCCATCACGTCCCCCTCACGTCCCCAAGGTACTATTTCTTTTCCGATTCGGCGATCGCATCTTCAATCCATTGCACCGCAAGAAAAGGGAGAGGACGAGTGGCAGCTATTGGACCCAACACCTTTGGTCCAGAGTTCGTTGCGAAATTCACACCACCATTGGATCCGTCTATGAAGTACATTTTCTTCATTTTATTCCTGATTTCATCTCACACTTGGAGTTCCTTGTTCAACACGATGATCTCATTATTTGCCCATGATGGATTGATTCATTTGCCCATGATGGATTGATTCAACTTTTTCTTACTGCTCTCCTGAAATACTAACATTAAGGCTCAACTTTCAATGGTCATCGGGGTTCGTTGGTTGGTTGGTCACTGAGATCGAAGAGGCGACCCCTTGAGAGAACAGGGGAAAACAAGGGGAGAGGCATGGGGCATTTCTCTTTCAGAATCAGTGACCACTGACTGCTGACCTTTAATAACAGTTACAGGTTTTTACAAATTCCAACCCCAACTCCACCACCAGGTTGTCCGCCACCACCCACGACGCCACATACCAAGACAAGAGTGGTGGGTCTGTTCCGAAGGCGCCTGAGCCATCCATCTTGCCGCATATCTTCCCAGATGGCCATCAGACGATTGAAACGCTGTTCAAGAATCCTCGAAAACACGGAAAAGCCAGCTTGTATATGTACTAATGGAAATGGTCAGTCACTGCTCAACATACTGAAATAGGAATTTTTGTTGATGCACAGTAGGTGAAATTGAAGCTGCATAAAATATTTCCGGATGGGAGGAACGGCATAGGCAAGATGGCTAGAACACGCATACTGAATTTCATAATATTGATACGATAGAAAGATTCACCCGCTTAGGCTTACGGTGTAACAACTTCTGGTAAATGCACAATAAATTTTTTGGTCAGAGAACAAAGAACTTGGACGAATATTCAATAAGAACTATTACTATGCCACTTTTATGATCAGCTCAATATCACTTTCACTCTTCTTCTAAATGAATGATCCACTAAAAAATATGTACCTCTTTTGACGCAAACACGACTAGACACATAAACTATTTCAGATATTTATGCATCGCGCGCAGTCTATTTCCAATAGTCTTTTTGGTCACAATTTGAAAACACCAAGAGCTACACGCATTTAAGAAAGCATAGAAGATGATATCATAAATGTGCTTTGGAGGAAATATAAGCTCATACATGCTGATGCTCGCGGACTTGTCCGAGCAGCTTTCCAGATGCTGTGGCATCCCGGCTGGTCTGTGTTTTTGGATGGCCTCTCCGACGGACAGACACACAGAGCGCGAAAAAGCTGTTATGAGTTCCACGCGTTTACCATCTCTTCGGTTGTGAAATCTGGGTACAAGGAAGCAAAATCTGTTCGCGTGTCATACATTGTTTGCCGGACGCAATTATGAGCAGCCGGCAATGAGCAGAGGAGCGCTTTTTGAACAGGCATTGTTCCTCTTGTAATACTTACAGTGTTGTTCCTGTTTTCATTGTCGATGATGATCCGTGCCCTGATGAACGCCAGGGTCATTCTCGGTCAAAGAAATTTCATAAGACGAGCTTAAAAGTTAAGGTGAAGATGACGATCCAGTCCGGTCGAGTAACCCCTTTTGCTGAGGGACGAGTACCCCCTCATTTTGGTGAAACCCTCTATGCTGGCTTTCTATATCAAGAGAGTCCTCAGACGACGAACGAGGTCTCTTGCATAAAACGTTGAATCAGAATCTGGGTCCTCTATGTCTATGTATATGTTTGCTGAATTTTTCAATCAACATACCCGTTTGAAGTATCATTGCCGAATAGAAGATTCAAATCGCCATTTGGAGTGTCATCCTTGGTATCTTCTACTTCTTCTTCTTCTTCGCTGTCGTTCTTGTGGAGTGCTCCCGTCTTTGGGTTAGCTGAGAAAGCGATTATCTGGCTTTCCTACGATCATGAGAAAGGATTTTCTTTTCCGCGCAAACAAGCTTCTTTCTTTTTTGAAAGTTCCACATCACCACAAACAAGGTATCTACTTAAAAGCTACAGTGTCTATTCTATGTCTAAGCACGACTCTGGTATTTTACGCAAATTAATACTGGTGCAAGAGCCTCGCGCTAGGATTAAAGTTCAACGAATGAATACATAGACAGTCACCGTCACTCAACATGTGAAGAATAACTTTATTGACTTTCAACGAACCTTCATCTATTTGAGAACAACATCAAAATAGAATATAATATCTACATACCGAAGATCGATACCTAGACCATTATAATCAATACGGTATCCTTATCCACAGACTCACACTTTCACACCTGTATCCACATCCACATCCACAACTACACGCTTTTAAGCACATCAACAACCACAAAAATGAGTGGCAACGGGACTGGTGGGTCCCCTCCTAGGGACGCGCCCATGCAAAACAACTACGTCATCATGGATGGGTCCCCTGGCCAAGAGGAACAGATTACAGCGAGCCAAAGCATCGCGATGATGGAGGAGTTGCGCTTGGCCAGTGCTGAGTTATGTCCGAGAGGACTAGCTGGAAAATGAAGTAAGTGTCGTATTATAGAGAAACTTGGCAGATTAGAATTCAATAGAACAAGTACAGGTGATACAATTTTTAGTCGTCCTATGTAATAGAAGCAGAGTATTTTTGAACACTCACTCCATGGCTCATATGAGCACTCACTATATAAATCATACTTGCATCCCTTCACCTATCTAATCCACGGCGTTGCTGGCCCAGGGCGAAACATCTCCGCGATGCAAGTGGGAACGCCACCGTTTTCCACTGTGCTCATCTACAACCAAAGCAGACATGCTTCTAACAGTGTCTTGTCGGATATTATGGCTGGAAAATTCTAGTGATACTGACAGATATTCGGGGAACTACTAGATGAAGGACATCTTCAACAGCTCAAGTTCTTCACATCGATCTGAAGCTCCTACAACTGCATCCTCGCGATTTTTTTCCATCAATGGGTAATGGGGTAAACTACGCTTAAATTCATTCATTCCATCAACATAAACCGGGCATAATTGTTGTACTTCGTCCTCTCCTGCTCTAATCCAATCCGTAGTGTATGGGGTGATGCAGTTACAGTCGTTCAGACAGTTGAGGACAGTAGCACAGAACCGACGTCCACAGCTACGAACTCGGTGGCAAACAACCGATTGCCAGGCGTGAATGACGTGATCATGATCCGACCTGGAAAATGGGGAGATTTGAACCATTTTCAAGAAAGAATGGTAATTTTCATTCATTTACTTATAAATTTGAAGATGTTCTTACAACCACTTGTTCCTTGGATTCTTTGTCGTGATTAACAAACTAGAAGTAGTATAAATTTCTCCTCTCCACCAGTCACTCGAAGAACTCGTGGTCAACATCAAAAAAATCACAGGAACACTACGAAACCCAAAACCCTTGGTTCTACCAAGCCAAAAAGAAGAAGGATGTGGCTTTCATGGCCGGTTGGTCTGCACTGGCTGAAGCAGCCGATACCGGACGTTTTGTGATGAACAAGCTCAAACTAGTTTGGCCGGGTACTGAGCCGAATGCTTCTGACCGCCTAGAGAAAATCGGCATGAAGAAGATCTGTAAGAAGGTTGGCGCACCTACACCACCCTTTACGATCCTGGCTGACCAGGACTTTGAGGCGAATTTGGCTGACCCAGGAACTCTGGAGAAATTGATCCACGAATTTACGGATAAAGTGGTCAAGCTGGCTCAAGAACGCACTGATGTACCGACGTCGCCGGGAGGATGTACTTGTTATTTTTTGAGTTGTTGACTTAAGGCTTCCCCGAATCCATCCCTGTAGACATCCCTCAGATATATGCGCCCCAACAAAAGGGAGAGACTGACGCATATGTTTGAGGGTTTTCCACAGGGATGAATAGGGGAGAGCTCTAATTGACTCAAGATCATGAAGAAGAAGTAGAAGTATAATCTGATGATGAAGTGGATCCTGATTCATTAACCAAACAATTTCAAATTCAATTTCTTGTTGACACGCTTGCATCACTGACCCCTTTAAATTTTCTCCCTCTCATCTTCCAACACCACGGGTACGATACGATAATAAATCAGCCATGATGAACACCACTTCCGTCTCGCCGATTCCTGGTCTGGTTAAGTCGATTCACGGCGGCGGCGGCAAGGGTAGTGCGCAAGTATCCAACCCTTTGAATGCTACGCAAGTGAAGGCTGCTGTCAGACAGGTCCTCAATGAGATGAAACGCGCAGACGGTCTCTACTTCGAGGAAAAGGTCAACCACGATGGTGATGGCCGCTTCTTCCAACTAGAACTAGAATTGGATGGCGTCAATGTCTCGAACGGTGGTCGATTTGTCTGGTTCAACAAGCGCTTGCAGAAAGTGGTTGAAATCGGGTTGACGGACCGATACCTCAAGGATCTCTCTGACGCCCATCACGCCGGTCGTGGTGAGGATTTGCCTTGTTTCATCCCTTGGGATCTGTACTCGCAGTCTCGTACCTGGGCGGCGCAAATCGCCACGGAAGCGGGAAACAACACTCGATGCACGTTGGAGGCATTGGTGTGGCAAGACAAGTCTGGCAAATACGACATGGCCTTTATTGAGTGCAATCGTCGACCTCAGGTGGAAAACGAAGCTCTAGCATTGTTAGAACGTGACTCGAGCAATCATCGTCGATACACATTTGCAGAATTGTTGATGCGAGCGAAGGGATATCCGAGTACTTACTACTAATACATAGTTAGTGTTTTTACTTTTCACTTTCAACATTAATTGTAGGATCAACAATATCTTCTTGTCCCTTCATGAAAAACCAAGAACACTTTCATGTTGCATAATTTTTTAGGCCACTGGGCGAAAGAGAAGAGTCAGACGAAGGCAGAAGTGGTAACCTCGTGGGGAGAAACGACGGATGTTCTAAGCAAATCACTTCTTTGTAGATGAGTGAAATGTTGTAAGGAGAAAATGCTGATGTTAAATAACCTACATTTCCATTTCTCATGAAATCGATTTCTATTTTTCACTTGCAGCATCAATAAGTACAGCTTTCACGACCTCTTCCTGATCCTTTTACTATCCGCAGGTGGCAACATCTTCACTCCCACCGGTCGTCGCAACGTCGCTTGCCACGCTCGTTGGCTGCATGGTGATCCCGATGCAGATGGCGCCATCACCTACAAACCTGGTGAGGTTTGCGGTATGACGGGTACCCAGTTCGCTTTCGTCCGCTCCGAATTGATGCCGTGTGGGGAGATCTCCTTTACTGCGGATCCGCAGTTGGGCAAAGTCGTCATGCTGGCTGAGAACTGGCACAGTATGTGCGACAATGCGGAGAAGTACTTCTCTTAAGGCTTTTTATCCTAAATCATCTTCAGTTTCAGAGGCTGCATTGATTGATTCTAGAAGGATGAAAGAGACAGAGAATTAGACGCTTTTTCAAACGGAAAAAGCGTCTAGGATGCATCTGAAGATGGATTTGCTGGATGAGTTCTAATTCATCATGCGTAAGCCTCTGGTCATCGGAGAAGGCAGCAAATACGCAGAATGCATGCGCCGTTTGTTCGCGAACAAGGAGTTCCAGTCTGGTCGTATTGCCAGTAACGAGACCTTCTCAGCGATCGAGATTCCGAATGATTCGAGGATTTCCTGCGCTAGTTCAGTCAGGGCAATGTTGGAGGGACCAGTGTCTGACATTCTGGTTGCGGGATATCGAACTGGGGAAGGCATCGATCCAGAACGCTATCCTAGCTCCACCGTTCTAAGAGCAGTGGAAAATCTCTCTCAGAAACTGGCTCGCGAGTGTGCACCAGCGGAAAATACTGCTTTTACGAAGTACACACGTGGCGAGTGCTCTTTCGACGACTATCTTACCGAACTACGTGCTCAACTAGACCGTCAAGGTGGTGGCTGGGTAACCGTGGCTCCGCGTGACACCTGTCAACAAGGCAACGACTCTGAATCGGCCTGCATTCAGAGTTTATCGCGAAAGAACGCGGAGATTTTCGGTCAGAAGGCAGGTTGTGTGGGGTACGAAGTCGGAGGTGCGCAATTCCAAGCTGGTCTGATCCGTGGATTAGACCCTGCTAAGATTTTGAAGCAAGGTTTGCCATTCAACATTCCGGCGTTTTCTCTGCAGAGGTCGCAGTACTTATGGCTCGTAGCAGTGCACCCAGTACGTAGTACAACCACAATTTTCTATCTGGCGTTCTGAATTTGATTTGATGTGTGACACGTTCGCTTCCGCAACATTAACAACTCCGTCATAGATTCTAGCTTGTAACTACAAGTGAGTATTTCAAGAGGACCATCACCATCTTCACTCTCTAATCTGCGTCAACGGTCTATCCGAGATGCCTCCGCAGAATCGTCAGGCTCTATTCCAAGCAACCGCCACCATGGTTTTCGAGCACTATCGTGGTCCTATCGATGAAGAAGAGCTCTATAGTGGAGCTGTTCTTGACAGTGCCAAGATTATGGTCAACATTTAGTGTCCATCATTCTCGGTATCTTGGTCCCCTTTTCCCTTGTATTATTCCTATGAAATGATACAAGGGTAGTAAAGGGGTCAAGATGAGGGGGCCGAGATGCAATCTACATCTAGCAGACTCTAACAAGAGCGGTCCTCAGAGTGGCGAGAATTTCACCATTGTGAACAGCAAGACACGTCCAGGCCGTAGTGCCTCTCAACGCTTCATGCCGAATCCGATGCAACGTGGTCCAGACGGAACCCTCAGCTTTTCTCTCACCCGTCAACGATCCTACGAAGAAGCGCCATCGTCTCTCGCTAGGGATAAGATCCTACTGGAGGGTCGTTTTCCTCCAGTGCCGATCGAGCAACGTCCAGTGCCGTTTTTTCCATACAACTTCCACGCTGGCAACTACTGGGACTCGAAATTTCCACAGGAGTTGTCTCCACAGGATCAAACCACTGTTGAGATGCTACACGCTGGATTGACTCCAATTCCAACATGGGTTTTCTCGCCTAAATTCCCTCTGGAACGGTTGGCGGAGTGGACGAAACGCCAAATCCAAAACTTTGATGCTGTGAAGAGGAAATTGCATCAGGTACAGTTGGTTTAACAAGTCGCTTTTAATTGATATCCTTCTCGTCACTTCTTCGATGAAACTGCTGCTCTTATGTGGATAATGATGAAACTCAAACTACTTTTTCTGCATGATCAGTAAGTATGAAGATCAACTTGACTCCAAAAAACTAAAACTCTCCACACCTTCGTCCCCCATCATCAGATCCGCATCAAGAACCCTGGCCAAGGTGAGGAGTGGACTGCCGCAACCGTTTGGAAGCATGTGGAAACGTTCCTGAAGGTTTTTGCTGAAACCAAACATCTCCCCAACAACGAGAAACCCATCGTCTACATCCACAACCACGATTTTAACGGTGAAGGTGGTCACGTTGGCAAGGAACTACTTCGTCTGGCACAGAAGAACGGTTTCCGCTATCTCGTTATTGATGCCGGCTACCGCAAGAATGGCACGCACAACGATAACACAGTCGTTTGCTCTGCTTTGGAGCTTGACGAGGGTCAGAAGGCTGCTTTGCTAGAGTACAACAACAATCAGCAAATGCTGGAGAAGATCCTTTGCCGATTCGACAGCCGTGACAGCCAGATGACGCCTTGGGACAGCGAATGGGCTGGCGGAACCGAAGGCTCTGATTTACGTATCGCTAAGGAATACGGTTTGTCTCCTTCGGACATCGAACAGGCCAAACACATCGCTTCTGAGGTGTTTCCGTTGGAGAGGGCAGTGACGCCATTCTCGGAGTACAAGTTGCGTTTAGGAATTGCGATCATGATCGAACCGGCTATTTCACCGAAGAATGCGCAAGCGGTTATCAGTTTCCTGAAACACGATCATGGGAGACTGAAAGTTGGTGGAGACGTGCTCGTGGGATTGCACAAGTGGGAGACGCTGGTATTAATATTGAGTGTAGGTACTTTACAACTAGTTAGTAGTTACCCTGATTCTGAAGTAGAAGATGTAGAGTAAGATTTAGATCTGAACTAGTTCTAAAAGTTGCTACCATGATGAAGACCTGAGAGACTGCAAATTCAAGAAACGAATTAATTACTATCTAATAAAATAAGTACGACTGACTCCAATCTAATATCAACTTCCATCAACACTCTTCTTTCCAGACTGCAAAGTTAAACTTATTTTTCCTGCCTTTTACAACTACCAGGTCCCCAAACCACCTGCTGTCGACATGCTATTGCACAACATGGCAGCAGAGCTAGATTCGGCTTTGAGTTCTGCTGGTTCCGTCTTCAGACCAAACTTTGACGCCACTGGTGCTGAACAACTGTACACTGAACTTGGCTTCCAGCAAAAGGGTAAGGATCTGCATGCAGGCAAGGCTACTGATTTGAGTCCTCTTCTACTGTTAAGGCTTATACATTAGTAGTTGTTGCTTTATCTTTCTTGACTGCATTTTTGCTGTAATATTTCTAGTATTTTTTCTACTATTTTTAAGCAGATTATATATTCCGCAGGAGAATAGTAGATACTCCAAAGAAAATGCCATCCTAAGTAAGAATACTCGACACCAGTTCTAATTCTGTGTCCTTGGGTCCTCCACGCTCGTCCACGTGCACTGCCTTCCATGACAAGGATCGAACTTCTGCTGGATCAAGGTCGCGTTGCGCAAGTCTTGTTCCGTGGTTTCGGACATAGGCAGAACCATGGCGAAATCTTGCTGGTGTTTTCGGCGTGTGGAGAACGCATCGTGGTATCGAAACCGGATCCAGAAGCGCAACTGATGATGGGAGCGGATGATTCGCAGAGGTTAAGGCTGATAGTTGTAGTACTACTTTTAAATTGTCATTCGTAAGCAGTCTTCTCCCGCTACGGTGGTAGGGAAGAACGCTGAAGTTTTACATACCGCCACAGGTATGAATAGGCTCCTCCTGTTGATGTCTCGGCATCTAGTCGTGATCGTCTGCAGACTTTAACTCTACGGTTGGCTGATCTTATATATAAATATGGGGGTAAATAATTGATTGAAAGGGTGGCAGCATATAGTCCTAACGCAAAAAAAAAAAATCTACGGTCACCAGGTAAGGTGATATCAGAGGACCACACATGACAAGACGTTCTTGTCTCTTTCTCAAGGGACCACTAGTTATAGAGCGGGGTTAATCTTCATCTTCTCAATACGGCACGACAGGGACAGGGTGGTGGACCAGGAGTTTTTACAGTCGACAGACTGGTGTACGTAAACAGTGAGTAAGTTGCCATAAAAGCAAGGAGAAGGATAAGAAAATAATTGTACGAGTTACTCAGAGACTTGACTGAAGTCCTCTTTACATTCTTACTCCTTCGAAATACTGATCTTAGAAAGTCCTAGGTCCATCTTATAATTGTACGAGTTCTTATGTCCTTAGTTGCGTCTAATCCCAATGGCTGGCGACAACGAATTTGGCATCCCTGTTCCTGGTGAAATCCTGAGCATCGACGTCGCTGTGGGACAAACGTTGGAGGCGGGCATGCAATTTTTCACAGTGGAATCGATGAAGATGGAGACGAAAATCACGGTACCGCAAGACCTTCATGGCAAGGTGGTCGACAGCGTCATCGCGAAAATCAAGACGGTGATGAAGAGAGGACAACCGGTCATTAGCTACAAATAAGGGACCACGCAGGAGACGACTGTAGCGAGAACAAGGTGTTGATGTTGTGGTCTCACTTACACTACAGTTTTAGCCAAAAAGTGTGGACTGTCCCTTTTCACCTTATGCATGTGATCCATTTTTGTAGATACTCCAGTGGTCATAGACATGATGCAACACACTCTGCAGCTTGTTCTAGACCATGTCCACTACTTTTCCTCGATAATTCTTTCTGTGTAGTGCTGGAGGGTAGCTGCCGGCCTTATTCGTTTTGTTTTATTCGTACATGTGTGAAGATCATACGCATACAATCCAAGCGTATCACAACGTTCATACACATCCTAACACCAACAGACTAGTAGTTGGAAAACAAAAATCGAAAATGAACAACAAAAATACTAGCTTGGAGCGTCCGATAACATCCCTCCCACTAGGATCCTCCTCCTCCCCAAAATAAGAAAATAAGCAAGGCAAAGATGTAAGCGATACGCGTTGTCAAATTTCGAAAATTTTCCACGTTTTGCCATCGTTTGCGGATTGGATCTCGTGCGTTTGAAGTCAAGCGCTAAGATCCCAAAACTTTTGGACTTTAAGCCCTTCCGCTGAAATTCAGCTTCTTGCTTGGATTTGCATGCTTCAAATTTCGAAAATTCTCCACGTTTTGCTGTCGTTTTGGGATTGAGTTTCGTGCTTTTGAAGCGCTAAACTCCCAAAATTTTTGATTTTAAGCCCTCTCCCTGGGATTCAATTTCTTGGATTTGCATTTTTCAAAATTCGAAAACTTTCCACATTTTGCCGCCGTTTTCGGGTTGAATTCCGTGCGTTTGAGGTGCTAAGATCGCAAA